CCATATCATCGCAGTGTAGTGTCAATTGGAACTAAAATTTGATGAAGTTGTTGATTTTGGCTGGATGCACATGCTTGCAAAATTTTAGTCTCAACGAAGCCGGTTTGAAGAAGTTGTTAATTCGGAGCTTTGAGTTTAGGTTTTGGATATTGGATCTTGCGGTAGCCATATCTTCGCAGGTGAGTGTCAATTAGAGCTGAAATTTGATATGTTTGTTAATTTTGAACGAGCGTACATGCCTGAAAAAATTAAGTCTCATCGGAGACGTTTTGAAGAAGTTATCAATTTGGAGCTTTGAATTTGTGTAAAATCTTGCAAACTTGGGTTCATGATGACTTTAGAAAACAAGCTACTCAATCTTGTGCAAACGGTTTTGGAAAAATTCAAATGCTTTGCCAAGAATTCAAAGTACAAAATGTTGCCTTGACAGCTGCAAAAAGTGAAATTCGGAAGTTGAAGTTATCTTAGAAAAGTTTTGAGAAGATCATGCTTGAAAATTCTGGATGTGTTGAGGACATCCAAAAGAAGGTTGGTTCTCAAGCTTCTACTTCTACTACTCCTCGTTTGCATGAAGTGGTTGAAAGTCTAGAGGTGAAATTGAAGAATTATGCTGAAGCTACCAAGTCTGCTCAAATCTCTTTCTGTCATGAGCAAGAGATTGAAAATATTCATCAATTTGCTCGTAGGAAGAACTTGAGGATTTCTCGTCTATCTGAATGTGAAAAGGAAGAGTTGAAGAGTGTTGTCATCAAGTTCTTGGTTGAAACACTTGATGTTTCTAATCCGGATTTGGCTCAAGCTTTTTGTATTGCAAACAAAATAACATAATCTTGTGTCATTATTGTTAAGTTTCTGGATCAAGCTCAACGTGATATTGCTTTAGCTAACAAAACCATTCTCAAGGGACAAAGCATTTGGTTAGATCTTGATTTTACACCTTTACAAGTTGAGGCAAGGAGTAAGGAGCTTGCAAAAGTCATAGAAGCTCAAGATGTAGGTTTTTCCGCTTATCTAAATGATAGTCAAGTTATTAACACTCAAAGTAGAAGATAATCATCAACCTAGCAATCCAAGAGCTTGAGGGTGTTGATGTGAAACATAAGAGTACTATCTACAACAAAGTATGTGAGAGCACATCCAATTTGGAAGATGGCAGACATCATCAACATTGTAGAAACTTGGGAACATGAGAGCAATATTGGAGAGATACAAGAGTTTACTTTGGTGGGATCTACGTGGAACCATAGAATCCGACAAGCAAGAAAAGGCTTTGGAGGCATTGCTACTTTCATCAGATCTGAACTTCTTCATATGAAAAATTTGTAAACTCAAGATATTGGAAAACAATATCATTGACTTCGTCTTGGATTGATTGGAGGATCTTGAAGTTATTTGGCAGTTTGTTACTTTGCATCATTATCCGTGCAGATCTACTTCACAAGCACTTGCAATCGAAGTTTACCATTCCATCAGCTCATATGTGATGTTTTCAAATATCAAGACAAAGTTGAAGTTTTTCTTGTTGGAGACTTTAATGCTCACATACATTCTGTTCAATTTACACAATATAATGGTTCCTTGTCTTCTTCCTCTTTTGAAGAAAGTATATATAGTTTGTGGTCTAGAATCTCTTGTGATCCTTCTACAAATGATTTGACTGAGCATTTTTTGACTTTTGGAGCCGCATGTTATTTGAAAGTTTTCAATGGTGTTTCTTTATTTCCCAACTTTCACTCCAATACATCTTTTTCCTCTACCGGAGTTAGCACTATTGATTATCTTTTGTCTTCTGCCACTAATAGTTCATTTATCTCAACATTTGATATTCTAAAGCTTCAACTAGAATCAAATGATACACCTCTTTAATTTACTCTTTTGTTGTCAAAGTCAATGATTCTTTCTACATGTCACTATATTTCTACTTCCCTCAAGTTTTGTTTAGATCTTGATAAGAAGCAACTTTATAGTCAACATTTACAAGACCTATTGATTACTTGGACTACTTGGAGACTTGATCCATATACATCTAGTTTGCAATTAACTGAGTTGCTCAAAAGCTTTACTTCTAAATTCTTTTTGAAACATAAGAACATGAGAGCTAGAGGTTTTTCTTGCAATGGATGGTTTGACATTGATTGCAAGCAAGCAAGGATGAGATCAATTGATAAATCCTTGGAATTTCACAATCGGCTTATCATGACAAGACTTTACAAAAACTTAATGAGGTCTAAAAAATGAGCTTTTTTGAGGAGGAAGCAATAGTGTTTGACAAAGGAGTTGTTGAAGAATCACAAAGCTTTTTGGATGCGGTTGGCAATACGAATCACAAATCTTTGAAACCTACTCTTGATTCCAAGTCTTTGGTTTCTTTTTCTGAAAAGTTTTTTTTTTCCCAATGTTTCATCAATGCCACGTTGTGAAGGAAAACCTGGCTTATTTTTTGAAGCTAAAGTGATGATTCCAATCAGAAAATTGGCAAATGTTAAATGTGAGGATGTGGATGATATTTTGATTGAACTTCTCAAGTGGGGAGGAGATGTTATTGGACCTATAGTCATTTAACTGTTAGAGAATGTTGCTATCTTTGGATCCTTCAACTTGGTCTCTACATAAGATTGTTTTTATTCACAAATCTAGTAGCAATGACTTTGCAAAAAACTATCGGACTATCATGGTAGGTAGTATTTTTGCCATATTATTTAACAAATTGGTGGAGTCAAAGTTTGAGCAAATGGCTAAATCTTCTCAAAAGAGAGCGCCGTTCCAAGCTGGTTTTGGTTATACATTCAACACTATAGACCATATCTTGGTTTTGCGTGTTTTATGGAAGAAATCCAAGGCTAATGGAAAAGCTTTGTTTTGTGCCTTCGTTGATTTCAAGAAAGCTTTTGACACAATACCTTGTGAGCTTTTATGCCAAATATTGCAAACCACTAGATAACTATCGGATTTTCTAGCAACGGTGATCACATTATACCATTCCGTTTGGGCCAAGATTAACACTTCTCAAACCAAAGAGATTTTGAGTATCATTGGAATCATTCAAGGTTGTACTCTCTCTCCTACTCTCTTTGGAGTTTTCATAGATGATATAAAAAGGTGGTTAGAGGATTGTGAAAATGAAGGTGTCAAACTTGGAGGATTTGTCATCAAAGCTCTTTTGTAGATGATGGCATATTACTAGCACGTGATGCCATTAGTTCACAAAAACACCTTGACATTTTGGCTAGCTTTTGTACTCAAAATCAGATGAAGTTCAATTTGGAGAAATCAAAAGTCATTCCTTGTGGGCACTAGATCCAAGCTTTCTTTCTTTTACAAAGTATTAGAGTTGAAACAAGTGAAGAGTTACAAAAATTTAGGCATTGATTTCTCCTACGAATATAGTTAGGCACTTTGTGTGCAAAAGATGGTAGAAGATGATTTCAAAGCTCTATATTCATTACTAAATAGATGTAGAGGAGTTCATCTAGTGTCTTGGAGTCTTAGTAAATTCTTATTTATGATTTTAGTGTTTCCCGTTATCTTATATGGAACACAAGTGTGGAATCTTGGTTATAAAAAAACAGGTTGGTAATGTTTGGAGAGGGTGCAAAAGATCTTCTTACAATAATGTGTGTGAGAAGCCAAACTTCATATGTTATTCTTCATGCGGAAACACGTTGTCTACCTCTTGAAGCTGAAGCTCTTTTCTTGACTATCACTTACATCAAAAGAGTGAGATTTCTTGATCTACTCGACTTACTTTGAAGCTTTGTGTGCCACACGTTCCAAGGGATGGTTTGCAGATGTGGTGACTTGGTCTTTGAGGTGGAATGTGACGAAATTCGATTGGGATTTACAACCTATGGCCCTTCGCGAGCGTATCAAGGAGGACTTTCTCAGCATTATTTGGAGCAGACGAGACACTAAATCAAAGTTTTATCAACTTATGTGAATCCAATGCTTATTTGTTGTGAACAAAGTATACCTTGTTGCAAAGATTTCTACATTTTTATGTCATATTATTGCCATGCATAGAATAGGATCTCATATGCTTGGAATTGAAGAAGAACGTTGGTTGAATATTGATAGGAGTGAACGGATTTGTAGTCTCTGTGATGGGAGAATGGTTGAGGATAAAGAGCATGTGTTTCTTACTTATACTAGACATATTAAGATTAGAGTGATTCATGAGTTACTTGTTGAGAATTTCTATTCTTTGCTTCAGCTTGAGACTTATTATTTAGGTTGTTACATTAGGGATGTTATTAGTTATCGTTCTAGTGCTATAGACACTAACCAGGGTATCTGTTTCTCTTCTGGTTTGGAGTTTGATGGTTTGTATTGCGTTTTTTTATCCTTTTGACACTTTGGGTCTCACAGGTTTGATCTATTTACCATGAATCTCTTCTATAACTAAGTTGAGTAAGTAGAATTTTTTCATGATTTTACTTACATAATAATTTTTAATTGAAAATCTTATGATTTATAGTCATGTGGCTATTAAAAAAAATTATTTGCAATTAAATCAATTTATATAAAATAAATATAATTAAATTAAATCAATTTAGTAATAAAAAAGTTAAAACTTACTTAAATAATTTCATAACACTTTGAATCCACTTTTTTTATAAACATATATTTACATTTGGTTTTTTTATAAATTTTACTTGTATATACACATATATACGTATTTATTATATAAACATATGATTTTTAATTCAATAAATCTACAATTAAACATCAAACTTAAAAAGCCAATTGCATGTACAAAGTCTATCAACAATAATATTGATGAGTCCATCACTTGAGCACAAATGATTTGGATTACTTGGCCACCTTGGTTTTGAAGATTATATATTCGTTTATCACAGATTACAAAAAAAAAGTTATTTTGAGTTCGAGTTAAATGATTATACGTGGCAAAATTTGAATCTTTTATATTGATACCTTTTTTTGCGTTTTATTTCAAAAATCCACAGTTTCTTTCCTTCATACTTCATATGCAGATAGATGGACTCTGCATGTCTAAAAAACTCCTATGTTCTATACTAAATTCCGAAATGGCCACAGATTATCCTCGTTTACTCTTTGACTACAAAATTCGAAGAAACCTGACGTGGGTAGAAAATGTAATAGCATTAAACCTTTCCGCTGTTCTCTTCACTGCCCCTTGGTAGATCAGGAACTACAGGGTAAGTACTTAAGTCCCTTCATGTTTTGTGCGAAAAATACAATTCGAATTGCTGTAAAAAGACGTGATGCGGATGTAGACAACTGTAGTTGAGATGTCACAGAAATGAGACACTAAAAGAGAAATTTGAGTTCTTGGCGTCTGCTCAAAAAACTGAGGGACTTCGTACTAGTCTAAATCTGATGTCTTTATCTGTGAACATATTGCTGTCCATAAATAGAGCATTGGTTGAACCCTGATGACCTGAGAGCACCTTGGCGCAGAGCGTGTAACAATGTCATTTCTACAAGATACTCCAACTATCTTTCTACTTCAACGCAAGCTTATACTTTCTGCTCCTGAATGAAAAGTTGGTCTATATACAAGCTCAAGGCAAAGTGTAAAAATGAAGATGAACAGCGTAATGCAATTGTCTCATGAAAACATGTGAGAAACAAGCCATTCATCTAGGACTTTCAACTGTTTGCACGAAAAAGGTGGAATTTATCTTATATTACACGTTGGAGGCTTCCGAAAGAATTGGAAGATAAAGCCATTAGAAACTAGACGTGGGTTTATTTTTCTTGCCACTCGGGGTTCCATGTACTTGAGTCTTGATGCCATATGTTTTAAGTTGGAAATTCTCGAACGCCTCCGCAACTACCTCCACCTGATTTTGAGGGATACGTGGTGTTAGACTCGAATAATTAAATGGAAAAACTAACAGATGAATCCTTGGTCTTATTTAAGTGGAAAGAAAGCATAAATTTCTCTAGCAAATCAATCCAGCCTTGGGCACACCTCTGTCACCAACCTAGCACGCAGCAAAGAAAATATAACTGGAAATCTACCGTCCCATTTGTGAAGTGGAAGGAGAGATGAAACAGGTACCAATTCAGGCTTTTTGGAGTACACACGGACTATTCTGTCGAGAAAAAAGCTGGGAAGGAGATGACTGATCCGTTCCTTCTGTATTTTGAACTTCTCATTACTTTCATAATCCTGGAACATAGACATAAAACGTTCATTTAGCTACACCCACATAACTGCTGACAATTTGCCAAGAACCATATAATGTTTGAGCGAATCCAGCTGACATTTTCAGAGATACTAAAAAGATCTGAAAATGCAGAAAAGCGAATTATCCTAAAAGTTGCATACCTGAAAAAAGCTTACACTGCGAACAAACGCAATCCCATAAAAAGCAACAGACAGAACAAATTAGATATCCAGGTAAAACAGATAAAAGTATAACTTCAGCAACTCCATATACTATTGGAGAATACATTTCAGCAATGTGAAGAGCTCAATGCACACTACTGGAACAAACCAAACTCTTATTTAGTGTTGATGTATCACAGAAGTTGTGCTGTTTTGGAAGTGAAGTGTATAAAATTTCTACTTTCGAAGGAATGTCTTCTCAGCACGGACATGCAACATACCTCCTTACAGGGTCTTCTTGGCCCCGGGTCAAGTCTATTTTTTGGTTGTTGACAACAATATCTTCCTCTCTCAACTCAACTCCGGAACGTGTCTGAGAAAGCAGAACACAAAACGATCGACACAAATCAGGTAACGATAAACATGTTCAAGCTCAACATCATCAACTGTTGAGATATTTCCTTCAGAAGGTGAGAGTTCAGAAAAAAACTCCACAACAGCATAACAACATAAAATTCACTTGAATCTAAAGGCAAAAAACTCAACACAAATGAGGTTCTGAACCAAAGTTGTAAGCTGATAACACCAAGCCTAAGAGAAAAAATCTATTAGTTAGAAAAAAAAAGTTATACCGAGGCAATGGTTCAATTGAAGATTTATTTACGGAACGAACCTGTGCACAGACTATGTCTTTAGCCGTCACATCCTTAAAATGGTCCATCATTTCTTTGGGCACAGCATACTCATTGCAAAACTGCGTAACATCAAAAAAGTTGAAGTAAGTTACAAAGGCATATCCGAAATGATAAAGGCTTTTTGTATCTTCTGGCATCTAAAACTACTACACTCCAGTGATACTCTAGATTCTTGACCTGCCAATTGAATGTATGTGATTCCCATACATGAAATTAACCAATAATGTTATTATTTTTGGATATAAAGAACTGGTGATAACTATTAATTCTGTCGTCATCAAGATGTGAAATGTCTGTTACTAAGCTTCTTTTGCACGGAAGATGACGAACCTGGTAAAGCTGTCTCCGCCGCAAACGTAGTATTATCTCTTGGGCTGACTTGAGTTCCGGCTGGCAGGCAGTTTCTATTGCCTTTAATATTGTATCATCCAGCTGGACCCAAGACCAAAGAAACATCCATTATTTTGCATGGTAAAGATGAGGAGAGCTTTTCGGTCAGACACATGTACATATTGGATCACATTCAACAGTAAGAGGTTGCATAAAGTTGAATCACTTTCTGAAGAAAGCAAATACCTTCCAGAAATCTTCGGGACTTTGGATTTGCTCCGATATCAAAAGGTAGTCATTCGCGAGGAGAAACGCATCTGCTAGCATTAGCTCCATTGCCTAGAGTCCAGAGACGACATGATGAATAAGTTCTCTTCACTGAAACCTCACTTTCAATTATTCTCCATCTTGACGTTGAATACTGAAAGGAGTTAAATGAGTTCTTCAAATATCATACTCAGCACCAGAAGCACATTGAAGACAGTCATTCACCTTCACTTTTGGATGTGTGTATACAGTCCTGTGAAGATCCGCTCGAGTTTGAAACAGGTTGTAGACATTTCTTGCTGCATCATGACATCAAGCTTATTAAAGCCCTGTAGCTACGCGAGACTATAAATATATGAACCAATTATCCAACATATGATCATACATCAGACCTGTCTCGCACCATGTGCAGAATAGTTCTTCGCTCCCTAACCAGGAAACGTTTCATATGGTCATGACAATGATGGAAACAGCCAGATATTACATCAATAACACCTTGACTTACCAACATGCTATAGAGGACTTATCCAGTTAAATTATGACTACAGCTGTACACAACGAATCAGAACACGAATCACATCGTTGTGAAAACTGTAAACGAACCGAAAATTGGTATTGATTTTCATCCAAACGGGAGAGACTGATGGCACATCCAAATGAGGAGCTTACCTTCCTTGGCTCGGTAGCATATTTCGTCATCCATTACTCTCATGTTCTCCATTAGTCTCGAATAGCTGAAACTATTTCCAATGCCGCAAGCACGAGTATCTCTTTCGATGTAGTCGAACCTGCCGGGATAGTAGATTCAGCTTAGAGTAGGTTCTTAATGTACTCATTAATACTTAAAGAATTGTCGAAAGTGTCGTTGAAAAAGGTTTAGCACCTTACTTGTCAACGTCAATGCCGTTGCGTCCGTTCGCAACAATATCATAAAGAAAACGCTTCTCCTTGCTAGACTGTTTATACGAAGAGAAGATTAGTGCAATTCAGATAAACCCATGGTGTCAAAATGGACAAAAGAGATAGCTCAATTGATAAATCAAATCATATACTACCTCAACGAGAGCATTTTCTGGTAGATTCAGTATCATCAATACTCATACAAGTTGCGGCAGAAACATCGAAAAGTCACGAAGTCGAGCCTGCTTACATTCTGACTTACGGGAGAAGAGCTTGCGAGTATCATTTCCTGGACAACCCAAATAAAGAGAATGGATGTGATATTTCATGAGCTGCAGAATAACACTGAACTCCTCAAATTTATCATAACAAACCTAGAGAAGAAGAAAAGAAGAATATGGAACCAACAGAATCAAAACTTGTAAACTTGTGAGGCACCAATGTATTCCACCATCCAACAGTTTGAAAAGTTTAGCATGGATTTCTATAAAGCATAGATGGCTCAAGTGATTTTAGACCCCACAAATGGAAATCAAGTAGTATGTTATAGCGATGTACTGGCGTTGAAGAACCTGTAAGATTGTCTCACCTTGACTCTTCTTAAGTCGCCTGAATCTATGTCAATATGGTGTAGGTCAACTATGTAGTCAATCATATCAACTGACATCTCTTCGTGGCTCCTGATTTGATCAGAAACCTTTCATGAGTACGCCTCTCTACTCTTTGTAGAGATCAAGCTGTGATCAGATATATATAAAACTAGAAATATGGACTCTAGAGGTAAAAGCTTGGAAGATATAACGACCGTGAAGTTCAAAAACTAACCATTTTTCACCTGGCAAAATCTTTGGGAGAAATTCATTGTCAAAGACATGACTGAACGGACCGTGGCCTATGTCATGCAGAAGGCCTGCAGAACAAAGAAAATCATTTTCACTTCACAGTTTTCACATGCCATCATTCCTCCTAAATTTGTGTACAGCTAAATGAGCCTTTGTACGCCACACGTTTAAGTTCCAAGGTACAAAAATAGAGTGGAGTGGCCAACTTGAACCTCAACTTTGCTAAAGAATCAAAAACATCCAAGTCCATGCTAAAATTCTAAACCTCAACTTGCAATCTGACCATCTGAATAGGTTCATACCTGCTAGTTTAACGGCCTTGACGTCGGAACGATCAATTCCAAGTTCAGCACCCTGATAAATTGCATTAACTCATAAATATTGGTGTTTGACACAAGATCTCACTTCTCACACAGAAGACGCAGATTGGTGGTGTCATATCTGCGTACGTTACTACATTCAGCACTATTTCTAAAAGGAAAGAAATTTAGATTCGTGAAACTTAGGCATTCGTAAAAACATGTGAGAGTATTGGAGTCCACGTCTGACAAGAGCCAGCCTTACTTGAAAGTTCTTGATCCGTGTGATAGCTTGATCGGCTAGATAATAAGTGCCGAGGGAGTGCTCAAATCTGGTGTGCACGGCTCCCGGATACACCATATGACAAAGTCCTGCATGAGTCGTGAGTTCGTGAGTTCGAAACACCTGAGGTAAATATGGCACTTCAGTCAAATGAAAGTAGACCGTTGAACATAAAACATATCAATAAGGGACAGGACCGCAAGTGAGCATCATTGCGACATGAAGGGTTCCACTAACAGACAAGTCGTACTGACGAGCACACAAACAAACGAGCAGGAACAGATTAGCTCACCTAATTGCCTGATATCCCGTAACCTGTACTTGGCATGGTATGTGCAATCAAGCAGCAGCAATAGTTAGCTCAAAATTCCCGCGGTAAACGCATATGGACGTGAGAAAAAAATTTGTACAAACAAACAGCAAAACAGTAAAATTCATGCTCGTTTATGCATAGGGATAAACAGAGATTGATGAAGCAGACATATGTCTGCTTCATCCTGCTAATTAAGCACAACTTGCAAGAGTGATGAAAATTCACAAATAATACTTCAACTGACCTCTGAAATTGCTCGGTGTCCACGAACCTCAGGCTCAACTGCACCGTCAAGATAAGTGTCAATGAACAAACAGTTGCAAATTGAAGCTGGAGCATGTGTTACATGATATGTTTAAATAAGGTCATGTGATGTCCGTGATCGTAAACGTGGAAGTGACTACTGATGAAAAATCTGTCTACTTCCTGGAGACGAATGGGAAAACAGGATATCTTTAGTGAAACAAATGAATCATGTCGTTCCCACAACGCTCGTCATCAGAAGCCCTGGTGTAAGAAATATACTTCCAGACAACAAGACTCCAAGACCAATCCCAGGAGGACTCTAAACGCATAACTCTGTAGGTTGAGCATTACGGGGATATCATAACCTTGTTAAAGAAACTCCCAGGATTTTAGACACTCTACTGCCACAGCAAGCCAAAGAACTTCAAGAATCAAACTAGGACGAGCATCAGAATAGAAGGTACATTGAAGCAAGTGATTTGTGCTGGAATTTTCATCTGAAGCATTCAGAAAACAGGAAAAACAGTCCAGACTCAATTTTACTCCGAAACTAGAAAAGTAAAATTCTACAGTTCAAAATCAGCGCCAGTTATAATTTATCTTCAATTCTGCTCAACACTTGCGACACTGATACACAGTAGGCCGCGGAGATTCGGAGAAAGAACAAACCGCATCCACGTAGATCGACCGATGAACATTATCGTGCATGCATTTCGTATGTAAACGCTCCTGAAATACATGCCCTGTGGCGTTCTGCGACAGTGTAAAAGCTTCATCGTGCTCATCGTGACGCAATCCCATCGTTCTTGAAAATTTTTGGTCACCAAGCTCCAAAATCATGTCGAATGCAGCGCTCAAATTGCGCAATCCCATTCAAAGCATTCCGAGTCACCCACTGCCCGCGTTTGACAGAACCATCGAAAACTGGAGAGGGCCTCGAATCTCTCGATACGCAAGAAACACAGAGCTGGAATTTGGCGAGACAGAGATGGGAGATGGGCTGTAAGACAGAGCGTCCCGCCTCTGCCAACAGCAGCGCCGCCGCCTTTCGTCGAATATTGGGAAAATAATCACACCCCCGCCCTCACCATTAAAGAAACCGAAAAAAAGCCCCGGGCAGAAGAATTCAACACGCGCATCGCGGGTCGCTCCCGAGCGCCGTCGTCATGTTCACACGGCCGGAATCACCAGCGTCTCGACAGAGAAGCCGAGGCGGAGCACGGCCGTATAAAACCGAAAGCACATTCAAACGTTTATTCAGTGCACGCGCTCGAGAACGACGGGAATATTCGGCCAGACTCTCTCTGTCCGCTCGCTACAGGCCGGCGCCTCCGAGGCCCCGAACTCTCGTGCAGCGCGCTCGCTTGCGAGATTGATTCGATGCTGGCGCGGGTGCCAATTGACAAACCTCGGGAGAAACCACCAAAAGCTCCATCGAAGAATGCCATCGATTCGTCGATTCGTCTCGGGGCGAACGTGGGCGCCGGGCCCACGCGCGACCGGGGCCGTTCTTCTTCATAACGGAGTGAAGCCGCGAATCAAGACCCCCGCCTTCGAAGGAGGCCGACCATTTCGCCATCCGGCTTCCGTCTTCCGTCTTCCCTCCTCCCTCCCTCGCTGGAACGGCCTTGGAGCGTCCTGCGTCAATTGTAGAGTAGGCTCCTGGGAGGGGGTCTCCCGAAAGCTACCGGTTAGATGGTGAGAGTTCACCGGAGGGCTGCACTCGAAGCTCCCAAATATCTGCAGCGATGGCTTTGCACTATCCAGTCCTTTTCGATAAAGTCGGTCTCTCGGCCTTAGAGAGAGACTTCACTTTGGACGGCTTGACCGACTGCTAGGGCCGCATGTGCCGGTCGTCGCATCAAGCCCGCAAGAAGGAAATGCGGCAACAGTCGACGTCGGTCTCCCTTACTCAACTTCTCATGTGTTCAGTGAAAACCAGAAAAAGTGAAAAAATAAAACGTATATACTACTAATCACGTCACTCAGTAGCATCCGAGCTCGCGTGGCCTAATGGATAAGGCATCTGACTTCTAATCAGGGGATTGTGGGTTCGAGTCCCACCGTGAGTGCATTTGCTTTTCCTTCGGTTGAACCCCTATTTACGCCTCCCTCTCTCGCTGCAACCTTGGAAGACAGAACGAACTTCACGACAAGATGGAAATGGAAACACAGGGATGAATGCTTTCTGCTTTTCTGCCCATCAGGAGAGCAAGTTTTGTTCATACGAAACCCAGTACTACAGCAGAGAAGAATGGCAATGGGTCATGCCAGCGAGTCACACAATGAAACAAAAGTGGTAACAGACCTGAAACTGAGATTCTGAGCATCTATATATCTCTTTTCAGTATATGAATATATTCTTAGAGGAATTTCATAATGTCGATGATGATTTCTGTACAATTTGGAGCTGCTACATGGCCGTACTTTTATACTCGCAACTTCTTCTCGAGGTCCTATTAATGATCTCAACTCAGAGTAACAGATTCTGTACGAATGTTTTCTGTAGTATGTCAGAAATGTCTTGGTAAATTAGATCTACTTATGTTCAACACTTGGACAGTCAATTCGCCAGATTAGGATAAACTGTTTAGATTTAGATTCATTTCGATAATCTCTTTAACTCTCTCCCAGTGACCTGTAAAACGAAAGTGAAGTTTCAACCTGAATTCTTTCAAGAGATGGACAGCTTCTAAATACAATTTTTTTAAACAAAATTTACTGAGCTGCAAACCGAGGCTGTAATAAGGTAAGTGTAGAACATTGCAAGCCTCAAAACGCCTCCAAGATCTTGTGTTAGCTCTTTTCAGAGCATCTTCCTATTTGTATCAGAGTTCAATATTTGTTTGGATAATCTATACGAGTTCTTCGCAACTCTCATATGTTACAACATATTATTCCGTCAATTTAATCGTTTAACGGTCATTCTCGTTTGTTGTGAGCAAACAAACTTGGTGAAAATCTGGGGCTGTTATCAGTTCGCTTCACTCAAGGCTAATGTGTGCAGTTTGGATTTATAACCACTCGTCCTTAGACGATATTTAAGAAAGATTGATATGTTAGTCCAGTTTGTTGGTTGTTATAAACGATGAAGAACTCTAAAAATGGATCTCAACGTATTCATCGGTTGTTATTTATTTGGTATGCTTCTATTACGCAAAGTTGTCATTGTTAGGTTAAGTCCGACCTGTATTTTAGTGCATCATAGTACCTTCAATTTGTGACATGATCTTTTGCATGGATGAGACAATCAGAGAGTTTTTTTTTCTATTTATCCAGTCTCCTGATATTTGTAAGTTTCTCTAATTTTGGTTGTACATAAGATCATACTTGAGTCGCATGGTTGATTTGTTGGATACATTATCATCTATGTTACAAGGTGATCTAGGTAGTTCCAAGGTTAGTTCCAATTATAAAAATTTCTTTCTTCATTACGCAATTATTGGACTAGAGATCCATGGTATATTTTTACGAATATTATTGCATTTCACGTTCATTCTTGTTATAATTTAATATCAATTATTTATTTTCTGATTGTAACAAAGATGCATGTTTACTATACAATGTATGATGTTTTCAAAATTTTATGTATGATGATCGAGTTGGACTTATCCATTTTTAAAAAATTTTGATGTAGATGAATGCAATATTAATTGTTGCAGTAGATAATAATTGCATAATTAAAGCTCTATAAGTATTATTTTAATCAATAATTGGTCGGTTACTAATACTCCTTCTTATGCTACATACATGATGGTTATGAATGAAACATGCCACATAATTTCGTATGTTGATTTTCATACTGTAAATAATGATCAATCTTTGCAAATGTTTTATTCTAGTGAAAGATGTATTTTTATTAACCTCGCTTTGATTCAATAATGTCCATTTCCATGACTCTTAAACCCATAACTATGTAACCATGTTCGTGGAGAGGTTTGTATGTATGTCCGAGCCTTCATCAATGCAGCACGCATAACACTCTTAGCTGTATTCAAAGAATCATTTATTTCCAAACCTATTTTCATATTGTGCTCTTGCATGTACGTTGTCATGCCGCTTGGATATTTGCAAAACCAAATACATCATTATTTCCGTTGAGATGCTATTGGGACTGGCATCATGCTACATGTTTGATTTCTCCTCGGGTTAATGGGTTTTCCCATCTTTTAGCTCCCCTATATGATTTCCTTTCGCTCGCAAAAAAAAAGTTTCAACACACATAGTTGGGAATCATTACAAAACTGCCTCCCACCTCAAAAGCAACCTCTCGCAAATTACATGAGATCCAAACTGATATTTAGTATAAAGGCAGCACATTACTGTCTACTACTCTTTCATTCATTATATGTTCTATTGTATGATTAGGTAGAGGTGCTTCCTAACGCACGAAATCCACTCATCAAAAAGTCCGTTATTGAGAAGCTGCCTTACGGACGTTCATGTAAAACGACATCAACAAGCATTGAAAACACATTTCTAGAAATTTACATTTTAGTGAGTTTCGATTATCGGCAATGCAAAAAAGGCCTTGTTGGATTCAGAATTATGAAAGGATATTTTTTTTCTATGACGGTCAGAATGATATCAGATAGTACAGCTTGTACCACTTTGGTCCAGTTTCTGAAGAAGAGCGAGTAAGGACAAACAGCAGTATAATCCTGTAAGATCATCCAGATGTATTAAGATAGCTACACTCCTCTTCTGGTTGAAATAAGAACACTGAGAGATCGTACAAGACAGAATAGTCTCATACAGTACTACCATCTCCTTAAATAAACCTGTAAGAGACTTTATAGAAGAAGAGAGTTTGATTACATTCACAGATGGATGTTATTCCACTTATCCAGCAATTTACAAGCTTGTAATACAAGATTTCATCAATCCATGGGCATGTCTTGAATGCGAGGATCTCCGGTTGCACTAGAACCAATCTCGGATCATATCAGATAAAAAACTACAAATTCTCTAATATGAACAGATTCCAGGAAAAAAAAATGTACGGTCAAAATCGACGCCTAAACGGTGCGATCGATTTTGAAGTATAATCGAACCTCAATATGAGGTATGACTGGGAACTGGTCCTCGTTCCTAGCACCTTAGGTATAAATACAGTCCCAAAAAGGGACATTATGTACAGCTTTACAAGCAATATAAATAACGGTCCGGTTCGGGGAATGCTAACTACAGTACACAAATTGAAGGTGCATAACCTTTCACGAATAAATTCTCTAATTCCGCTACTCCCTCTAAAATTCGCAAGAAGCGGACGACACACTCTGAGCTCTAAATTAAGGTTTACTGCCGATGGCAAATCATGTCGTAGAGCATTAGGGTGATCCCGAATTGGGGACTAGTTTTTAAGACGCGTACCCCACTGCCTTTGAATAGAGCTCCAGGTCCTTCCTTTTGTAAAATCGTCATAAAACAATGCCAAGCATTCTCGTATACCTCCTCGCCGGCAGTCGCCTCCACCTAAACCCCCGAAAGAACGACAAAGTTAACATGAGCCATCAACAGAAATCGAGAGTTGCAACCAACAAACACAATCCTGAATAGCTTCAAGGAGGCACGAACCCAGAGAGCCTCATTGGATTAAATTCTTAACACGTTTGAAACGCAATAAAGACAACAAATAACGAATTACCTGCATTCTGGTTTTGATGACGTCCATCGGAGTGACTATTACCGTTGCAGGAATTGCGGCAATGCATCCAGCCATGAAGCTCTGCTCAGGGTACATTTGTGTGATGAATGTGTACACAGCGAAGAAAATTGCTGTGCTTGGTATATCACGTGCCATTGTGACCATAGAACCATTATACAACCCATGCAATCCAAGTTCCTGAACAACTTCCCACATACTCTTCGCTCTCGAGTCCTTGGCTTGTGTCTGCAACCGCACCTTTACGGCTTCCATAGGGTTTGTAAAAACAACCTGAGAAAAACCTCCTCCTCCGCCAGCAATAAACTCTAAGAAAACAACACCAACCCCTGGCATCTGGCTCTCTAACATCTCCATAAGGATTTCGTTCACTGTAAGTTTCATAGCCTGCAACCACCAGAAGTGTCAGTGGTTACATCTAGCGACTTCCTAGCAACACGCAGGTCCGATAGGCAAAGGCAACTTTAATCATGTAAACCACTGAATGAACATGCGTGCGTAGAACGGCCCTAATAGTATCTCAGGTGCACTAACAGTATCTCAGGTGCAGCTATCTTCGACGCTTACAACACATACCTTCTCAGGAGCTATGCCGATAAGTTGTGGAACAAGACCAGAATAGAGAGCCCCCAAGCCTCCTTCTGCTATTACTTGTCGAAGACAGTCCACTTCATCTTTGTAATGTGGCTTTTCTCCATCCTTCTGATTCAACCACATACCAGCATGATTATCACAAACCTACTACAATCACGTACAACAGCATATTTGCGTCGTCAAGACTGCTCAACACGAACGGGATACCGTACTTGGAAAGGAGAAGTATATAACTTACTGATCTTTGAGCTTGCATTCTGGTCTTGATGGTGTCCAGAGGGTAGACTAAAGTGGCTCCCATCGCTCCTGCGATTCCTCCTCCACTGAGATGCATCATTATTCTAGCCATTAGACCCACACCGGGAACTGGAGAGGAGCTCAGAGCGGTGGCAACAGCAGCACTTTGCATAGAAGCCACGGTTCGACTCGCGGCAGATACAATCGACCCTACAGGTACAGAAGCCACGGCAACGAGCTCCGGGGCATCTCGAGAGGGCAAATGTGTTGTGGTCGAGTTGGTAGATCGTCCTGAAGCCGAGGAACTATCGTCTGGAATGGACTTTGACACTGCCGGTCTGTCTCGTGAGATGTCTTGCCCAATACTGGTTCTCTCCTTGCTAACTAACGCTGAAGGTTTAAATAAAGGGACGACAACGCTCGCTACCCTGCGAGTCGTCACAGGTTTTCCACTCTCGTCCAACTTCGTGACTGCTTTCCCTTCGCCACCCACGAATAACTTCTGCTTGACGTGATCGTCTATCGACCACTGACTCAAGGGTTGACCCACACCTTCCAACCACTCCTTCTGCGCTTTGATTTCCGAATGAAGTTGATACATAAGCTGGGTCTCTATATCCTCTTTCGTGTACCCAGGAATGCTAGACCATTCGTTACTCGTGGAACTTGCTAAAGCAGAAGAACAGAGAGAAAGGGAAAGACCTGCAACAGCCGCGGCTGTCATAAGATTGCGCTGACATGACTTCCAAGCGTGAGAGCACTGAACCCTTGAATAGCTCTCTTTTTCGTCAACAGATGCCAATGAAGCCATGCGACGTCGAGAACTGCGAGCTAAGCCTCCTGACTTAGACCTCAAGAAACCAGGCTGTCTCTGGTTTTCGACAAGTTCATTGCCATCAGAAATATGAGGCTTCCTGTCCAATCTTCCTGTCCACTGTCCTTTTGAACTTCTGATGGTTGATACACTGGACGGAAATCGTGCACTGAGCCTCTTCCCTAGATACTGACTTCTACCTCCACAACCACAAGTGACATCCCTGTGTACAGAGCCGGGAACTCCAAACAACAAACTTGAACTTCTGCCATATTTCCAGCTTTTCATTCTTCTAAGCTTCCTCCTGGGCAACGACCTCTGCTTTTGGAGCACGTGTCGAGAACCAATCTCCAAATGGACTGGAACAATATCAGACATAAGATTAATCCAATTGCCCGACTTCCTGCTGACTGCTGGGGAATTTTCCACGGACCTGCCTTGAAACCCAATCGAATGAAGTAAAGAAACCATTCTCCCTAAATCGATCAAGCCCTGCCAGTTTCTACACGGAACTTTGAAAAAGGGCCACACCAAGGTAGCTAACTTCCTTAACAAACTTTCGCCATCCGATATCTACCGTTGCTCGAGCTTCAGAGCCCGAGGAAGCCCGTGTGCATCAAAGCAGTCCTGACAAACTCAGAAATGAGACAACCAAAGATAAGAGGCCGTCCCCAAGAGCATTGGACAGGCCTGCACTGGAACCCAGAGCTGCTTGTCTCCCGACAAACTACAAGCACCCCTACCCAGGAAATGGCCGGTACCTTCAAGCAATCAAAGACTGGGAAATTGTTGGTGTAATCCCTTCGGCCTACGGAAAATAGCAGACCACCTTAGACTCCGGTATCCATTTGAATCAGGAGCAATTGGTTCCTGCTTGTTCCACCTCCTTATGCCAAACCGAACTCCTTCACAACCACCTCCTGCCGTAATCTTAGAAACTGAAAGCTCCCTGTCTTCAAATTATGAACCTATATCAACCTCTTCTCAATGTCTGAAGTCATCTGAGTGGACAACAGCAATCACGAAAGAAAAAACTTGGACAAGAATACTGGATGCGGGACATTTCCCAATTATTCAAGAAACCTTTCAGCCCATCCAGTTCTCGCGTCAATTGCGTTTTGACCACGCCATAATCCTCTGCAATCGCTGGACGAGCTCAATCCCTCTCTCCTGATCCCTCTCCACGATCAAGAATCGACTACAAAGCCACTGAGCCACCCAAAGTCCACAAATTCCAACAACAAATTGCAATATCCCAACGAAACAACGGACTCCGCAGATTGCAACTCAGGTACGAGTAGAAATGTTCTCTTTACGGTTGATTGCACTGACAAAGTGTGCAGATCTTTCGACGGCCTTTACGCTGATCGACAAAAGTTCCTGTCGCGTCGCACTTTCCCAAGTAGCCCTCCGCGCCGGCGTCCCGTAGCACAACGTGGCGGTAAATTTTCTCGGACGAGGAAGATCTTCCCACATGTTACCGTGGCTGTCGTCCCGTCAGATGGTCCCGATAGATATTTCGGGATCATTTCCGCGGGGTAAAATCCGCCGAATTTTACGCCCGGACAGACGGCCGTCAGATGCTCTGGCTGACCGTTGGGGATCCTCCACCTTCCGGACCATCGCCCGCCTCCTTCCGCGTAAAGGTCCTCAAGACGTCGATGTTCAGATTCCAGTCAAGCAAGATGAGAAACTTAGTATTTTCCAGATCTTTAGGACAGCAAACCCGCATCCTGCACGTGGATCTGACGTGGTGCAATTCTGCATAATTGGAAGACAAGTCATCCCTAAAAGGTACTACGGTCGGATCCCACGGTTGCTTTTCTTTTTAGTCAACCTCTGCAGTCGATCTGAGATCTGAACTTTGCTGCTTGAACTTGATGGGCAAACCGACATGGACTGTCCGCATCTGGCGCTTTTGATCGTGGTTGATTATTTCCACCACAATATTCCCCAACCTGTTTATCACGTACGGCTTGGTGGGTCTTGCATATATTCCTTGCTTCTCATCGTTCTTTTACAGTGGTAAATAAAGAATGTTGATTATGGAAATTAGTAAATTTGAAAGCTGAAAATGAAAATTATTTTTATAGCTACAAGAGATACTGTAGCTATAGAATAAAAGAATTTTCTAAATTTTACTCAACCAAACTGGATATTAATTTTTCATGAGGTTAAATTTATCATTGGGATCATATACTTTACCTGCCTACTTGCTTTCGTCAGTCCAATAGAAAGTATTAGTATATGCAGAGCTATCCATATGACAATCACTTATTCAGGTGATCACGTGTATTTTTTTGTAGATTTAAGGTTTTTTATCATCTCATAAGACTCTATATGAAAATAGTTTAAGAAAATAAAATAATATTTCACACACAAAAATTTTATATAGGTACATCTCAATCTTTAAAACAGAAAAATTCACGTTATATCCTGTAGTTATAGCATTATTAAGTTTTAAATCAAGTCTTATTAACTCAGGTTACTGTTGTATAAGTTAGTAAAACTATGGTTACTCTCCTAATATCTAAGAGGGCTAATCATAGATGGCAGTGTATAATGCTTTGAATTTTCAGTAAAATATCTTCTTCTTTTTTTGGTGAAAATAGACTTTCAAAAGGTAAAACATGTAGTTTTGCGTCGATTCCATGACATTGTTGTGTCTGCATGAAGTTTAGGTTCTACTTGATAGTTGATATCACATTGTTACGATTGCAACCCTAGAGAGTTATCATCTTTTCTTTTTCTTTTGTTGGCAATTTGGAGGAAGGATGTGGTGTTGCATGGCACAAAAGTTGATTCTATCACATAATCATTCAGAATTCTGACACAACTGCTGGATGAGGAGACGAAAAAGTGTGACATTACATCATGAACAATTCCAATACTTGACGATAAGCGTCAAAGAGTGACGAGCATTAAAAGACAACTACAAATATTGGGCACAAAAAATGCAGCAGCAAGCAAAGACTAGCAGGTCGTAGGTCGACACGCACTAAAGACGACGGCGAAGGAAATGTAGAGCCGAGTCACAATTTGTAGGGCAACAAGAAGTGAAAACGATAATTGAGAGACTAGCAATGGAGCCATAGAAGTAGGTTTAAATACAAAAATACATTAGGTCGTATCAAAGTGCGATGACGTTGTTTTCATAGTTTTAGTTCACAAATCATTCATGATATTGTGAACATCGTCTATAAGCAATTGATCATAGAGAAATACAACAAACTTGACTGATAATAGATAGAATTCAATGTGAAAAAAAGAATAAGATTTTCAGTGAGAAAACCCTTTTATAAGCACTTGGCATAATAGTGTCCCGAGAGGAATAAGAAGAAACATTTGCTGAATATTTTGGAGTAGAATCTCATACGCTCCGTTTGAAGATAAAGAGAAATAAGTGTCCAGTCATTACACTAGAATGAACTAAAATGCAAAAAGTAGAGTCTTAGCAATTTGTGGCCTCAACAATCAGCGACGTTCATATGTTGTATTCATATTTAGCCCTATTTAGTTTCAAACATGTTGAATGTCAGGTCAAACTTTGAAATTTAATATGTACATCAATTAAAAATTGCAAGCATATTCAAACTTGAATTATTCCACAATTTGAAACAAAATTATAAATGTATATGACTTTAGAGTGACTTGAAAATAAGAATAAAAATATTCACGTTCATAATTAGCTTCAATAATAACTTTGAGCTTCATCTCATGAGACTCCAATATGATATCTTCAAGTACATGACTTTCTCGTTGATAACAACTGTCGGCAAGATGTTGGCAAGAACATCATATTTTATCAATATATTTTTTTCTTTTTATTTTTTTAACCTGCATAATTTTAACCCTACATACTAATATTTTGGATTTAAATCCAGAAATTTAAATCTAAAAAATGTTTGCCAAAGTTAAATATTAAATTCTAGTATTTCATATTGCACATTTGAGTGTATGAGTTTTGTATGAAGTTAGTCAGGATTTAGATATTAGATTTTTGGACAAATGTTATATTATTATTATCAAATTTGTCTTCATAGAGATAACATTTCAGATATTTGACAAGATCAGTAATAGTCTCAAATGATTGAAATAGATTATTCAAACAAATGTATATCATAAAGAATAACGTTTTAAACTTAATGAGTTGACATGATTATCATATATAAAAATCAAAAAAATAAACGTGATAAATGTATATTTTAAAAAAAATATCAAAGATTACATATTTGAACAAGATATTGAGTCACAAAGTGTCAATTTCAAAAAAAATTGATTAACATAAGTTTTAAAATCATGAGTGTTGATTCAATTTGATGAATTTTAATTTTTTGAATGATTGTAAGATTTTGATATCATACAAAATCCAAATCGAAAATTAAAATTAAGATTATTTCTTATGCGTTATGGAAATTTATGGATGTATTTAAAAACTTTAAGATGATGAAGATTGACTTGTACATTGATATCGCATCATAACATATTTTATTATCATATGAAATATCACATTACTCATCATAACATACATTGATGTCATATAAAACATCAGAGTATGGAAATTTTACTAACAATAACACAAGTGTATCACAATAAACTTCTCAACTGTCAAAATTTCTATCAAAATATAACTATCATCAATATCAGATAAAAAATTCAGATTATTATTGAGTCAAACTCACTTTGTGATTCAGTATCCAGGTTCTTGCACAAGCTGATTTTTATCATAGCCCAATTCTCATGAATCAAATTCCAAAATGCAATCCTTGGTGAATATAATTTGAACTCTATAGACTTAAACTTTAGATAAGTTAAAAATACTTTGAGTAGTGATGATAAATCTAATGTGAATATAATCAATTGCGCACTTGTAGTTATCTGTTGCAGATTATTTTATACTAAAATAATAGATTGCAAATAAAATATTTCTTTTGAAATCAGGAAAAAAACAATTTCAAAATAATTTAAATTTTATGTGCGATAAATTTTTGCTACGATATGTTTGAGTTCATGTGTTATTATTATCATTTATTTAATCTTCCAGAATCTTCATAAATTTAAAAAAAAAAAATTTATAATTATATATATCTTACACCACTCTCTTGTTGAAAGTTTTTATACTTTTTAACGTTTAGTTTGAACATTATTAAAAATTTCTGTTGAATACAATATGTAAATTTAATCTTCTTTTGTTTTTTTTTAATTATAAGAATCATAAAACTAAGACAAACAGTTGTATAAAAGTCAACATCATGAAATCAATGATGCCAAATAGTTTCAATTTGACATTAAAATTATGATGGATATTGTAATAAGTTTTAGTGAATAATAAATTTAAATGAAAATCAAATTCTTAACATTTTGAAAAATATTTTGTGTATTTTTTTTTAACCTTAATGATTTCAGAAATTGCATATCTCTATTTGAGACTGTCAACTGACTCAAGCAATAGTGTTCTGGAGTATGTCAACTTTACATTCAAATGTGATTAATAAAAAATATTACTCATTACACATGATTAATAATTATAAAAAAAGTGAATAAGTTAGAAATTATATATGGTAACTATATGTTATAATAAGTAGTGATATGTTCATGATTGTTAAAGTTTGCAACATGTAAAAACTTTCTATGCTGTATATATACTATAAATTCTGAGTTGTTCTCAAAAACTTTGTATAAAAATACATATCAATCACATTCAACATATTCACACAACTTTTGAAAATATGGTTTGTTATGAGTGAAACAACTGCCAATGAGGTTCATTTTTCATCTCATCATCGTGAATTACTTCAATGTGTTTTTTTTCTAGAAAATAATAACAGTTTGCGTTTTGAAAGTTGCATGCAGTATGTCATATATATTGTGTGGTGAAAATTTGAGTATCAGTGAGGTAACAGCTTTTAACGCATATTTTGTTTCCGAGAAAGTCGATGAAAACATTGAAATATTATTTTTTTATGTACTATGCTCAAAAATATTTAAGATTCAACACCAAGATTCTTTATTACACTTTACCACTCACAAAACTAAAATTAAAATCCAGAAAGCTATTGCTTAAGATATTGAGTGAACTCGTTCCCGATCAGGTCAGTAGTTGAAATACTAAGAACACGCTGTAGGCACTGTTCACATGCTGGGTGCGAAAGATACTGAACTGAACATACTCTTTGGGAAAACGGAACATGATGATATCCAGTAGATTTCACACTTCTCATACTAGTGTCCAGAGACATTCCATCATGTTAATTCCTTATAGGGAACTCCAAGCCTCGCCAGAGGAGTAGGTCATCAGCTTGAAAGGAGAGAGAGACAGAGAAAAGGCCAGGAGTATGGCAACAGGTTCTGACAAACAGGAGCAAGGAAATTTTACTTAGAGCTCGGGTGGGTAGAGCCTGCAGGTTGAGGCTCCGGGCTCTGAAGCTCCTGAGGCCTCTCCTCCAGCTCCAGAGCCTTCTGCTTCTGGACAAGTATCCGATGGAAGAGAGAGTCTAAAATCTTCTGGTGCTAAAGCAATCACCGATGACAAGTTTAGAACGATGTTTTCCTCAAAGCTCACGTTGGGGTCGGTGGGTCGGATGTTCATCCCGGGCCTGATCCTCACGGTAAAGTCTTAGAAGGAGAAGCTAAGGAAGCTAGAGGCATCAGAGTTGAATCAGGTCTGAGGAAAGATCCCGACTGAGCGAAACCTGCAACCATTAGTTACGGTATATCTATCAGCAAGAACAGATCCAAGCTGCGCGATGGTGAACGATCCGAAGGGCAAGATTCACGTCTTCTTCCTTGTTCCAAGCCACTCCGGGTTGGGGAGGCTGGTGGACCTCAGGAAGATGAGATGAAAGTAAGTCTCACATCTCTTCAGAACAGAGGTCTGAGACGAGTAAAGTAATTGGCACTGACCTTGTTCCTTGTGAAAAACTAGACAGCGGATCGAGCAAGGGAGGAAGCGAGTCAGCTTTAACAACCGACTGTGAAGAGGCTGGGTACAAGGTTGTGGAGTTACGAGACCTTAGTGATGTGAGAAAGCCTTGAATCAACAGTAGAAGTGTGGAGTTCAAGGATGGTAGAGATGGTAAGAAGTCGACGAACCTCAACAAGGTTGGAGGTGGTAGGGAAAGCAGTGACGAGAGGAGGCCCATGAGCGCAAACTGTAATTGAAAAGGCAATTTCTGTAAAGGGGTCCAAGAGCCCACATTCAATTCACGGAGGATCCAGTGAGCAGAAAGGAGGTACTCACGCGAGCTCGTCTTATAAGTTCGAGAGATTAGACTCCTGGAAGGATGCTACAGGTGCCGAAGGGGAACGGAAAAGAAAGGCAGTTCGAAAGCCTTCACCCGATGTCAAGGGGGAAGGATGGCCGGTCAAACGACATATGGAACAGAAGTCGAAGACAATGAATATAGATACTGATGGTGTGAAGGAACGGAAGTTGGACCCCAAGCTGAAGAGGAGTAGATCCAGAACTATTGATGCTATCAACACTCTTTACAGGAAAGAGAGTGGAGATGCGCAAGAGGAGTTCAGGGATTGTCTTGAGAGTGGAGACAGGCATCAATCGCTCTTGGATTTTACGTTGATAGATTGAGAGAAGTGAAATTGGGTCTCCGATGGATAGTGTCCGAGACGTGTCACTGTCAAGTAGGAAAAATCGGAGAGCCTAAAGTCCCAGGAGAATTCCTCTTGTGGAGTGCATCAGGGTTATTTGGGCTCACAAGTCGGGTCTCCCTTTCGTACAACGGCAGGATCATCAAGAGTAACGACTCTATATCATAGTGCTCAGGAGACATGTGGGCTTGGGCGTGATATGAACGCGCTTGGAAGAGGTACCGTACTCTAAAAGTCTTTTACCAAGACCTTCTCCTAATGTTCACACACGCTTCGTTGTGCAATTACTCAGAACCTCAAGAAAATTATGGAGCTAAAGATTAGCGCAGCTCTGCACTGGGCACGAATATATGCGGACTGAAGTTATGCTCAAACATCATGGGCCCATCAGACGGAGGCGGGAGGTGAGGAGGTTCATGGACGTGTACCGGGGTAAGATATTTTTAGGCTTCGTGAGTAAAGCTGTCTAGAATATTGGACAGTATCTCACAACAGCAAAGAATTATGAGTTGTGTGTTTTCTCTACCGACTCTATCTTATTTCTAGTGGAAGATATCAGCTTCCTACATACCGCTCCGACCTCGGAATCAGTGTAAAAATGCCACAAAGACTGACAGTCCCGATATTGCGGGACAATAAAACTTACCCGTCTTTACAGACAGACAGGTCATTAGGCCTAGAGATGCAGGTTGCGCCTTCGAATGCTCCTATTAACATCGAAAGTGACGATGTGTGAACACACCACATTCATCTGCTCCGCTGGGCTTAAAATCTTTTGTACAACCAGGCGTTCACGGCAGTCATCTTGTAACTTCCACGCAGTCTGTAGAAAAAAACCTGGTATGCGAGTGCATCTCGTCATACTTCTTATCACATTTCAATCATTAAGCTCAAAAACAACACTGCCAGTCCATAAATCAAAAGTTCCAGCATGACTGTAGACTCAGCCCGCACGTTACAGTAGTCAGCACTGCGTAGGTTCCAACCATCCCGCAGATTCTTTCACGAAACTGTTAAATGGCTTCACTAGAGGTTTGATATTCCAATTACTCCAGTAGACATTTTGTGTATACCAAAGAACAGATCTCACGCCATGACCGTGACCATCCGTACTCATATTGACTACACAAGCCTTTCGGTGGTAAGTTAAGTTGTATCTCGCATCGAACTCGCCATGCATGCAGCCTCGTGCTCTCTGGACGTTTCCGCATACATAGTTTTACAAGGTGGATCATACAATAAGAACCAAGGAACCGACCACCGGGCAGAACCACTGTACCTAAATTAAACCAGATAACTACATTCAGTGTGCTCATTGTACTCCCGTTAGTTCTCACATGCTTTCGGTTGCAAGAAAGGTCAAATTCCCAACATGAGACTCAGCAGCTTTATCTGCCACCTACTGCACCTCCAGTGGATGTAAGGAATACATTCCTTACAGGTAAAACCCGAACTCTTCGAACAGTCCAATTTTTCTTGTGGAACCAGTTACACTGAACTAGGCATGCTTGTTATAATCCTACAGGGACGGACGACCTCAGGAGTAACTTAACATTTCGTGGGCTCCACATTCTAGACATATAGATTTCATTGATGCCTACTTACTCAACAAAATATAATCCAGATGCATGTTATGTCAAAATCCTGCTGAAAAATCTGCAAAGTAAGGCCAATTCACTCATGCTTTGGGTGCATCGGGGTACTTTAAAAAACTGTAACCGGGGGTAAAGCCATAGCCTCCGATGATTGACTCGACTCGCACGTTCTTTGACATGAAACTTACAAAACTGAAATGTGTATTGATCTCACTCACAGTTCGCTGGGCGGTTTGCAGCACTGGTCACTACGCCAATAGTTTCTCATCAAGAAACATCAATACGGAGCTTGAAAGGCAGAAAGATATGCCGATAATTGACATTGAGTTTCTGCCAATGATGTGTAAAAGTGACACGGAATGGCCTCTTCGTCCCGTACAGGACAAAATCTATACTCTCAAGGGAGGCAAATGGGACTAACCTAAACCCTACTCTTCGTCCTCCTCTTCGTCACCATCACCGCCGGCAGCCTTCTTCGAAGCAGCCTTCATGTTCCTTCTCTTCACTCTTCCGGGTCTACCGGCTCCAAGAGGACTGGAGAGAGCGAAGTCGACGTGCTTTTGGCTGTCGACACGTACTAAAAAGGAAGGGACATCGACAATTTGCTTGCCAACCCTACATAATTACGAACGGAACCGTTTAATGAACATCTTCTTACAGAACAGGTTGTTTACAATACACAACAGAGACAAAAACTCATTTCTCCAGATGATCTATGCAACGAATCAACGCCCCAATCACGACCATGAGCACTGCCTCTAAAGAAGCAGAACCTGTAAGGTTGTTTCTCCTCAGCTAGACTTCACAATGGCATGAACAAAGACCTGAATTTGGAAATCCCGATAGAGAGAATGCAGCTCCTACTTTCATACATTTTTCTCGCCCGCCAGATGCGTAGATGTGCAAAAGTTGCTTACGAAGGGTTACATGTTGCTAAGATGGAAGAGAAGGCTCAGGACAAAGGTCACCACATGAGCGGCGATCATATTCATGACCAGCATTCGGCAGTAGATCGACTTCTGAAAATTAAAGACCAAGTTTCGTTACAAGCTTCCGTACTAAATAACAAACAGCGTAGTACTCTCGCACCGAAATTATGTCTTCAGAAGGTAGTTAAATGAGAACGGAACTCACCTGATGTGGCGCTGCTTGATCAAAACGCGGGCGTGGTGAATGGACTTAGCCATACCACTCTTAAAAACGAGAGTCTGCAAACGCCTCTCGAGGAAGTTCTCTACAGTAAGAGCCAGCACGTAATCGAGCTTGCTCTGGCTCTCGTCAAGAAGACCATATCTGTTCATACGACGCAGAAGAGCCTCTCCCTCAAAAATACGACGGGTGTTCTTCTCGTCCAAAGTCAGAAGCTGTCTAGCATTGTTGCGAATCTTGCTCAATGCATACTGCACTCTCCAGAGCTCACGCTTGTTCCTGAGACCGTACTCTCCGACGAGCTTCAACTCTGCGTCGAGTCGTTCCTTCTCAAAAGGCCTGCGGGGCTTTTTGAATGTCTTCCCATCTGATGCGTTTAAATTTGCAACACATTAAGATCACAGCGCTCTTTTCCGACATCTTCTCACAAATGACCTAAACGAGCCCGAATCGAAACAACACGATGCAGAGCCAACACACAGCGACGAAATTCGGTCCATAAACTTACAGTTGCGGTATACGGCAACGTGCACCATCGCGACTCTTCACAGCAATCCTCAATTGCTCATACGATTTTCTGGTCCGGTTATCGATCAGTACCTGCGCGTCCCGATGAGCCCGATCGAAAGCTCGAAAGGAAAAGAGAGATTTGGTGAAATTTCCCAACTATATCAGTTGTTAGGGTTCCAGCGAGGGACTGCGAGCCCTAATTCGAGTCTTGTATTTTCCGAAAAGAAAATAATAAATTCCATTTCCATGAGCCAATATAGTACGGTACTTTACAGTAGACTGAGCAGTACTGCCCAATCACAGGCGAGAGATTGGACTGCGGTCAAAACTGCGTATTGATCCACGTGACTGTAGTACGCCTATCCCTGTTCCGAGATAGCCACTTGATTTGCGCTTTCATTCATTATTCTTCGAGAAACTTTGCATACAGGTTCCTTGGTACTCTTTTCTTATTCCACAAGGTTAGCTCATTTTCAGCATGTGTTAACATTGTTCTCAATATAAATATTCGTGTGAGAGCACTACCTTCTCCAAGTATGGAGGATCTGACTTGATAAAATGGCGACACTCAAAATCTAAACTAAGCTCCTAAATAGTCGTATCATTGACTATATTTCACGAATTTGAAATTCATTCGATCATAGTTTGAAAAGTTTCGATACGTAAAATTTTATTTCGTGTATTAATAATTCTTATAAACTTCTCATTCCAATACCATAACATGGTATCTTTAATGTGCATGGTCAAGTTAAGGTACACATTGTAATGGATAAACAACCTAGTAATTTGGTATACCAGTAATTATTTCAGACATAGACTATGAATATAACATTCTGGAAAGTTTGTTAGATGAAAAATTGTTCAAGCAGGAACTGGATACTTATTTGAAAATAGATATGATTTAAGATGTATGCAAATTTCCATAAGTTATAGTAAAAAATATGTAATGAAATTCTGTAAATAACATACAATGCACATTCATGAACAGTTTTCAAATATAATGATTATTTTAAGTTTTGATGTGCTTCAAATATTATTATGACAACAAATATTAATATATATATTGTTATGTATCCAAATTTTATTCATACATTTTTTATCTTAAATACACTTTATTTAAAATTAAACATATAAATAAATATGTATGAATTCATCTAATGATATTGATTTTTTTAAGTTATAGTTGTTTCAAGTATAATAATTTCTAAGAGAGAACTCTATGAATAATATCATAACTAGTCATGTTAGATCATTATATTATACTTAATGCATTCAAAAACATACTGTATGTTTTAAATTACAATTCATGAATGTTACAAATTTTCAATACTTATGTAGAAACATGCATAAAAAACTAAATGCGTTTATGAATGCAATGTGATAATGTGAACCTACATTTAGCATGAATATACTTCAGAAGTTGTAATCATAACATTTGCAGATTAGTGTTAGTATTACCCAGATCTGTTTCAACTCATGTGATTTGGATAAAGTTAGGGTTTAATTTTTTTTCTTAATAGAGTCGTCTGAAATTCTAGACTTATTCTTTAGGATATTTATCTACAAAGATATTCTATTGTTCACGAGGACAATACATGGCAATGTCAAACCACGTATTTGTGTGTCTGCAATCTTTTGTATGGTTGTTTTTGCGTTTCGATTATCTCTCGATGGTTAAAGATGTAGTTTATATTATATGCAATTATTCTACATGTTATCACATACATTCAATTATAAAAATAAATAATTAAGCTTTTAAATAAATACCACAAAAATGTATGATTAAAAAAATAATGAATTTTTTCATTAATTATAAAAAATTATTTATATTTAATCATAGTTTAATCTTTACAGGTATTTTATTTTTTACTATAATATTGAGTGAATATATTATAAATTATGGTGATGTTAAGATTTCATAAAAGAAATAAAATATCAAAGTACAATAAAATAAATGTAGATTAGAAATACTTAATAAGTGTACGATAAATCATTCATATTTCAATTTGAAAGCATGAAAAAATATTAATTTTCAAATTAATTTTCACAAATATGAGGATTATTCTTGAATAATTATTAAATTAATAACAGTTTCAAAATATGTAACATCTTCATATAAATAAAATATTTCTTCTATAATTTAATAAAAATAAAAATTAAGTGTAATTTTATTATTCGATTACAGTTGAATATATACATGTATTTGCTGCAATATTTGAAACAATCATGGATTATTTAGATGTAATCATATATATGTTGAAAATTTATTTAGATTATACAATATAAATTAAAAAAACTATATGATTATGAATTTGAAGTAAGTTTAAGTTGGTTATAATGTGAAAATTTCGATATTCATTGAAGCTTATAGACAATGAAATGTGAACTCTGATGAAGTCATGGAAACACCCAACAAAATAACATTTAAGGCATTGGCTTCCTGTATATGCATAAAACATGTGGAAAATACTTATTATTTCTTCTTTGCCTTTATATGCTATGTGAAATAGTTAGGCTTAGATGCATTAGTCAGAGATCAACTTTATAAAAGCAAATAGGATAGTCAACTTGCTAATTCAATATGTAGTAGTAGCAAAAGAATCAAATGGATTGATTTGATAGACTAAACGTGTAGCATAGATGCGTGAATTTAATACAAATTCATACTTGTATTGAAATTCATATTTTAATAAAAATATGAATTTTGAATATGTAAAGTCAACAAAAACAACAATGTATTTTATTTGATATAAACAAATTTATCAACTATATGGATTTAAAGAAATAAATTTTCAATTGTCAGAGCTGTAACTGAATTGCTTTACAACTTGCAACGAATCAAGTTATGAACCACATGATAAAATACATATATTTTTGTCAATGATGTAATTGCAAATAAAGTAGTTGAGATAATGAAGATTTGAAATAAAGTTAATCCAACTTACACATTGATCTAACTTATACATGATATTACAGCTTCTAATATCATGTAAATTTTGCATAAAGAGCACAAATAAAGTTTACTACGTGCTGAAATTTGTATACATCACTTGAGTACAATTTAATTCGTATAAAAAATTAGATGAATAACATGTATATGTTGTGAGATTTTATTTTAAAACTAATATTATGATAATTCCAGAGGATATTTATCTGAAGACATGAGTAAAAGAAAATTTGTTATGAGTTAACTTAGGTTAATGTTCTTCTATTCTGATTGATATGTTATTATATGAAAGAGCTAGTTTTAGCTTTTAATAATATATATGTATCCAGTTTTAATAAAGTATGAGTGTCTTACAAATGTAGACTTCATACAGCTGAACTACAAATTTTTTCACCGATTTGTTGCATCATTATGAGAAGTATAAATTTTCTTAAATTTATTTTACTAAATAAACAAATAAATTGGTTTGACAAAGTAAAGATAAAATTATTTAACAGAAACACGAGTAAAGATATTTATTTAAGATAAATTTATCTTCGTTATATTATTATATTATCCAGAAATAATGTCCTTTCATTTTTATTGATCATAACCTTATTTACAATTGAAAGTTGATTGAAAATACATATTTTCAATCAAATGAATATAATAAAAGATGCACAAAAGATAAAAATGTTAGAATCACAACATAATTATTCAATCTAAATTGTCAATCACATTTTTGGTTTGTATTTCACTTGCTTTAGATGAAGATGTTATGCTGAAATTCATGTGGTTCATAAGAATAAATTATGGACTATGTTACACACAGCCAAAATGTTTTTACAATTTTAACCCTTGACTATCCTGTTCTTCTCACAACTTCATACCATATCATAGTAGTTTGACAAAATAATCAAAATTTATCAAAAGTCAGCTTGAACTTGAGTGAGAAAAATATTGGAAAGACTCATATGATTGAGTTTATCATTTTGAAAGTGTAAAAGATACATTTAATTTTTCTTATTCAAACCTATATATATATATATATATCATAAAAAAGAAGATGGTGACTGTGAAACTACTTTGTAATTATATGGACTTCTATATAACTTTGAGTTATCGCTACAGGCAAGTACATGTGTTTAGACCAAAAGTATCTATATATATATATATATACAGAATGTAATTATTCGGTAGAGTTTGCTTGGAAAATTAGCCTTCAAAGAAACGCTATAACAATGCTCAGGACCCTGGGATATGATAATCAATCGAACATGTAATTTTTCGAGATAGAAATACAGCCGTCGTCGTTGACTCCGTCGAGTTAGGAGAAGTAAAACCCAGAAAACGAGAAATTTCGGGATTCAAAGTTGGCATTCCTATTCCTAAGGCCAAAAGCAAGATTCTGGAGGAAAGCTTGAATCGCGAAGCCGGCCCGGAGGGCGGGACAAGTCATGCACGTACTCTGCCTTCGTCCTCGACGCGATGCCATTGACCGAAGGGAATGGGATCGCGTCCTCGCACGTACACAGTGACAGGAGGAAACAGGCGGAGATGGAGCCCGGAAGCTTGAGATATTTTGCCGGTAAAATATTTTGAATTGCTTTCCGGCTAATGGAAGCAAGAACGAAATCATGCAAGACAGGGCCATCGATACGACTCTTGATTTCGTGGATGTTCAAGTGATGGCTTGAGTCACGCGATGATTTGTCGTGCATTTCAGTTGCAGATCTACATGCAAATGCTGAGACGGTCACGGGCGGTCGGTTGACCGATTTGGAGGAGAGAAGTGAAGAGATTATCGATGCGGCTGACATTGCGAATCAGGCAGGAACTCTGTGTCTCTGAAGTTGAAAATTGTGGTAGGACTCGGAGTTACCCCTGAGGAGGGGCACATATGTGCTCTAAGTAGAAGAGTATTACAGGGAGTTCTCTGTGGATCTGGTCCGGTAGCGAGTTACCGACCTTTCTGCGGAGGGATGCACTTCGGATGAAGCAGTGGAGATGGCAGATACAGCGGACTTAATGAGGCGAATGCGGTGGACATTTCTACAGCAGCGCAAATGGGCCCATTGAGAGTGTAATTTTGCTCAAGGTTCAGCTCGTGTATCTCGTCGTTCCTGTTGCATCGCCGTCAGATAGCAGGTCTTTGTTCAGTGCTTCGAAAATCTTATGTCTTGGCTTCGGTGTGAGCTTGCATTGTGTCGAATTTGTTCAATGTCGAAGCGTTCAGGAGTAGAGAGCTGTTTTTGTGCGTTTGACTTGCATTATACCGAAGTACCCGATTACTACTTGTCATCTCGTACGTCTTTATGAAAGATTTGGTGGACGTATTATAGGGTTCTAACATACTGATTGGAAGGGCCAGGATATCACCTAGGTTTTCAGTCATAGAAAATCTTTTCCTTCAAGCTGAATTCATATGTAGACTCTGACATTGTCGTCTTATTACCTGTCGCTGTCAACCCGCAGGTGTAATATGTAAGTTCTGACGGGGACACTGCATGTGGTAATGGTGATGGAGAAACAGATTTGTTCAAACAGTATACAGGTTGTTCGCGTTTAATTGGCGTAGTGCGCCAGCTCCGTTTGTGGTCTCTCACTTCCCTGTAGGAAGCAATGCAGACCCCCGCGACCACGAGTCCGCGGGCGGACTCCATCTTAGACTGGCTAGAGCAGGAGATGGGATACAGGTTACCCCCATCAGCTGATGCTATCACCAAGATATGTCGTGGAAATATGCTCCCCATATGGAAGTTTCTATTGGAGAGGGTGAAATCCGAGAAAACTGTGGACAAAATCAGGCGCAATATCCATGTTCATGGAAACAACGTAGGTACCTCGACCGTGAAAGATTTGAACGTAGAGGAAAATCAGTTGAAAAGAAACGAGTCTGGAAAGCTGGAAAGACGTGGTTCCAATGCTGAAGAAGAATCCACAAAACACATGGAAAGGGACAGGAGGAGGCTAGAAAACAAGTTGAAGACTAGTGGAAGCTCGCGAAATGTCAAAGTCAAAGAGGTCCGTGAGAAAGAAAGCACAAGCAATGAGAGAGGATCAGATGCCGGCGATCAACGAGAAAAGGCGTTGCTGGAGAGAGAAGATGCCGAGAAAGAGGTAGCTAGACTGCGGCATATGATCGAACGATCGCTGAAGGAGATGAAAGGCAGAATGTCTGATCTTTCGACAGAAGAGGGGGAGCGCCAACGGGTTTTGGATGAAAAGTCAAATTCGAGGTTTGTGACGCTACTTGGATCGAAACTCATCTTCTTGTACATAGTTGTATACTTTTGCCAACGAAGGAAAACGATTTGTTTGTGGCAAGGCCCTGTTTCTGATTTGTGGGTGATGAATCAGACATAAGCAAGTGCTTCTTGAAGCTTATGACCAACGCTGCGAGCAAGCAATTCGTATACTCACGGAGTATTGGCGGCGTCTACATACATATGTGGAGCACGCTAGAGAGTCTCAGAGAGGGAGGGGTTGGTCGGATGGAACAAACGACCGATTTAGACGAGAGCCTTCGATGTACGCCACAGCAGTCAGAGGCGAGAGGCTTTCAGATGAGAATATTTTTATAGAAACAGCGGAGGAGAGAAGCATTAGAGTTACATGTGAGATGATCTCGGGTAACCTAGTTGAGAAAATCAGGGGTGTTTTTCATGCTTATGATGGTGACAGCGCCAAGGGTGAGAATCACATGGAAGAGACCAAATTGGGGTTCGTTGTGGACGGAGGAGACGGTATTCCTGAACAGGTCAAGGAAACGGCTTTGAGCTTGTTGCGGAATCCTCCACACCTGCTCCAGGCCATGATTGGATACACCTCCCGTATAGTTGCCAACGTGAATAAGGAAACAGAGAAAATTGACATCAGAGCAGATGCAGAGCGACTCAGGTAAAGTGTACCTTTCTGTGATTACGACTCTTCGAGCGCCGCTTTTCAGTCACCATATAGGAGTTATGTAAGCTTTGTCTCCTTACAGGTTGGTGACTTTCAAGATTGACTGGGATTCAGCCTCACACTTAACAAGGTCACGGATTGTCTCTTGGAGTTCCTATGAGGTGCAAAAACCGTGACAACTTGTATATATGCTGTGTTTTAGATACAGGTACGAGAATAATAGAATCACAGAAGATGGCACTTCAGGGAAAGAGAAAAGCACAGTTACTGCGAACCAAGTGGTAGTTCAAGAAAAGAGCAAAGCTTGCTTAGATATAACCAACAGAGGCATATTTAAACAATTACGAGAACGACAGGTAACTGATCCCCACAGTCGTCGTTTATCCCGTTTCTCGGGAGTCTGAATTCAACGTGAATAACATCTTTCATGGAAAGTTTCTTGTGGCATGAAAAGAACACACAGCGCGACGTATCTCTCATGTAAGCAAGTAACGACTTTAATTAAACGATGTTTATGTCTACAGACAGCACATGTTCAACAATTCATGGCAACGGAGGAAATGCTGAATTTAGCCGCGGAAGCTAAGAGTACTACAGAGGAGCTTGTAAAGCGGATGTCTGGTGCAGTAAATGGCGGCCAACCTGCTTACATGAATGGCAATCAGAACGCAGGAGGATTGAGGCAGATTGAGGTGAACTGTGAGCGATGTCTCTCCCACATGAAAGGCACAGACAATACAATGTGTTTTCTTTGGTACCATAAGCACATTCGTTGACGACGGCTAAATTGGCCTCTTTTGATTAGTTCAAGGTTTTCCGAAATTTATACGTCAGGATTTGTAATCAAGTATACAATATTTTTTTACTCTTGATGCAGTTGGAAGTGTGGGGCAAAGAGCGGGAGCTTGCAGGCTTGAAGTCAAGCGTAGACATGTTGACTTCAGAAATACAACGTCTGAAAATGATGTGTGAGGAGAGAAAGCAGGCCAAGGAAGATCTACGGAGGAAATGGCGTAAGATTGAGGAGTTCAATGCCCGGCGGATGGAGTTGGAGTCTGTGTATGGTGCACTGATTCATGCCAACAGGGTGAGGGCCCATCACTTCCACTTCCCCTTTTTCAATGACCAAGATCGCATCGTAATATTCGGTTCCTGGTTTGATAACACCGTAAATGTGATTGCACTAAAAAACTCATGATAAATAAACCGTTTCTATGTTGTGACCACGTACAGACCGCAGCAATGTCTTGGGAGCAGCACATGACTGCAGCCCGAGAACTTTCGAATACCACTATCGTCCCAGTATGCACAACGCTGCAAAATGATGTAAACTACGCCTCGGATATGATTGAAAGAGAGGTTGGAGCTTTTACGAGGAGCCCTGACAATCGGCTATATCTTTTCCCAGCCTTTTCACAGGTATAAGAAACTGCTTTGGTTTATCAGTATGTAATACTCATTAAGCGGTCTTCATCCCTTCATTCCAAATGCCTCCCTATAATGTTTCTTCAAAGTTTTGGGATGTTCTTATCTACATGGGGCTGGTCATTGGTTATGCAATATAAGTAGTTCTCATCAAGTCGAATCGCAGAGCAGGTGCGCTATATGGTTGTAATGAAGGCCTGCATATCTTGCTGTACAGGGCTTGTTGGACGCAATGGGCGCAAGCAATGCTTCAGGACCTGAAGCAGTGGCAGCAGTGCACAGAAACGCTGATCTTATGACAGCAAGAGCTGGTGCAGGAGACCCATCCGCAATTTCGTCAATCAACCGAATAAATGCAGCTCTACAGAGCTTGTCAGGTGATTGCAATGGTCCTGAAAGCAGGATTTGTACTGTTACAGCGCTGAGGGACTGTAAACCTGCATGGTTGTAGTCGAGCGTCAACAATCCAAGCAGGCAGTAAATCTATTTATCGTCTCTGAAGGATGTGCTGTCTCATGAAGATCATTGTGGATACTTCTGAACTATTTCTTTGCGTTTACTTAACAGGTGTTGCAGGGGAAGGTGCAGACGCTGGATTAGTTGCTGTCGTTGAGTCCCTGCAGTTCTTTTTCCGACACAAGGTGTCTTCAGCAAATCTATTGGAAGATCTCGCGAGAGAAGTCAACCAGATGCAACTGCTAAGAGATTTGGTTACAAGTGGTCGTATGTTGCTGGCTGCTGCCAATTCGTCGAGACCAGAATATGAGAGGTATATCAGCACTGTTCCCCAAAACTAGGGTAACTCGGTAACCAATCGCGTAATATACTTCCCAAATAGCGTAGTGTAAGTCGTTTTTGCAGAGTGTGGACTCATAGTTGCTCTTTTGGGCTGGCGAAACGTAAATGCTGCAGATGTAAATTTATGTACGAGGGTAGAACCACTCTTACCGCCGAATGGCAGGTGCTCGATACGGAACCCAGGTCTGTAAAGTCAGATACTTCGGTGGGTGTATTCCTGGCTTTTTGGTGATGGTGGAGAGGGGTTTGGGCAGAAGGAGCACTAATTTTTCTGATTTCGACCTTTGCATCATAGTGGCTACTTAAAGAGGGAGGGATGTTCCCTGTCTCTTATTCTGATTGCATACTGGACCTGGCTTCCACATAGGGTTCTGTCGGTAGTGGCCTCCCTGACTTTCAGTGCTCATTGGCTGTGGACTTCGTTTCAAAAAGCCAACGATTAGCATCTGCAGTCAGGCGATTCCCACGTCCTTCTTTCCCATCTTGTCACAGGAAGACCTGGATGGACAGCAAAAGTTGGGCACTTGTCCATGCTCAAACAGATCCTCCAACTCCTACTCAACGTGAGTACAATAATGTGCCGAAAACATGCCTTCCGACTATCACCTATACTCCTCTCCCCTATCCCTGCCCCAAAACTCAAAACGTAGGTCCCCAATACCGGGCGTGAAGCTTGTGGCGTTTTCAGAAAAATTGGTTAACTTTCTTTTAGGCTGCAGGTTACACTGCCCACCGCAGCCGTGTGTGGAAGCTCGAGTCTGGAGATGATATGCAATCAGTAGGATGAAGTGGTTACACTCTGTGGATCACTAGGTCGGGGCAGATTGTGTTTGACCTGATGTGAGCGGTGATAGTTACGCTGGTGTGGCTTTTTAAGGGTTTTCACGTAAGCTCCGAGTGAACCCTCAGGTTCAAATTTCCAGCGGAAATGATGCGGGCATCTTTACGCGATTGAGACTTTTATCTAGTAGTTCCTTAGTTATGCTAGTTTCGAACACTAACATGGTTCCGTGGTTGAGTATTTTTGTGCAGGAATGCAGCAGCATGTGCTGCAACAGCAATAGAACAAGAGAAAATTGCACTAGAACAGTGGCTACCTGAGCTCAAGGCTGCGGTGCAAGAAGCCCAAAAATGTCTTGAGAACAGCAAGAGAGTTCGTGGACTAGTAAGTCTCAGTGCATCTCCTTCTCGTTGTTTATGCTCTAAGTGTCATCAATGAAAACCTTCTAATCGACATAAATATTGTGCAGGTGGATGAATGGTGGGAACAACCCGCTTCAACGGCTGTTGATTGGATCACTGTGGATGGTCAAAACGTGGCAGCTTGGCTTGCCCACGTAAAGCAACTGCAGGTTGCCTTTTATGAAAAACAGCTCCTGTAACATACTAATCTTCCAATATAATGTAGTTGTCATTTGAGACATCTTGTCTCGCCAGATATTGTACTCTTAGTGCATTGCACTCGCCAAATAAGAAGTGGCCTAGCAAGTACAGGGTCAATGAGGGTGTCTATGTATCATGAGTTGTAGATTAGTCGTTTCTAGAGCCTATGTGAATCTTTTGAATTGTTGCCCCTCAAAGGAAGATCCCAGCGTGCTGCCTAACGTCTTCTACATGTACATAACTTTGGAAAATGTCCTCCAGCCGCATTTCCCAAATTTAGCTTACTAACGAGTATAGGCAACGTCTGAACGTGCGTGTGCAATCTCCTCAAGAAGGCTCCTTGTAGTGAAGCCTGTGATCAAGTTTTGTTTTAAAAATTAGGAGCAACGTCTTTATCTGTACAAATTTTTGCCTTCGGAGGGCATCACAGTCTTCACATTAGTGGTTAGGAAGTCCTGTAGATTGTGACATCACAGGTTGCGATGTTTACGGGATTTAAGGCGATTATGTAATGTCGTTCGAAGTGTTCAGCCAATCTTCATATACTTTGTTACAATTATGAATCTCGAAGTTTCCAAGAGTTATTTACTAGTTGATATAATCTCCCCAGGTCTGTATGTCGTTGTTACGTGGTTGCTTTGGTCTTTCTATAATCAGTGTGAGGATGTCGGTTGCAGCTCACCATTCGTTGGACCTGCAATCAGTCGTATGCATTACCAACCTTCATTTATGTCAGTAGCGAGCCATGTAAATCACTGGGAGGACCTATCATTCTTGGAATGAATTTCATTTTCTGCATCGTCTCTCTGACAGATGATAGCAGCATGATCTTTTCCGCATTGTTTTAATATATGCCACGAGTATATATATGTCCTTACAGAATGGTGGATCTGTACTCGCGCGGAGTCCTTCTCTGAAGAATTCCATGATACCAGCCAAGGTGAATATCCTCATGATAACATTCTCCATTGTCGGTTTAAAAAAGATTCTTGTTAGTCATTGGAAAATTTCGGGCTCATTAATATGGAAATTAGTATGCAAATAATTCATCTTCGGAGCCGAGTGAATGTTAGTAAGTCACTCTTTTGTGATAAAATTGGTTGGTGCATCAAAAGAACTTTCTGATCAAGGTCTCTTTGAATTTGTATGACATGAAATGCTTGTATACTGTCTAGGATGACATTAACATCTTACAGAAGATCTAGTGGATCTTTAATAAAACGTTTTTCTCCTCTACACTATTAGATGGTCAAAGGAATAATAAACCACTATATAATAGTCGATTTATATCAATTGACATGGTTTTTGATTTTACTGGTTAACGAAATATCTATGGCGTAACATAGAATGTTGGACAGGAGGAGATTGTTAGACTTAGGATATCTTGAACATAGGTTTGATTTCCTTGCAAAATATATTCGTATTTGTCGATAGTCGTAAGGTTTGTAAAAGTTTGATTGTCAGCGAAAGATTACTTTGGGAGATAAAATCACAATGGCGGATGATTTTAAGCTTTGTATATCTTGGAAGGCCCAGTTGAATATCTTCTAGTTTGCAAAGTTGTAACACTTCCCTTACATAGGAAACCTAATGGAGTGCAAAGATAATTTCTAACTTTGTTGTTGTGTTGCTCAAATGATTGCAGTTTTTGTAAAATTTAGTTGGTGGATTCTTACATATTGAAATAACATTTTATTTTCATGCTATATGCACACTCATATGCTTACACAAGGGAATAAAAAAATGGTTTATGTTTATAGTAGGTGTTGCAAATATTGAAAAGCAACCAAACGGCTAAGGTTAATAGATTTTAAGCGATTGAACAATAATATACTCATGGGTGTTTGGGAATTTGAGTTTTTTTAATTGTATTCATGATCAATCATTGTGATTAAATTATTCAACACAATTTTAGCTAAGAATTTTTTGTGAATCTGTGTTATATCAACCATATATATCTATTTGGAGGCTTGAGATATGCTAAATTATGGGAATTGCAGTTTAACGAGAAGCAAGGGTATGACCATTTCAGTCAAGATGACATCTGCACGCAGCACATCAGCATAGAACATCTTGGTTGAGTGGACCTAAAGAGTTTGAAAAGGACGTTGTAAATAGACCAACCTAGTGATGGTTTAGAGCCGGATGACATATCTAAAGAGATGCAAACTTCCGCAAAGAAATGATCCTTAGGGTTTGATGAAGCTTCACATCCATACTTTCTGGTCGTTCATGAACGGAGATTGCAAAATAACATTGAAAAGGCGACACCAAATTGCAACATGAGGGAAGGGTTTAGAATAACCTTTGCATACATGTTGATGTCAGCCGGAGTTTCGTTTAAAAACAGATCAACCTTTATGTACCAGAAATTGGATGTTATCATGTACAGAAGTTTTACATTGATCGCGACGGTTACTATAATCTCATTGTCCACGGTATTCTCAAGATGTAAACCTACAAACTATCGCGTTTACTGCGTATTATAAGTCAATATTTTAAGTCTTCACGCTTCACTTGGAAAGGTAAAATACACATACACCAATTACAGTATCTTGGTAGTTTAAAGTAAAACTAACAGTGAGAGTGTAAATATCAATATTCTTTTTAATATTGTAATTATTTTCCATCCTTCATATGCTGAGGAGATGTGATAGTACAGCTGTTTGATAAAAGTATAGGGACAATTTAATTGAACTCTCTTTGAGTATTGTTCAAGAGGGCATTTGTGCAACTTAAATGTAACATACTGCAAATTTTGTGTAATTACTTGTGAGCTCATTTGCAGCAAAGAAGGATACTGCAAATTATTTTCAACTTATGAGGCCAAGCCACACTTTATATTGTAGGCTCTAGTAGAGTGCATTTCTCGTTCTAGAGTAAAAATGATATTCAATAGACTTCGATCACAACACCTAAGTGGGTCCCATCGCTTGATTTTGCAATTATTTTTTGGCAAACTTCAGAAACAATTCACAATGTAAAAAATCGATGATGTGGAAGAGACTACAGTACACCTAAGAAAACCCATCGGCTATGGCCCAGGAAAATGCTACTCAATAAACAATTGTACATGATTCTCCCACATGAAGCTCCTAAGCGAAATCGGGACTTACACGATAAAATATACACTGGGGACTAGCTCCCAGACATGAAGGCGCGTTTCGAGCATCCTGTCCGTGATAACCTCCTAAGAGCAAGCGCACTGGCGACAACGGGACGATATCCCCAGCTTGCGTCAGACGTATTCTACAGTGGTAGCAAGAAGAAGAATTTGCGGCACCGTTTCTTCGAGAGCTGGAATCCGTGAATATCCGGCCCCGCACGAGTTCTCAGAAGGCTCGGATTGAGCCTCGGACCTCCTGCCGACGAGGCTCGGAGCCGTATGGGTACAGATTTCTACCCCCGTACAGTGACACCTCTGATTTGTAAGATACTCTCAAGAGGGACAAGGAGTTGAGTAATCAATAATTCACAACCATAAGGTTGTTTCAATAGTGTTGAATCACGTTTCTTGGAAATTACCTCCATATGTACCGACACTATTCCACTGAAAAAGGAGAAAGCCTCTTCACTGATAGATAGCCAATACAAAAGTAATCCTCTATATATATAATGGAATCTTTATTCATTGCAATGTGACACCATACATAAATACACACACCTATGTATATAAGCACTTGAGATACATTCTAATCTTTCAACACACATCATATCGTTGAAGAAATTTTATTGATGAGATATGGGAATGTGGAGTACATAACGTTGAAGACATTTTATTGATGAGATATGGGAATGTGGAGTACAAGCAGAGATTGGTAATAATATATTTATCGAACAATATATTATAATATATTGTATTCAATATATTATATTGGTCGTGTCTCCAATAGCAATATATTTTATTGTTGCCTAATATTGTAGTTCTTTGAAATATACAATATCAATAGTTTGATTTGCCTGATTGGACCGTTCATTCAAAGGAGAGATTTGTTTGATTGGACCGTTGCTTGGTGGAAGAAAGTTGAGGTGGCGTTTGCTTGGGGTAGGGAACAAAGGTGATGTGGCGTCTGTGTGAGCGAGCGCAGTCGGGTTTTGTTTGTTTGGAGCAGTCTTGATAGTGGAGTATGTGACCGAGAGATTTGGGCATGTCAGCGATACATTTCACAAACTTTACATGAATTGAATTGAGAGAGAGTGATTGTGGTAGCGAGATAGCGAGATTTGAGAGGTGAGGGGAGGAGGGGCAAAGCTTGTGGAGAAGGTGGCCGGAGGTAGGAGGTGAGCAAAACAATGAGGAGGGATGAGGTGAGCAAAACAACGAGGCGGGCGAGGACAGGAAAATTTTGTGTCACGAGTAGTTCGGAAAAGAGTCAAATCGAGATCTTAGCGGGAGATAGGTGAGCGCCCACCTGTTTTGAGAGGAACTAGGTCGAGGCGGACACGTTTTGCTGGAGAGGTTTGCGAGGGGGATGTGAATGAAGACTGGTTCTTCTCCTTCATCTTTTTCTTCTTCTTCGACGATTCTGGGAATGCGAAGCTTATGACGCACGAGGCAGACATGCTTCTTCACCGAACGTGAGTCGAGGTGGTGTGCTGGCGACGAACAGCGAGCGAGAGCTAGATTGCAAGAGAGTGGAATTAGAACTGGGAACGAGACCTGGACCGGGATCGGGCCAGATTTGAGAGAGAGCGGGGGCTTGGGATGAGAGAGATAGAGAAAAGGGCTCTGAAATTTGCCTCGGCTCGTATTGCGGTGCTAGATTGAAGGTGCTGCCGCTGCTGCTGCCGTCGTGGTAGGGTGCGTGTGAGTGTGATGCCATCCTGCCGGGCGCGATGAAGCTTGGTGAAGCTGCTGCTGCTGATGCTGACGAGTGCTGGGTGTTGAGGATTGCCGGCGGCCCGATTGATCTTGGGCTTCGCAGTCCGGTAGTTTAGATTCCTCCCTGGGGCGTCGAGGGGGTTGCTGCCGGAGAAGTGAGGAGGAGGTTTGAGGCTGCTTGTGGATTCGAGTATGGCTCTACGGGCTTCGTTAGCCCAAACCGTGTCAGGAGTGCAATCTACGGTAGCGTTTCGGGATGTAAGCACTAGATAAGCTCTGATACCTAACCAAGCTCCATACCTTCATGCAATCCGACGTGAGGAGAATTCTTAGAACCGAGAATGATACGGGTACCGATCATGAGCAGCAAGATCAACACTCGACCAACAGTTTATCGGTCGTCCAAGGCAATATGTTGGCTCTTCTACTAAGAACATCTTGAAGTGTAAATTTGGAGTAGAACGGAAATGTGATGTCATTAAAAATGGGTACAATAACCTTATGACCCACGTAAAGAGCAAGCATCACGATTATTTTGAGATCTACGCGGCACATGATTTGAAATCATCCTCAAGCAGATCACATTATTCCAATAATGGAGCTGAGCAGACCACGCTCGAATATATGATTGATTCAAAGTCGCGCGGTATATACAAATGGTTGGATTGGACAGTCATGGACGAGCACGAGCTAAATTTCTACAAAAAAAATCGTACCAGAGAGAATACGAACGTGCCAAAGATCTGCTTCAAAACTCCGAAGAAGTATATGTTTATGCTCGTGGATGCTGTTGAAAAGAAGATCACAACATTGGCTTCAGCTGGCTCACGCTATGACTTGATCTTTGATGGCTGGATGGACAACTCCACTCATTTTGTTGGTTCATTCATCGCTCTTCCTGCCCAAGATACGACATCGTCCTCTTTTGACATCCATCTGTTGGCATTTGCGCCATTGCTAGATGAAACTACATTCACTGCAGCCAATCATCGGGATTTTATTCTGGCAACATTGGATTGGTATCATCTGCATGTTAGCAATCTCATTTGTTTCATTGGTGACAACTGTAGTGCGAATTGTGCAACAGCAAACCTACTCGGATTCCCACTGTTAGGTTGTCGCAGCCATTGTCTGAACTTGGCAGTCGAAGCCTACATTGATCGATATCTAGAAACCGAGGTTGATTTGGTGAGCAATCTGATGTCCAAGCTGTCAACGTTGAAAGAGGCGGGTCGATTGCGCATGACCAATTCATTGCGTCCTGTTAAACACAATAAGACTCGTTGGCTCAGAGTGATCAAAATGCTTGATCGCTACGTAAGGCTGCGACCTCACATTGACGACACCAATCCTGATGTAGCGGAACTTCTTCCAACTGCTGGCCAACGAAACGTCATTCGTCACCATACTGGCGCATTATCTGATTTCAAATCAGTGACCGAATCGTTGCAAAGAGAGAATGTCACTATTTGGGAATCTCAAACTTTATTCCAATCTCTAATTCACAATTTTCCAAATTTCCATTTTGATTCATATCTTTCAACTGATGCGCCCATCGTTCACAATCCCACATTTGAAGATGCCATCATAAAGATTCAATTGGGAAGGGAGAGCGAAATGCTAGATAATGAAAAGGATGTTGTTCTATGCCTGAAGATGCCAAATACCGATGCGCGGTAAGAATATGATGATACTAGATTTTCTTTTGCAAAACGCGCACTCAAGCTACAGCGAATGCAGCAATCTAACCGATCCGTCTACATTGATACTAGATTTTTCCTGCAGATATAGGCGCATACATCAAACCATGTCGAGCGACTATTCTCTATGAACAAGCGAATCTTTTCAAAAAAACGCCGACGACTACTGCACTGTACTATAGATGCAATACTGTTACTCAAAGAGAATTGCACCCTTTGGAACATGGCCTTGGTGTCAATTGTGGTTAATAACGGGTGTAAGAAAGATGACCCGAGCCGCGAAAAAAATGAAGCAAAATATATGGTCTCAATATGTCTAATTTTTTATATTAGATATTGCAATATATTGTATTGTTTGATTGACAATACCAATATATTGTATTGTCTTGAAACGCAATACAAATATATTTTATTGTATTTTTGGAAAAGGCAATATAATATGTGATAATAGTGTTCGGAACTCTTAGTACAAGATTCGAGAGTTGACAAAATGCAATCTCATGATTGCATTCTTTTCTATAAGAGAGGAATTATTTTTCTCCTTGTTTAAGAAATTAAACTTTAAAGTTGTGAATGATAGTAAATACGGCAAGCTGAAATTGAAAAGTGTATATTTTTTTGAACGATTAAGTCTTTTCCTCAAGTTTGAATGGAGATTTTAACAGAAAATGTTGTGCAAAATGTTAGCCATATTCATTTATGTTATAGAGTAGCATCTCACGGAAAATTGTGCCAGATATTGTTAATCCAAGTTACATCATTAGTTAATACAAAATCATCATCGTCAACCATACGATTTTTATCTACAGATTTTTAAACAATGTGGTTGGATTTGGATTCATCAACTTCCGTTAACGCGAACAAGTTATTGATCATTGGCTAGAGAAAAATAACAAGATTATCTTACTTGAATTTGGAAACCGGTGAGTCAAAAGGATCAAGACCCTTTGATGGTACAATATGGAATGAGCAATAGGCATTTAGAACATATAATGTGCGTGAGCAATTTGTTGCTTAGAGAATTATTTTTTCTGAAAGCCTCGTGTAGATTTATGTATATTTGCACGCACTTGTCCAACATGTCACATGTTGTGCGACATGTTCATCCAAGCACAAGGTCCAGCGTACATGTCCAGGTTTTAAAGTTTAAAACCTGGACATGTATGCTGAGTTTAAAATTATTATGCTGTTAGAGTTTAAAATGTGAACTCTAACAAGTCACTCTAAAGACTTCAATCGCAATCGTGATCGGAGACAGCGAATGTGCTCCTCTTCGCGTTTCACGCCATGGCCATCACATTTGCAATGCAGTATGATCACAACCATGTCTTCCTATGCTGTTCAGGATGTTCATGAGTGGGATGTTTTTCAGGATTCCATTCATTTCTTACAACAGTCTCCTGATCTCTACCTTAAGAATTATACTTCGCACACTTTATGTATTTCATGTGACAACTTGCTTTCTAGAGCCGACTATTGGAGTAAACAATTGCCTTTGAGACCATGATCGTCAATGCGGATCTCCAAATATTTTCTACAACAGATAGTGCTCTGCATTTCTATATTTAATCGTTGACATCATAAATTGGAGAGACAAGTGCCTATAGTGTATCATTTTGAGTCAAGAGAGACACCGTAGTAATCTTATGCTTTCTTCACAATGAGGCAACGAACATGCATACCAGATTATTTGCTCATCGTCCGAAACGTTAGCCGGTGGTTCCAGAAGTTACATGAACAAGAAGCTCCAGTCACATGAGCTTCTTCAAATCAGTCGCTACCGCAAATAGAGAAAGAATATGCGACATGAAGGAGAAACATCGGGATGATGATTAATTTCTCGTCCGAACAGTGCTGTTATGGACGAGAGAAGAGACATCGAGCGTGGATGCCCCGTAGATGCCATTACTGTGGAGTCATAGGCGACGGCAGAAGAGCAGTCGGTTGCACAGCTGCGCATCACGCTCGGCGCTTTAAACCCTACAGTAGGTTCGGCAGGGGAGAAGCTGTCCTGCTTCTTAGGGCCTCTTTGGATTCCGCGCAGCTCGAGAGGCAGCTCGAGAGAGAGAGCGCAGGGCAGGGGAGGGCAGGGGCGAGGGGCAGCAGGGCTCAGACAAAGGCCGTGGAGGTCAGGAGGACGGACCGACTCGTGCAGAGCAGGGAGGGAGGCAGGGAAGGAGAGCAGAGCGCCGGAGGTCTGCACCGTCTAGGGTCTGTCTGGCTGTCTGGCTGGCTGGCTGGTCGCTGGTCGCGGTCGCCTGAGGAACATCGTGAAAAAGCGTGGTATGTGCTCTCGCTCTCGCTCTCGCTGCCGAACGTGATTTGTGTGTGTGGTGGGCGTTTCGTGTTGACGCGCGACGAGTCCTCTCTGTCAGTCATCTGCTGTGTCTTGGTGCGCTTGTGGAGTTCTCTTTTCTCGCTTGTAGCCCTGCTGCTGTGGATTATGCGCTTTCCCGAGGGTCCGGTGGTGGACGGCAGGGCTTGCAGGTCCGGACGAAGTCGTCGTTCATTGATCGTCTGTGCCTTCTAAGGCCGGAGGTCGCCTGTCAGGGCCAAGTGGTGTTCGCAGTGTTTGTATCCGCTAGTCTGTAGGCAGGCGTTGCGTGTCGTTTGACGACTCCATCTTCGGCTGCTTGCGGCGCAGAGTATTGCCGGATAGGGTATTGGATGCAGTTTCTTGATTTTCTAGACTACCGATCGTGCCCGGGACGAGACGAATTGTTACTTTCAGGGCCTTCGGGACTTGCCATCCTCGACGCCAGCGTCCTCCAGAAGGCAGCCTGTTTCTGTAAGTGAGCCATGGATCTTCGATGTTGGTGTGGGTCGAGAGTCGATATTGATCCCATGATTCAAAACTTCGATTGTTGTCTGTCCTTTGGTAGCAGTGACGATGTGTTTCTGAGGTTTATCGTACCTAGTCTGTTCTGACTATAGCCTGTTCATACCTCGGTCCTTGCACGAATAAGATTGCTGAAGCTCAACTTTCTAACCTACTCGTAAGTATTAAATTCTGTGAACCTGCACTGCCTTTGTTTACTTTCGAATTATCATCCAGTTGGTGTCTTCTGGTCTACAACGGCGATGAAGTTGTCTGTGTCAAGTGCACTTTTCTTGCGCTTTGCGTTTATTCTGTACTCCACATGAAACTGACTGGTTCATCCATGGATGTCCGAACGCTGTGCCGATCTTTACCAACCATTTCATGGATCTTGCTGTGCCGATCTTTACCAACCATTTCATGGATCTTGCTCTGTTAACGTTCTCACATGACTATCACGATCAAAGTTTGATCAACCAAGCGTGCTTCTGTCGTATTATGTTTTTTAGACGACTCAACATATTCGGGTGTTGTCCCGAATCACCTCCATTTTGGTTACCTGACGGTATCTATTGTTCAAGTCCAGCTTGGTTTCTTTACAGACCATTTCCTCCTACCTTCGTTTCCTCAGAGAACTGTTTTACTTGGTGATTCACCAATATTGGTGAATCGTTGTATCGAATGGCAAGAAGAATTTTTGACCTAGAGGGATATCCAAGAATAGAGGGAAGTGTGGTAAGTTCGAGAGGGCTTGCTATTTCATATGGTCTCACGTGATCTCTATGATAGTCACACCCCCCGTGCCCATCAATTTGAGGAATCAAATCGATTCTTGATATCCGTGCTTATATTAGATTGGGAAACCTTGAATGGATGCACTTTTCATCGTCAGAAATCATGTGCTCATCTCAGAACTCCAGGTCAAGTTTTTTCCTTATTTTCGATGATACACCAGTCGCAGTAGGTGGGATGGCAACGAAGACATTTGTGCAATTTTGAAACCTCTAAAGTTGAACGGATCGTCATGTGGGAAACGTGGGCACTGGTGCGGCTTCATGATTCACGTAACAATGTTTGATTTTGGTTCTCTGGTGAATGGGAAATTTCCTTGGTGACTTAAGAATGGTCTTCGTGTTACTTGTTTGTGCTGATCCTGATCGGACATCGTACTACTTTTTTTGGATCATAGTGATCCAGGTACGAGGGTCTTTAGCACCTCCAGAATTGTGTAGTACTTGATGTTCTTCGTAAGCAACCTCATTACCACACATCAACTACGCCGTCTCTTTTTTAGTACGTGCTAGTAAGAGGATGTAACTGGCGGAGGCCAAAATATGTCCTAGGGAGATGTCATGGCCCAGAGTTTTTATTCCGTGACAACTTGCTTTCGTCAGTAAAGGCCTGAACGGAGTGCTGAGATTCAGTGAGAACTTCGCTCTTGGCTCTTTCTTTGGTTATTCGTATCTCACTAATAGGAAGCGGAGATTTCTTGTGTATTCATCGCTTGCAATCATGCTTTATCTGTCCTCGATACGAAAGAGTGTCTATAGTCGATGCGAATACTTTCATAGGTCTTCTTGTCACTTCCGTCTTGTGGTCTGGGTTCTTAAATAATTCATGTGTATTTCATCTGTACATCGTCTGAGTCTTTCTGTTTTGTAAACTTGATCCTATGTTCTGATTCAATGTAACTGTTCGTTACGCAGAGACTGGAAATATTATTATCGCAACAGAGGCTACACTTAGCCTGTGCGGCAGAGAAGAGAGTGGGGAGTCTGCGCTTGATTTAGATTTGTATTTCGATCCATATCAGTTTCATCATGGGAGGCGGAAATGGGCAGAAAGCCAAAATGGCCCGGGAGAGGAACGCTGAGAAGTTGAAAGGCGCTAAGGGGAGCCAGTTGGAGACCAACAAGAAGGCAATGACCATTCAATGTAAGATCTGTATGCAGACTTTCATCTGCACAACAAGTGAAGCCAAATGTAAAGAGCACGCAGAAGCCAGACATCCTAAGAATGAACTGGCTCAGTGCTTTCCACACTTGGCTGGAAAGTGAGTTTGAAGGAAATCGTCTTCGCAGACGCATGATGGAAGAAGGATAGATATTGAACAACAGTTCGAAAGGAACTGATTGAAGAATAGTTGTAAGATATGGGAAACTTCAGCATGACTTCTTACTATATTCGGGAACTTGTTTGCATCCCTCAAGCGACCGTGGTATACTTTCGGAGCTCTGATTGCCAAAAGATAGAACGGAGCCAACTATACAAGTTTTTTGGTTGCTCAATGATCAGGTCAACAGGGTTGTCCAAGTTGAGGATGTTTTCCAAGCCTTAAAGTTAGTGATTTTGTGTGGGATATGGCGGGCTGAGAAGTTCGTAATAGATGGAACTGGTCGAACTTGACATAAGAAGAAAATCAGTTTGATGGTGCTTTGGATCTCTGAAGTTTCAAATCACTTAGGTGATGCTCTCGGGCTCCACGCCTTGCTATTGTTTCTCTCTCTTTGGAGGTTTCGTCGCAGACTTGGGTTTCGGAAAGAGTAAGTCATTGCTCTGAAGTCATTGTACCAATTAAGCTGCCTACATAATACCATTATAATTTGGATATGATGCCTCTTGACTACGTTTGGTTTAGTAGATTTGCACGAAAGGATGCAGTCCCTGATGCGAGGTACTCTGATGTTACAATTTTGTGCCACAACTTTTTCTGGCTAACTGATAAGAAACTCTGCGTGTTTGCTACTGAAGACTTCATTACTCGGAGACTTATCGTAGACAGATCCATGGTTGAGTGGGAACCGGAGTCTGAGGGTTTTACCGCTTTCTTCCGATTCCAGTGGACGTAGGGGTTCTGAACGTTGTGTCAAGTAAGCGCCATTATGTGCGTACCGACCGGCTGGGGCTAGGCTAGCAAGAGGATGTAACTCGTGCAATTTGCGTTCTTCTTATATAAACCGGATCTAATTCTAAGAGCTGCATGGACTCGACTCTCATGCAGGTCAAACGATAATTATGACGTAGCAAAGTCCAGACGATAGCATGGGGTCCGGGTTATTACTTTTTTATGAAACGGAACTGGGCAGCGTAGAGGTAAACAAAAGAGATTGAATGATTGCTATTTGATTCTAATTACATAAACAGAAGAGAAAATTACGTGATGGGACCATGTGGAACCCAAAAGACTTGAGAACGAACATGATTTACACTTCCGAGCCAACACTATTCACCCATGTCGGAATACGAGTTGTTTTTAAAACACTTGCCTGGATTCAAGAGGATTCACGAGGATCCTGTAGCCCATGTAGTAACAGGAGTTTTTGTGAAACAGTTGCTCCTGGCCAACACAATTCACGACAGCCCTGCAGCTTGAAATGATGATGGGAAATAATTGGCCATCTTGGGCACCCGTAATATCACGGGATTTATTCTACCATGAGGTTGCGAGTTCTTGTATATCTCTATAGTTGGCAGGTGGCTCAATGGGAAGAGATTGCCCTACTGAGCCAAAGTATGGGATTATTTCGGCCATGAGATTGAAATATGAATGATGGTAGTCTCGAAGTGAAATTTATTTGCACTCTGATGTTGATAAATTGAACCTCCGGTATCTTCATGCTACCGAACTTGCGAGAGATATCGAAATTTTGTTTTAATATTTCTTCGAATTCCATAAAAATTCAATTGTGGGTGGCTCCTTGGTGAGTTTTGAAAGTTCACGGACGTTTCAGAACCTGCTTTCTGGTCCAAACGTGCTTTGTTCACATTTTAGTGAAAATCAGTCCACTGGTATCCAATCCACATAATGGGTTGTAATTAACCCAAGACTCCTATTTGAACATGGATGAGGGTGTGGTATCCCATGCCATCGAGTAAAAAATCATGTGTGAAAATATACATGTAAAATAATTTATATCATATATATATATATATATATATATCTTAAACAGAAGAAGAAATAGGCATTAACTTCTGATAGCGACCTTTTGGCTCGCAAAACGTCGCAATTTTAGTATGGACGAGGGACACAATCTTCTTTGAGCTGTTACTGGATTAGAAGAAGTTCATCATCTCCTAACATAGGTAAAGATGGTGAAGAGGAAGGGGAGGTGCAGAGCAGAAAGGTCCCGAGAGCGTTATCCTCTCCAATCATATTCTGAGTACAGTGGTTAACAGTTGAGCCCTGAGGGTTAAGCCTTAACCCTCAGGGCTCAGGTGTAGAACGGAACCAGAGTACCATGAGAGTGGAGAAGAGGAAGGTGTCAAAGCATGGGAGGTACAGAGCAGAAAAGTCCACAGTGCGTTATCTCTTCGATCAATCTTCAATCATCTTCTGAGTTCAGGGCTTAAGGTCTGATATTCCCCATTGACATCTCAAGAGGTTTCACAATGTACATGTGTCAGTAGTTATATTAGCTGCTAGCCAAATCGCCGATCGGACAACTTTGATGATTTTTCTCCATTTTTATTTCACTCTAATACAACTCTAATTACTTTTTTCTATATCCAATATTACTAATTTTTTTTGAGTGATAAATAAATTTAAAATTAGGTTAAAGTTTTACTCTCAAAAAAGTTACGTAGAATTAGTTATATTACCAAAAGGTTTTGAGTGAGTAAAGGGTTAATACTAAAGTGTTGAAGAGAGAACAAGGAGAGTGGAAAAGCAAAAGTCTTCAGAGTGAAGGGTCAATACTCACGTGTTGAACGGAGTACCAGGCGAGTGGAAAAGCACTAGTCTTCTGAGTCAAGGAGAGTGGAAAAGCAAAAGTCTTCTGAATGAAGGGTCAATACTCACGTGTTGAAAGTAGTACTGTAACATGAGGGTGGAAAACAGAAAGGTGTCAACCATGGGGAGGTATAGAGCAGTTAAATTCGCAATGCGTCATTCTCTTTGATCAATTTTCAATCATCTTCTGAGTTCGGTCTGATATTATGCATTGACATCTCAAGAGGTTGCACAGTATACATGTGTCAGTAGTTGTTTCATTAGCTGCTAGCCAAATCGCCGATCGGACAACTTTGATATTTTTTCTGCTTCGCTTTCTTTCACTCTTGCGCTCTTTGTTCTTGCGCGTTTGGATTCTTCTGACAAGTTCGCAATTGAAGACTGTTTCTCACGGCCACAAAACAAGAGGCATCTGTGGCTCTAAACCGCCATATTTGTCGATCGAGGTGCTCTTGGAAGCAACCGAGTAGCGAGATGACAAGCCATCTTACCCTTCTCCTTCCTCATGATTTGTTCTACTGCACACAAAGCTTCATACACAGACAGCAAGCGTGGATTCTCTCGAATTCACAGGTGCAACGCATTGAGATTCAGAACATCTATATCAGCCGAAAATCTGGACTGGGGGGATTAATTCTTGCTGCCGGGTCTCCAGATGCACATTGCAAATTTTATCCACACTTGATCTCACAGTTACTTAGTCACGCGGGTATTGAAAAAAAATCCGATTTACTTCGAGTGGGCTGTAACATGTTGTGACAACACATCGCTTGAATGCCATAAATATGAGGCACAGGATTGTGGGTGTAATTTCAGCTGTCAGCCATGAGAGGGGCCATCGCATCTGTCCCCAGCCATGTGATTGCTAAACAGCATCATCTACAACACGGGCTCCGCGCTAATCGCAAGAGTCTTCTCTTCCCGTCTTTTCAGTACATGTCTGAGCGGGTGGGCTTCATCGCATCTGATCCTCGCCCGCTCGCAATGCCTGCTTCTATGATGTGCATAACTGCATTGCCGGAATTGGTGTATTAAGCTAAGCGGAGTATCTGGCTTGGCTCAGTGTGCATAGCAGGCAGTCGAAGGTGAAGTCCATCGGACTGTCTACTACTGCTGGCCATCATTAAATGCGCAGACTCGCGAAGGCATAACACCGTCGGGTTGCCAGTCCTACATATGGAAATTGCCCCCACATACAAACGGCAAGGTGCGCAGAAGCCTTCTATACTAACTCCTCGCCAGGAAGCTGGAAACGATTCGATCCATCATACTACTCAAGAGAGCCCATCAACGGGGGCTGGAAAAACTCACTATAGTGACTTACAGTAGTATGGTACTCTGCTTACTGCCGAAAAGATAAGTGATTGCACCAGCTCTGGCCAGTCAGAACCTTCGAATTTCACGTCCTACAATGTCGTTCGTTCGACCACGCGACGGATGACGGGGTTTGAGGAAGAACAAGCTCCTCAGACCGAATCGTCATCCAAAGAACCTCTCCAGGGACGAGAAACGAGTTCGTCACCAAGAGGGCACCCGGCGGCCGCGTCGACATCGTACTGAAGCGGACGAGATTTTCCGAGGGAAACATGACTAGCAGGACGCTGATGCGAAGAAACACGCTCGTCGCATCGAGGGTTCTCGCTCGTGAGGTAGACAAGTTCCTCACTCATTGCGTCCAATGCACAACCCCACGCCCACCGCACGAAGAACCGCGGCCGGGACAATTACTCGTCCCTCTCCAGACATCGCTCGCAGAGCCGAATACTGCACCAGCTCGTATCGGCACTCTCCGAGATTCAGGTCCGAAACAATCGAATCCTCGGAGGAGATCGGAACTGACCTCCTCTGCATGCTGACCGCCATCCGCCATGATTGCTTCCGAAAATCTCCTCGACACCTCTCGATTTCTCGATTCTCGACTCTCTGTTCTAGGCTGCGTGGGTACCTCTCGAACTGTGGATCGCGCAACTCCCCGAACAATTCTCCACACTCTGTTGTGCGCTGCGTTTGTATCTCTCAAGTTGTGCGACTTCTCACTTCTCTCCGTCTGAAATTAGCTCTTCGTTCCCTGTCTAAACTGCAAATCTGAGCTCCGAAGACTGGACGCGCTCGTGAACATTGCTGTGCTTAGCACACGAACTGCTTCTTATACCCATAGCGGCGGCCAGACTCAGCTCTCTTTAGAAGAACGCTCCCTTCGTTTGTGTGCGGTCAAAGTCCGGTCAAAGTCCTGAACTTGCGAGGCACTTCAGGTCCTGTCCCAACAGTGCATGGCCCCACCTGCTTCACCGGTCGATCCGGTAGTTTTGATCAGGATGTTCCGTTCCAGTCCTAATGAGGAACGGAACGACAGGATAGTAAAGTAGCAGCAGTATGTCGAGGGGTGGAGAGGCGAGCGACCGGCTGAAGCAGTGACAACAGCCAACTGGATTGTGTTCTGACAACCTTCGAGAAACCTTCGAGCTCACATTTGGTTGCTTTATTCATTGAAGTTCCTGAACTCGTCGTGCTGAATGTAAAGCTGACTTGTGTCCAGAGAGTGGGCAGATCGTCATCGGCAACAGACCGCTTCAAGCTTCGACGATTGCCGCGTTCCGGCATTCTTCTCCGGCTATATAATCGGCTTCGAGCGCTGAGGCGTCGTGGTGGTGACTACTGGCAGTGGGAGGAGGTGGCGATCGTCAAGTGCTATGTCATTAGCGGCTGTTGCTGGAGATGGTTATGGACCTATCAGCAGCTGCGGTGATTCCTGAATGTGGCCCATAAATTCCAGATTAATGACGGGCTTTGGTGTCCATCACAATTCCGGTCGAGAAGGAACGCCACGCGAGATGAACTTGTTTTTGATCTCTTCTTGTCGATGCGATGGAAGATGCTAACTTGGAGGCTCTCTCGAACTCCCTAAGCTTATAAAAAATTATACGTTTGACAGGTGTGGTACATAGATAAGTGAGTGGGACCCAAAGGGTAAAAAGTATGAAAATAACATTACAAATCATTACCAAGGGAAAAATATGCTAAAGATCTCATACTAGCTACTACTATTGCCTAGAGCACTTGAGCGATGAATCAATCCGTGACTAATATAGTAACCTATATCATAAAGAAGTACGTTTGTGAATATATAAGAAGAGTATAGATCGAAGACTTTGCTTAGAGCTATTCAATTAATATATTTCCCATATCAGCATACTTCCATTTAATGACAGGTAAATTAGGAAGACGCAACCATAAAGCATGAAATTTCAAGGATAGGGTCAGGTACAAAGAAATGAGGCGTACGGAGATGAATCTGGAATTTACTATTCGGTGAAAATGGGACATTGTGAATTGAGCAAATTGCAAAGCAAGATGAGTAATATATTCTGTAAAGTTCATGAAAGGCCTCCGATTCTAAGGTTTCTAAAATCATCTTATTCAGAGTGTGGCATCCCGTGTCCGAGCATGGAATTCTACAGTTGTATCAGTGAGTCATTTTGGCGCTTACACATAGTCACATCTTGGGATCGGATATTGAAGTCCAACCTATTGTAATTAGGCTACATTCTCATTTATGAATAAAATCGAGTTCCTAAATGTGCCTGACTATTGTGCAAGTGGAGGTCAATGGTTTGGAATTAAATTAAGAACGTTGCTTCTATATATATGTATGTGTATATATAAGTTTATCTGCTAGGTTTGCTTCCTCAATTAAAGCTAGCATGATTCACAATCTATACAGCTTCATTCACCTTTTCACTCTCCTAAGAGATGAAGAAATGACGCGTGAATTCACATCCAATCGTTATGTAGTTTCTGCTTAGTTCTAACTGCAGTAACACAAGACAAGACATCTGGTCATGATCGTCGCGATGACCATCAAAGGATCCAAGCCAAATCTTCAAACTTCTTGAGTTTATGTTCACGTGTGAGACAGATCTTGCAAATTATCAGAAACAACATCTCATGGCATCTAAGAAATTAGCCGTGGATTACCCTCAAATTCATCAAAGTATGTGTCATTTGTGTGAAAGCTGAGCAAAGCAATTTCACATCTAGATGACGTGTATATAAAAGCTATTACATTTTGATCTTTTCGAGACTTTTTTACTCTTCTTCTTTCTACTTTAGATCCAAAATGCTTATCATTCCATAAATATGACAGTCACCTCAAGTCACATTCAATGCGCGATAAGAAGAGAAGAAAATGAATGAGATGACAACATAATTTTTGTTATGAATCATCTGTCAACATAACACTTACAACCTTGTTGTATGTGATGATTTGTTTACCACGATGAAGCAAACCACATGACAATGATTGATAGGAGGTAATCAAAAAATTCAAAAGATGAATAGCTCTCCTCTCATCACTTATCACTATTTTTCATTTCAAGAAAATATAGATTTTTATTTTTTGAAGTAAATTTTATTATGTATATGTATATATGTCTATTATGAATTAAAAAAATCACTTCATTTTCTTCATTAATTAGTAAGAAAATAAATTTATTAAGACATTAAGAATTTTTTGTTAAAAGATACATCATGACATGATATATGAATCATTTTCAAGAAATAAAATAAACCTTATCAAATAATATAAATATTTATGATATACATGACTGAGTTAGATTACATGGTCAAATGTAGAATGTTATAAAAAACCAGGTGAGTACAATAATGATATTTTCATGCGAAATTTTTTGATTAAATTTCTTTATAAATGAATATTTTGATTTAGGGTTTCTTTCTATATTTTGTGTTCTTATCATGCATGAATTTTTTCACATCAGGTATTTTAATTTGAACAGAATTTCAAGATCTGACATATTCAAATTAGATGACACCCATAAAATAAAAATTTTTTCTTCATATCTATATATATATTTATTAATCAACAGGGGCTTTTAAAACAATTACAAATATGAATTAGTCAATCATAGACTTTTTTTTGGGAGTAAAAAATCATATGACTTTATACATATTAGGATCATTTACATTTATGGAAATAGAGTTACAATTCGAATTAGTTAATTAGGTGTTTTAAGTTTCCACTTGCGCAATCCATTTACAAGAATATGGAGTTTCGAAACTAAAATAACGCTTCAAGACGGTACTCTCTGTATTGGGATTCCCGGGAATTCCATGTCTGCAATTTCAAAATTGACACCACTTTCTTCATGTTTCGTGCGTGAATAGAGACGAAGCTGGCTGCTGTAACCGGCAGTTCCCGGAGACACCAGATTCTGTAAGTTGAGTGCTGTATGTAAACCAGCCCGTAAAGCGACCTGGACGACCTGGTCTACCTGTTGTGGCGTGAGGCTCACTAAAGCTTGGACCAGCTGCTCACATTTCGAACTATCTACCATTCGAATTTCAGAATTGCTAGAATTTCAAAATCTCCACATGTATGAATTCATGTACATCGTTCGTATAAAAATACTATCTTACAGTCCCTTTCCGATGCTGCAATACACAGACGAGTGCTATGAGAGATTTACGCATACTGTCCACGAACACTAGAAAAGCGATTGTGCACTCTACTGTGATTTTGACTTATCAGAATCTCATTTTCATCTGCATCGAAAATATGTTTGCATTTTTTCAAGCGGAGATCGCTACTTCTCTCGTACCCTCACTTTCTCTGTACGTATAGACATGGTCCACCAAATAATACGCGTATAAGTCCAATGGCTCGGATCGTAGGCCATCAACATGCGTCGTTCGTCATTTGAAAGACAAAAGAAATTAAAAAATCCGCGCATCGTCTCTCCCTCGTCATCCATCCCTCAGCGCAGCTGACGAGAGTGGCGCGGCTCCCGGACTGTCCAAGATCGTCAAGCTCAAGACAAAATTTTCCAGATGGTGATTAGTTTATTTACTTCCCATGGGCAGGCTACTCAATCCACATCATATTCGAATATACCAAGCAGTTCACCCCACGAAGAGGGAAATTGTCGAGGAGATTTTGATTTGTGCATTTAATTCAAGCTCACTGGACCTTCGGTGTCTACGGAGAGAGAAAATTAAACTCGTTGGAGTATTTACGTATTTGAGTAAACTGGTAAGCAGCGCCTTCGAGTCTGTTACAGAGGCACTACGTAACGGATATGGTATGGGACACTGGAGACCTTCCTGGCCAATTGAAGTCATCGATTTAGGCGCCGCGGGAGGAACCATTCTGTCGACGTGGATGGGGCAGCGCATACGTCCGCGGCCCGCGTTTGAAGGTTGGCCGCGCCTACGAGCGTCCTCAGCATTTGGTACTTCTTGTGGCGTGTATTCTGGTTCCGGCCCACATTTCTGTGGAGTATAAATATGAGACTGGAGGTCTTTGGATGTCCCGACGAGTTCATTTCTGTTGGGTTGCGTGACGAATCGAGGAGGCGAGATCGGGAGGGCGTACGCAAATCTGTGCGTGTGTCAAGTCTCACGACTTGACATCGGACTTGTCGTGAGACGAGTCTTATTTCTCGGGGAAAATGGCGGCGCTGACGAAGACAATTTTGATTCTGAGTGTGGTCGTGCTTGTGAGCAGCATTGTTGTTGTCGCACAGACCTCTGGCGGCGGTGGAGGCAGCACTGGTGGCACGGGCGGCTCCGGGGGTGGCACCAGCACCGGCGGGAGCAGCACTGGCGGGAGCAGCAGCGGCAGCGACGACAGCAGTGGCAAAAGCGACCCAGGATCTGGATCTGATTCTGGGAGCGATGATGATAAGGATGACGACGGCGATTGTGAGTCTTGGGACTTCTCGAACGTGGACATGGGGACTATGTGGAGCTCATGCCACAAGTCCCTTGAGGACTGGAGCATCAGCAAAGAGTGCTGCGACCAGCTCGTCAACGTGGAAAAGGATGTTCACAAATGCTTCTGCTCTCTTGTGGAATCTTGGTGGGGCGACTGGGATAACTGGAGCTGGTCAACTATCAATACCGGCTGCAGCGGGCTGCAGACATCTTGCGAGGACAAGGACGGATCCGGAGGGAAGAACTGATATGCGGCAGGTCATTCATCTGAGGCCCTTAGCGCCAAATGAACCTCAAGTTGAGGTCAAGTCTTTCGTCGGAGTCTCAGACCCTGCTGTAGACAGTAATAAAGTACTTCATACGGTCCACGAGGACTTTCATGGTCGTAGACAGAAGTACATCTGCGAGATGTGGTAGGAAGGCTTTGATAGCTTCCACTGTTGAGAGCCAAGAAGATTTCTTGATGGATACGTAGGAATACCTGGACTTAAAAGCAAATATTCTTTGCGAACATCATGGTGATATAAAGACTTTCTTTTATTACGATAAAACACGCGACTTCCTTCCAACGATAACGATATGATGACAATGAGGACTGAGCTTCTGAAATCGTGAATGGACTGAAAATCATGCGTTGATAGCTGAGCTGCGGCTTCTCAAAATGGAAGGACTACAAGTTGCATGCAAACTCAAAAAATTTGGTCGTATCTATGATTTCAGTCACGATAGGTGGAAAATGCTGGTCACTAACTTTTTCTGTTTCTTGCCGTTGATGCTATGCATGGAGCTATTCTATTCGGTGTCTTTGTAAGGTAATCTTGAGGACATTAGATATGTTTTGGTGTTATTATTTCGAGGTATTTATTCATTAGGCACGCGGCAAACTCAAGTTCACGTAATGGCTTGATAAATCTCAAATTTCTTCTGCTTCATTTGGCACTTGAATGTACTCTGATTCCCAGTTGAACGAAAATTTTAACATCTGACATGATGACGGGCTTATACGAGCCAGTCTAAACGAACTCATCAGAAAGCTGTATCGTAAACCGTAAGTGCTTCAACTGAATTTGCACTGGCGTGACTCAAATATGGTCGAACCTCAGAAGATTTAACTTTCTAAAATCCAAGAACACTTTGAGAATGTGTTCATACCGGAAAGTATGTGGAATTCTTTTATCATCAAGTATCATAGAGGTGCAATTTATTAGCAGCGTTTGACCCATTTTCTTTCTGGTACTCAATTCGTCTGCAAGCAGACAGTCGAAACAATGCCCCACCAAATACATTCTCTGCTCGAAGAGCCGAGGTAGAATGGGTTCCATCAAGAAACCTACGAGGCCCTTCACAGATGAGAGTCCACAAAAACACCCGGTCCTATTCTCAGAGTAGTCCCAAACTCATCAGAAAGATAGAAGCTAGACACTAATCTAGCCCCAGGACCTTCCAACTACGTTTTCAAGAAGCATCATGAAAACTCGTACATCAACTTCGATAGAAGTTTGAAAACCCCGAGCAGGATCGCTCCAAAATCAGAACACCAACATGGTTGCGAAAGTTCGAACCTTGAGCAGCTCTTTTCTATGTGTCGTCTTAGTTCACTGCAGTTGTAGCTGCAGTGCCAATACTGTAAAGACTTAGAACATGCCCTCTCGCTCAACAGGGCTGCTCGGTGTAGAAAGAAGTGACGTACGCTGAGTAAATTCTTCGTGACGACTTCTGAAGTAACTCTCAAACATGATAACACAACTAGAACGCAATTTTGTCTATGTTCAAAATCGAAAAATTTCTAGACTTACGTAAACCATCCGAGTCGTCAAAGACCATGGAGACATCATAACCTCGTATCCACACTTCATAATCGCTCAAGACGAAAGATCTTGCTCTCGGGGACATGCGGATCCTCCTTCCTTGTACTCTACATGTCTTCTACACCATCTTCGAAAAGTGCAAGCACTGCACTCTCGGTTGTCATGTGCAAGAATTCGCAGTCTCCAATCTTCATCGCACGGTCCAAAGGTTGCCGCGGGGAGGTATGATCAATTCGATGTTTCAGATTTCTCAGTAGCGACTCCCGAAGGACATTCAACTTTCAAGGTAGTAGCTTCGACTTGAAGACCGAGGCATGAACTGCACCGACCGCAGCAGGAAACGAGACGCGCCATCCGCGCCATCCGCGCCAACGTCGTCCGGGGCCGCGCCACGGCGGGATCAGGCCCGCGGCTTCTTGGATCGAGACACAGAGCCCGACGACGTCCACGAGGTCACGAAGGACTGCAAAGCAAAGAAGAGAAGGCCAACTCTCCTTTCAAGTAGTCAAGGACCTGCCGAATGCCTTGGTCGTTTGTCTGCAGGGAGGGCAGGACTGCAGAGTGGCTCTGTCTTTGCGGCTCGCGTCCTCGAACGTAGTGATGTTTCTTTCTCCTGATCGGCCGCAGAGCATGGAATGCGGCATGTCGTCCTCCTGAGACTCAATAACTCCCCGATCGTCACCACATCGTCAACTGAACGATGTGCATTCCGAGTGCCAGTTTGGACAGGGCTTTGTAATCACGGGTCATGTCTACCTGAGACGATACCTGACCTGGATTCCTTGCATGGGGAAGTCTCACTCTACTCTTTCTCTATCTCTCACTCAGAATTTCTCTGGAGAGCATGCACGAGTTGTCCTTATCGATCGACCCTTTCATGCAACGCGTCGCATAATCTGCGCCTAAAAGTTGGTTCCTCGTTCTCTCTGGGTCGCGGGGGTGGGGTTCATAGGGATAGACCGTTTCGGCTTTCTCAGTAATTTTAGAGCAAGTTCCGGGATTTCATATAATCGAATTCAACGTTTTTCAGGTCGGTGAGTGGCTGATCGCAGACATCTCAGACTGGGTCGATCTCTTTATTAGCAGTTCGTCCAGAGAATTTCTTTCACTTTTCTAAGACGATTAGGACAATGTGTTGCATCTTCTTTGTCCTCTTACTCTCAGTTCTAGGCTGGTACATTTCCCGTCAATATACCTGCCTAGAATGAAGGGGAAGAAACAAAGGAGATCCAAGGAACTATCCTAATTCTTTTAGTACACTGCACTCTCGATACTCCAAATACTGATAACACCCCCTCTTGAGGTAAGTATGCTATAGTTCTTTGGGATACTAACAGCATGTGCCTCCAGTATTTACATCACGGCAGATCTTTTGGCCATAGTTCTGAACGGTGGTTAGACGATTGGGCATAACTGGAGGCCTCTGAATGTTACATATGGAGCAAACTCCAATAAATTTCCTTTGTTTTAAAAATTTGGTGTCTCCTTAATGGCTTCGTGAGCAAATCCGCTGGGGTTTTGTTAGTGTGTAAGTTAGAATGTACTTGAGATCAATCTTCCCCTTCAGATGAATTGGTGTTTGCCTTCCATGTGCTTGGTCTTGGCGTGATACAGAGGATTTTTGGCTAGCTTAAGAGCAATCTGGTTGTCGCAAAATAAATGCAAATTCGCCATGTTCAGTGTCGCCGCATCATTGAGATTGTGAATGATTGTAGAATCAATTGTAGAATCTTCAGAGAAGGAATGATTTTCAATTCTTGTATAAAGCACCTAATATATTCGGCTTTTTTTTCCCCTTCCGACAAGGCAATGTATTCCGCTTCAGTTGTGCTATCGGAAAGCGTCGGATGTTCCTTATTTGATTAGGAGACGAGTCCGTTTGTGAGCTTAAAATATGAGCTCCAACAGATCGGCGGGTATTATGGCTACAGAAGTAATCCGCGTTATTATAGCCTTGGATATGCGGTTCTCCCTCTTTGTAAAGCAAGCCAAAGTTGACGGTGCCGTTGAGATTCCGTAGGAGGTATTGGATCGCATTCCAATACGGTGGCCTGAATCTGTGATATGGCCTTGATGTGACGCTTGCAGAAGTTTTGCCTACGGGCGCCATGAGATTGTGAAGCAGAATCGGTTGGTTGATGATCTCCTCTCAGCAATCTTTGGTGCGAAGAATCATTTTGGAGGGTATCAACCAACCAAGATAATTATCACGTCCATAGATTAGGAAAAATATTCAAGCTTTGTCTATTTTTGCTAGCTAAGGTCAGAAAACATTGAGTTCTATTCTAACAATACGGAATCTGCTTACTGAAAGTAACTGCTTAGATATTACAGGCCGCCAATATCTAATTGGCGGCCGCTAGCGAAGAGAGGAACGTGGCCCGATAACCTCTGTTGGAACTGACAAATAAACTCGATGTTTATCAATGAGAGTTTTGTACATTGTTGATATGGTACATCAACCTTCAAAATATCTCCCTAAGGGAAAGAAAAAAAAGGACATATAACAGATTATGCTAATGGTCTTAGTAAATTGCACTCTATCTCTGGGTGACCTAAAGACTAGGAAGACTATATTCCTAGAATTAATATAAAAATAATTCTAGGACTATCGAGCTGCGCACAAGAGTTAGTTCCTCGGCCAGCTTTCACGGCGCGAAGCTGTTCCTGAGTCCGGAGCTCTTCTCGACGAGGCGCGCAGTCATAACAGTCGCGTGTATGGTGACCTCGAGTCATTTGATTCAGCTTTGCAACGAGCCGGCAGCATCAGTCATGGTCTCGCATGCTTATTGAGGACAAAGCAAAAGTCCAAGTCCGAGCTGAATGAATATCCTTTGCAAACTGGGTTGCATCGCTCCCACTCGACGAACGTAAACGATCTCTACATCTGCAACATTGGAGTTAGTGTTCATGATCAGAACCGCCGCCCAGCATGCGTTGTTGTCGTTATCATATTTTGTACTTCTAGAGCGTCGGGGAATTTGACAGACTTCTTTCTTTCACATTTGATGATGATCCATGGAGCAAGACTGAGCGAGGGCCCAATTACGTGGCGGAGCAGCTCTCCGCCGGCTCAGCAGCGGCAGCAGGTAGGCGACGAAGACGAAGACGGAGATGTTAAATTATCTAAGCAGCTTCAAAGTCATTTCCTCAGCCGATTGCTGCATTCGAGGACTTCTTATCCAACATCTACACCTGATGAGCTCTACAGGAGTAGTGTTCTTTCTGGTTGGGCTTACACTTCTTGCAGCCGGACGAGCTCCTCATCGTACATGCCACACCGGAAATTGAAAGCATGCCAGAAGAAGGGTTTTCACTGAATCCTCCTTCCTTCCTTGAATCGCACATAAACAATTCTCTGTCCAGTACCTACAGAGCGCGAGATCGGAAGATCAACGTAGCGCAGTAAAGTAGTCCCAAACGAAATCTGGACGAATTTGCGCACACGAGATAACGATGAAATCATTCCCCAAAAAACCCTCTTCTGCACCCGTTTGCAGAGTACACACTTCTACAAGCACTTGTGAACAGAACAAACTCGGGAGAGACCCGGGAGCAACTGCGAGACAGTGGGAAATTGGAACATTTCCAATTCATGAGTCCAGACCAGACCGACGGAGGCGAGGCTGAAGAGTATGTTCGGCAATGATCACGAGCATCATCCGGTCGACGTCATGAGTGCCCCCAAAAGCCAACCGGTGCCAACTCTTGGAGCGAGAGCTATTCACACCCTTTCCTGGACAGAAGATTTTCAGTTCCCGATCGAAACATCTGGATTGCTGCAGATGAGACCATGGAATAGAGTAGATTAGAGTAGAGATCGGACGATCGGAGCCTCAGGGCCATGCGGGATAACATGAAGGCTGGGCTTCAACAGCTTTGGCTGGTGAAGCCTTCCCATGCATGCTTATGACGAATGTCTCCCAAACAGTTTCTGCAGAATTTGACATTGTCATCACTCGTTTCTCTTTGGGCTAAGATCAAGTACCTCGCTCCCAAGTTCTTCCCAGTAGCGACCGGGCAGCTGGGCGAACACCATTCCACGTTTCTAAGCTCGGATGCCGGAACTTCCTGCGTGGAGCCCTGGTGATCCTCGAGCAAAGCATCGATAGGGTCTGCGTTCTAGCAGTTCATCGAGCGAGAAGGCAGATCTTAGAAGATCTTTCCGCTTCCTGCAGGGGTCGGAAAGAGAAATTATGTTCGTAGTATCGTCGGATTGAGTCATTCCTGAGAGTTTAGAAAGGAGAGCAGCAATGATCGCTGCGCTAGGGTTGGAACCCTCGGTCGCAATCGCTCTGGTTTATCCATCGATCGTGAGGGTTGATGGCGTGCTGGCAAGTGAATCTGGAAGGTGTTCCCTCCCATATCCTCGGAGGATTAGGCTCGGCAGGACGGCTCTGAGTCTGCGCATTCATGAGAAGAACGCGCATTGTGATTCTCACAGTGCAGATTTGAGATGCAGATCGGGGCGTAGTCTGCAGAATCTGCAGTGCTGCAAGTTGAGCTCCAAGGTTGGTCCAGGCTATGGGCTGGACATTGGGGATGACAGAAATTCTGACCTTGGCAAGTCCAGGAAAGGAGTCGACAAGATTAGATGCTATGAGAACTGCCACCACCATCACCACTCTCCCGACGGAGGAGAAGGCTATGGAGAGCCGTCCGAGGAATGCAGCTTCAAGCAGGCCAAACCTTCCAGCGATTGCTCCAAACCTTGCAAGGAGGTCTGCGAGCCATCGTCATCATCGTCATCCCCGTCGTCGTCATCCGAGGCCGATCAGGTCCTCCTCTTCTCCCTGTCCCTCGTGTCCTCTCTTGCTCTCTGGCTCTACGGCGTCAGCCGCTTCAAAAGCAAACCCATCGTCGTGTTGTGCGTGGTGAAAGGCCAGAAGAATCTGGCCGCTTTGATTCGGAGCCAGAGAAAATCAGCCAGCCCGGCCTTCGTGACGGTGAATCACTCGGACAATGTGTTCCTCTGCCCTCTTCCCGTCCTGTCCTTCCTCACAATCTGTCTCTTTTCTCTGAGCCAGTACGTGATCGAGCCACGCACTTGCGCCTTGTCGATCGAAGGCGGTGAGAAATCTTGCTGCATTAGGGCTTTAGACGACTTTCTCAAGACTCTGTTCGCCAAACTCTCCTCGCGGATTTTCAAGGAGGTTCCTGCCGAACTGTTTTATCAGTGCATCACAAGCATGATCCAAGACGAGTCCAAGGCTGATGAGCCCTTTTCAGAGGCGAAGCCCGCTCCTTGACAATCCCTGCAAACGTCGACCGAACCCACCGCCCCCGTTCCCTGCACGCAAATGGTATGTCCCGTAGTCGTTAAGAGATCACAGGACACGAGAATGATCCTTCTGCCATCCTTTTCCTGCAATCCTTTTCCATTCACTCGCATCGCAGCGACTGGAATTGCTACAATCCCAGTCGCACAAGAGAACAACGACAAGTTTCTCGACAAGTGCTACTTTTGATCCTTGGCCCCATCCTGACAGGATTCCGAATTCTGTACATGGACGAGGACGTCTTTACAATGATTGATCGCATCCGTGCATGCCACAGAATGAGGCCTTTGGGACCTTCCATCTGCATCCATCCTATCATCCATCGATCCCCGATCACCCACCCTCGAGACCTCAATGCGGCAACCACAAGACTGCTTGTATTTCTATTCCCAGGGAGCACATGACCAATCACTAGTGGTAGCAAATCCGGCGGGCGAGAGACCAAATTGGGAATGTACACTGAATATTAGGTCGGGTCCGCCAGTTTCACTTGCCTTTACATAAGATTGGAAAACTGTCAAAATTGTAACTGCTTGCTTCAACGTCGAGGCCTTATTCTTATCTTCCATACAGTCGGTTAATTTGCTTCGAATCTGAATCACATTATTGTTCGTGATTCATTGATCCCGGATTCACCGAACCCCTCAGAACCCCATGGCAGCAAGAGCCCAACAACTAAACTGAGCACGAATCTCCCTCTGTCTTGACCTCCGTTTCTAAGCATCCATTCTGGAAGATCTCAACAATTCTCGAATGAGAATTTTAGCTGTACCTAGTCATTGCGTGGGTTCAGTCTGATCCATGAGAAGGATTTTTAGAACGCAATTCTTGTACACCCATATTCATCGGCTAGGAGGAGCTTGAACAGAGCTCTTACATTTTACTGGAAATTTTATTTCTCAGATGAGAGTTTCTGTTTTGTATAAACTTTAGTTCCATCCTGAGACCTATGCAGGAAACGAGGAGAGTCGTGATTGACTGCTGTGGTTACCACGGTTACAGCTGAGGCTCGCATCTGTAATCTATTTCATGTTTTTGCTAGTTCAATTACAAGCAACAAAATTCTTCTGTAATTCTACCATATTTTGAGCTAATAAACGGTAAAAGTCTGCCAGAGTAAAAGACTGTTTGGAAGTTTTGAAATCGTTGTAGTGATGAATCTCATCAATTTTAATAATAATACTTGATGGCTTCTTTTTTTAACTATCTTCAGCCTACATAGAAAGCAGCGGAAGTTGCTTGTTTTGAGGGCTACACTACTCGCTTTCACCACTGCCCTGAGAAAAGAGTCCATAAATCTTCCACTGCCTCTCTATTCCACGCCTTAAAACACTCGGCACACACTGGAAGTGAATGTGGAGGAAGTATGATTACGTAGAGGTCCGGTTATAGCTTTCTGAAGGCTGTTTGCTGTTCGGAATCCTTCTACTTCTAGCCTGTCGATCGATCACTGAATCAATTCTATCCTTCAACACCAAATTCCTTGTTCCTCGACACTTCCCATTCATTTGTCCTGCCGTAACATGTTCAGGTGTGGTCACCCTTCCTTCTCTAGGAGACACAAATCTGGGCTGTTGTAGGTACATGTCTGTATACTCGCATCGGGAGATTCATATGCTTTTCGTGACCTTGACAACATTGCTTGTGCCAGAGATTAAAGACCCTGTGCTTTTGAGTTAGATACTGGAAGTATTAGACTGCTGCTCACCACACGCACCTCATACATGGAGCCACAATTGTTTGTGTGTATATGAAGTAAACAATTGGGGTCTTCGCAACTCATAGGAGGAAGTGGTCGTCTGGTCAGGGGTGCATGCCCGAACACTCGGGAGACTATACCATCAAAGTGAGCAGGGAGATGATGGGAGTCTTCCGATATGTGGAACAAGTCAAGCGGGCAAGAATTAAGGATCTGGCGGAAACTCTTCGAAAGGTTGCAGGAGCCTGTTTCCTGTTCTCGTGTGTGAGAGGCGTTGTGTCTCCATTGGTGGAGGTGTACAAAACCTCGCCACCCAATTGGAAAAATCTTCTTCTCATGATCGGGTCTTTTGACTCATTTGCAATTACTTACCTGGCTCTAAAGGCCTCGGAGCCCATGTTCCAACTGTCAGTTCTCGCCACCGAGACCGACTGTGATATGATGGGGAGCATCAAGAAGGAAGAGGAGCATCTACTTGCTCTGGCAGTCGAGCTGGTGAAGCTCTTTCGTAGTCTGCGCAATGTTACGCTGTTTACCGCGTTGGTTCAGTTTGTGCAAGTCATGCATGCACTCATCCAGCTACGAGATCCTACATTTAGTTGCAATGTGTCCAGAATCTTCGGGTCCTGGTTTGATTGCCCATGGGGAGGCTAGCACTCGCACTTTCCAACCGCAGTAGCAGCTAAACGCTTGCGTCATATGGGAAATCCTCAAGTTCATTCGGAGTGTGTTTCCATCCGTTGTCAAGTCCCAGCGTTCCAACTCAGGTCTGCTGTGCATCAGCCCACAAGTACCGAGGAGCCTGAGATTGAAGCTATGACACGGGGCTGGGAATCCATGTCTGTTGTCGTCAAGTGCCAGCGTTTGAGTTCCCTACGTATCCAGCGATCGCGGCCTGTTGGTTACATTGTGCTTCTCGAACATAATTCTCTCAGCGAGAGATTATGATGCTTGTGGAGTACAGCTGAACTTTGACATAGTGGGATTTCGGTTGTGGGCAGTAAATCCTTTAGTATGAACCTAACAGATCTCGCATGCTCGGATTCCGAATGCGAGATTTACCATTTCAATCACAGCTTGGTATTTGTACGGAGGCCGAAGGAAAGTCAAATCACAGACAGGCACTCACAGAGCAGTCCTCACAGAAGAACAGAGAGAGACTTAGTCTCAAGCTTTTGACATTGCTGAGAAGCAGTGACACTGAAAAAAAACAACACTGAAAGTACTAAGCATACGGTGCTTTGTAAATGCTACACACGGCCAACTGACCAGCGGAGAGACGAATCGGTATGACAGCATTAAAAGTCGCTGACGGTTTCAATGGAGGCAGCAGAGCACAAGAGCATTCAAAGTCAACTCATAAACACAACTCTGCAAAAGATAAAAATTTAATGTGCTCTTGTCGGTTATATGTATTACATATATTTCCGGATCCTGTAAATTATGTTCTAGTATATTACTATCACCAGCGTATTCACCTCAACGCTTCAAACTATCATATGAAATCTCAGCCCCAACCTGAACTATACAACTCATTTCATTTGCTGACCAGCAGAAGGACGAGAAATCAGTTATTACTAAGATGAAGTTGGGTCGCCTTGGTTCAATTTGGGTCACTGTACAATTGTTGTGCTGGAAGTTTCAATATCATTACTCGTTGGCCTCAGATCACTACTTCTACTTTCTTGTAAAAGAAGAGACTGACTGACCTCTTCATCGTATTGGCCTGGCTGTTGTTTCTTTGCGTCTGTGGCTACGGTTTGATTACTACTAAAACATAACATCAACATTTTTGCGAACTCTATCCAGCACGATCCTACTATGCTCATCAGTATGATGTACAACCAATGTGATGTGGATAGAGGAACTAATGAGAGATGTTCTTGGAAGAAAGTGGACGAGGAGAGAAGGATTGTCAGACTTACCGTTGCTATAAACCAGATATTAATCCCCATGTTTGTAAAGATGCCCTTCAAGACCACAGGTTCGCGAAAAGTTCTCAAGTTGAATGCCATCAGTACTTGAACAAATAGCCAAGTAAAAAATACACTAGTCTGTGCAGTTTCCTTCTCGTGATAGATTGCATAGAAAAAACTTGTGAGTACGGTGGCGAACATGGAAATGGCTGCGACGAATATCCCTGAAACCAGCTCAAAGTCGAAAAATTTCTCAGATGGATGCCGTGGCTTTCTCCTCATCAAATCGGAATCGCGCGGCTCCATGACGAAAGAAGAGCTGGACCCCAGGTCCATGAACAACTCTAGAAGTATTATCTGTAATGCAGATAGCGGATACCTGTACGACGAACCAGAAGAGCTCAGGATCTGCTTCAAAAAACCTGTATAGCCTACTAGTGCTGCTGTTTCCAGCTCACAGCAGCTGTAACAGTTCAAAGAAACCATCCAACAAAGATCCGTACATGGATAGAGTACACTTGAGTAACACACACTTCTTACCACCCGAGAATATTCTCAAAAATTCGTAAGCAGAGGCTAAAGGCATGGACAAATATGATAACGGCGAAGTCACTGACCTGTCCCATAGAGTTCCCATAATAAACAGGAGGATAAACCCAAGTTTGGCACCCAGGTAAAATGCAAGCGCCCTTCGTAAGTTCTCCAGCAGCCTGCGCCCTTCCGCTAATGAATAAGGAATCATACTGAAATTATCATCCATCATAACAATAGACGCTGCTTCCCGTGCAACATCCGTGCCTTTGCCCATGGCCACTCCTACGTCGGCTTGCGCTAAAATTGGCGAATCATTGACACCTGCATTACAGTCGAATGTAGAACGTTTCTGTCATCAATCCTTTCAGGAAATCCTCCTCGTGAATACATGTGTTAAAAAGTCACAAGGACCAGAACTCGGGAAAAGCTGCAAAACAAGGTTTAAGTTCCATATCTTGGCATTTGAGAAGACGAAGAAATAGAAAGTAACATTTATCAGTAATCCTGTTCATATTCATATTCTTACACCGTAATACTCACCATCACCGGTAGCCATCACGGTCTTGGCACATGCCTGCAAAGATTCCAGTATCAAGAGCTTGTCCGTCGCAGTTGCCCTAGCAAACACTCTGGTTCTCATGACTAGATCTTGCAGCTCCTCTTTCCCCAAAGTGGCCAGGTGCATGTCAATGCAAGATATAGACATATCCGATGAATCCTCTTCTTGCTCCGTAGATATAATTCCCACTTGCTGAGCCACAGACGCGGCTGTTTCTATATGATCACCAGTCACCATGATAACCCTGACTCCTGCTCGTTGACATTGTTGAACTGAAGCAGCAGCTTCTTCCCTGATGGGGTCTATAAAGGACAAAAAGCCCAGAAAGATTGCCCTCTCGAAAACCGAAAAGGGATTCGATGCCTTGGAGGCTTTGCTTTCGACGTCATTGTAGGCGTACGCAATCAAACGATGTCCTGAACAAGCAAATGGATGCAACTAAGGACTCTGAAGCTATTGAATCTTCAATTGAGCTACATACTTCACACAGTCTACCGAAAAAGGACAGGTCTAAATCGAAACCAGTCAACCAGACTGAAATCTTGAGTATGTACGACGATGTTGGTTTTGTTTCCAACCTTCTCTACTTTCTCTAAAGTACCACTTGGGCCTGTAGGAAACCAAACCAACGCAGGCCCAAGTGGTAACAGCTGAACTAGCAAAATAACTACTCAAAGACAAAAAGAGAACACAACGACGAGCGAGAAAAGTCTTCAAGTTGCCATCTCAAGAATCTACATACGCCCAAGGTCTTAACGTAGGTGACAGTGAAATCTTTGCTAAGCTTCAGGAGTTTGTATAAACTCACCTTCAGAAGCAACCTTGGTTACCTGCTCGATGATCTTGTGTCTCACTGAGTTCATTGGAACCACGGCTCCATTCTCCAGAGCATGAGCACAATGTCTGAGCAGGACCTCAGGAGCTCCTTTTATGTACATCACTGGCCTCACCGGACTTGAAACTGCTGCATCTCTGTTCATCCAGTTATGTCAAGGTGAGTCCGTAGGTCAGCTATAATCAACAAGTTTCGATGCTCAAGGCACACCATTTATTGATAAGCATCAAATATTTTATGTTTTATTACGCAGGATGATTCACGATCAAACGAGCACATAGAAGATAGAAACCATAAAACCCAATTTACACTGATCATACCAGATACGCATTCTGTCACCCGTTACTTACGTCGCATGGTTCATCAAGACGGGATCGATCTGGAACGTTCTAGAAGAAAACTTGAGACTGGGATCGAACGGCACCTCTGCCACAAAGCTCGCATCCAATTTGGTTCTGTATGTGTTTTCCAAGTGCAGTTTAATGTCGGGATTGGAGGCCAGAAATCCATACCCTGGAGAGCCCCCAAGAAAAGAAACTGAAGAACCTAATGCGTACAAAACGGCTTGATCAAACATGTCGCCTTCTACGTGGTGCGGTGATGATGCTTCGAGGTCCTCCATTTCTGTCAGAGCTTGTGAGCTTGTAGCCAGTAGAGCAACATCATTGGTGAGTGGCTCAAGTTCATGCTCTACGGGCCGTGGGGTATCTTTCAGAGTTTCAAGATCATCCCCCAAATCTGACATGAAAAGCCAGGCCTCAAACAATTTTTGTAAACCACCTGAGTCAGACTTTCTGTTATAAGACAATGCCCTGCTCCGGATCTCATATTGTTCAGTGCCAAGATAGGCCGAGTGCCATAGCAACCGATTCTCCGTGAGAGTTCCCGTCTTATCAGTCAATATCGTGTCAATGAAGCCCAAGTTTTCAACCGCTCTAAGTTTTTTCACGTACATGAGTCTCAAGGACAGAGTTTGTGCTCCAACTGCCAACACTGCAGCAATGAGGATTGGCAGCTCTTCAGGAATGGTGGCAAAAGCCAAGCTTAGACCAGAGAGTATCACATCTTGCCACTTCATGTTCCTCCATAGTCCTAAAAGAGCTCCGATTACACTCAGGATCAGGGATAAAATACTCAAGCTCCAAGATAGCTCCTGCATCACTTTCTGCAAATTGGTCTTCTTCTCCTTCCGTCTGCGCGACATACTGAGAACCTGGCCCAAGTAGGTCAAAGTACCAGTTCGGTACACAACTCCCACACCCCGACCTTGCCTCACTAGGCTCCCGGCAAGCGCAATGTTGCTTCTCTCCAACTCAGAGGTTTCTTCAGGATGCACAAGACTGGGATCTTTGGAAACTAGAGCGCTCTCTCCACTCAGTTTTGATTCGTCCAGACTCAAGAAGTACGAACGAATGAGCCTCAAATCTGCAGGTACTTCCTGCATCAGAATCAGCAGTGGTATCATTGAAGGAACAAGAAGCACACGCTAGACAGAGGATATGCCTATGCTCTATCTGGTGAACCAATTTCACAGATTGTGCATGTCGGCAGCAATGTCCTTCCTCAACTTTCTGTGTTACAAAACTTTGATGTGGAGACTCACCATTCCCACTCGGAGTATGACAATATCTCCTGGAACCAGAGAGCGTGCATCCAGCTTCATGTGTTGACCTTCCCTCTTCACAGTGGCCTCCGGTGGGCTCGAGTGTTCCAGACTATTCAGAGCTCGTTTCGCACGCCACTCAGTTCCCACCTCGGCTGAGGCCATGAGAAAAATCACGAGGAAGGCAGTGATAGCTTCCTCCATTGTTCCGAACGTGAGATACAGAACACCCACGCACAAAAGCAGCAGCTGCAGGAATAAGCGAGAGTCTCGGATCAGCAAAGCTCCACACATACACCGCATGAGACATGTGACTGCTGATAACGCTGAAAGATTCTGAATCCAAGAAATGAAAGAACGCGACATCGAAGAAAACCCTGTTTCCAGTGGTAGCAGCAGCGGAATCAGATATCTGCCTGCCGTCAACAGCAATGGCCCCGGAAAAAAATCGGAGAGATTCAGGTAGTATTTAACTATCCTCGAATACGCTCAAGTATAATCAACTGACGAGTGCATCAAACACCAAAAACCCACTAATACAGCATGTCTGTCATACTACAGAGAGAGGATCTGGCATGCACAGGCATAGCGAGCAAAGTGGGTTCAGCACGACAAATGTAATTAACAAATTGCAATCAGCCTAGAATCGAAGGTCAAGCAACAAGCTGACAAACTTTGCCAGGTCATAGGGGAAGTAGACTCGGAACCTGAGCAGGTTCATGGAGCTCCTTGAGGAAGAAGCTCCAGTATCCCGGTTCGCTGTAGATCACTGACTCATTTCCTCCATATCGTCGGTATCGAGTTTCGGCCTCGGCGTGCGACAATCCCACTCGATCGGAAACTCTCAAGTCCGCACAAACCTTTTCTGCGGGCAATGCCCAAACTTTCTTGGCCAGGTCGTCGTCCACGACAGTCCTCGGCGGTTTCTTCTTGCCATTGTGCTTACCCTTCAATCTCCTCTTGTTGAGAACGGGGATCATGAGCAGGAACATGAGAATTCCAGCAGCCGTAACTCCGAGAAATAAATTCGGCAGATCGGGAGGACTGCGCGAGAGGAACATTCCTCCAACGCCGACTCCCGCGACGGCCAGGCTCATCACCATGCCGCACACGGGCGCCACTAACAGGCGCCATGCTTTGATCTTGCCGGGAGACTCCTGCTGCTCCAACTGCTGCTGCTCTTGGGACTCGGATTCATGGCCCGGCTCGACGTCCACGGTGCGGACCTCCACCCACCGCCTCGAATTCCTTCTCTCCATCTCCGCTTCACTCTCTGAAGTCCCCACTCAGTTCCGAATCATCATCTTCTAGCAGATCACAGACGGGTTTGCCTGATTCCTGCAGCGCTTGCGGCATCGAATTCTGTCCGGATAATTTCCACTGGCTGCTGCTGCTGCTGCTGCTCGTTCGTACGATCCTCGTACCGTCCTCGGTGCGCACCTCCGAGAACTTCACGAGCGTCGTCCCGAGAGCACCTGAATCCCTCTAGCAACTGGTCGGCCCGAGGGCGGAGTTGCATCGGGCCAGTTGCACCTCGAGATGGTACCGCTTTCCGACAAGCTCTTGGTGTCTGCCTGTCGAGCTCAGCTCAGCTCAGCTCGGCTAAACTGATGCCGCTTCTTGAACGACCTCCCACCTCCAACCATAAGCCTGCGTGCGTTCCCGGAGGAGGCGCAGCTCCAACCGCACACATGTGCCTTGTTCCTCCGAGCCTTGCGAGCTTTGAGGCCTGCACCCCTCGAGACGATGTTCCAATGCTCCGAGCACTGTTGCAGATCGGTGCCCTCCCTCCCTCTCCCTCTCAACTCCCGATTGCCTGCTGCTGCTGCTGCTGCTGCCAATGCCAACCACAACAGCGTGCATCGGCTGCAGCCTGCGGAAATTCACCTGCCGCTCGACATATATACGCCTCGATTCAGCTCTCCGCGGCGCAATTGAAATCCATTTCCGCTGAATGAAAAATCTACAATAAATTCTGTCACCGCGCAGTTGTCTTCATTGTTTCTTCTTTTAATAATTGCGATTTGGTTTCTCGTGTTGTCCACGCAGTAGATGATGGGCGTGATGGCAGTTTCTCGATGGGTAGAAAAAGAACGATCGAAAGTGGGATCGGTTCTCCAGCTCGCGCTCCGCTGCCTCGGCCACGGGAGGGAGGGAGAAGAGTGGCCGAGGTGGTGGGCCATGCTGCGGTTCGACAGCAAGCGACAAGCAGGGGGAACGTCGACTGCTGTACTGTACGTACAGCGACCAGGTCGTAGTGTACTTCGGTTCGTAATCAAGGACCGTACTTCGGGAGCCCGAGAATCGAAACGCTTCGTTTCGATCTCCGGCTTCGAAGAAGAAGTTCGGCCCCGTACTCGGTTCAGCGATCGGGTACTCGAAGGTCGACCTCTTTCCAGCGAATGGTTCTGACGAGGAGCACCGATTTGTCTCCCCAGATGCCAGAACCGCTGATTTGCAGCTGGGGCGGCGCTTCTCGGGTGGGCGCTTCTGTTCTCCATTCTCGGTCCCGAATGCTCGCTCCCGTGCTCTCGCCATCGCACGATTCCTCCGAGGGCTCTCGTCCAACGTTGGAGTGCGCGCACCCTGACGACGACGACCGACGTCTCTACGTGGTGCGAGCGCGGGCTTGCCACACACACAACGGACGGTAGAACCCCCCGCCCCGCAGTTGTACTCGTCCGAGCGAGCGAGCGCCTTCTTGTCCGTTCAGTGATACATTCATGCAATCTGATTCGTTCGTTCATTCTCGACGGCGAAACTGCACGAGGCTCATTCTGTTGAGATTGGAGTGGCTCGGACGCGACGCACCCTTCACGATTGAATGGATGGATGCCACATCTCGTGAGCGATTTCGTCGTAAAATTTCACTCGAGTTCGACTTTGTAGCCTCCGTCAGGAAAGGCCACAATCCCGCAGCCAACTGAGCTCCCTCGACTCGAGGATTCCTCGTGTCAGTTCTTCCTTCAGCTCCGGCACTGCTACATTCATTTGGAAACAAAAATCCTTGACCAACATCCGGTGTAAGAAACTGGCCTCACCGACGCTGGTTTGGTTTAAGGCTCACAAACAAAGAGTTCGGAAAGACGCGAAACCAAAGCTTCCACACTCGTCACAAGCAGTCGCCCACTCTCTACAAGCTACACAAACTCATATGCTTTGTTAAGCATATAATTGGCTCCCCAAACCAAGTTCATTGTTAAAGAGTATGTGGTGATTACACATCCTAGACTTGACATAGTTTCAAACGAGTTTGGTTCTTCTTTCACACATAGGGGACGGCGTATAGGGCAACAGCAACCGAGATTTTGAATTATATCATGAATAATAGAGTTTATGAGATTATTTATAAATCTTCGTACTCTAGCATTGATTTTTATAAATCTATGGATATAGTCATGAGAGATTGTGCAAAGAGCTTACCGTAGTGTAGGGTATTGAGCTCATGATACATTACATGCTTTAATTGTTTTGGGGAGAGCAAGACCCAGTGCTATCAATGAACTAATTATAACATGAGTTCATATACTTTTTAATTTAGATAGTTTAATCTAGATCAAATTATGTACGTTAGATCAAGAATTAAATTGGATTATACTAATGTTGGGTCTAGTCACCATTACACATTTCTTCTCATCCTTGTGGGACTAGACAATCTAAATTTGTGCTTTTTTGAAAAGATATTTTATAAAATTGAAGGAGGATGTTCGACGGTTTTAATATTCAATTGAAGATACATTATGTCATCGATCATGAATAGTTATCAAAAGATTACAGAACTGTGCAATCTTGTAATTCTGTTGCAAGGTGGATGATATCAAAATTACATTTCACTAATTACTAATTGGAGATAATCTTGGATGATAGAAACTTAAGGGTATTAATGAGATCTTTCAAATCAAAGATCTATCATGTTCACCAACTACACTAAGAGTTAAATTTCATCCTACCCACATGATACTTGTTTCACTGTTTGTCTAATCGCAATTGTTGATGTTATATTAACTTTTTTGTTGGTTTGTGTAATAAGGCAGTAAATGTTCAAGGGGTCTGAAGTCATATCTCAGTAATAGAATAATGATCAATCACTACATATGAAACTACAAGTTCATGATGAAAAGGGAAATTCAATCCTAACCTGAGTAATATGTTTCAAGTAACTAAATTACTTGTAAGAAAATCACGCTATACACACTGGTTTGAATATCCTTCCTTGGGATTAGTGGAAACGCGAGTACCAAGTAGATTGAATGAAGTTGGACCTGTCTAGTCAAATTAAAGCATATCATATCTGGGATTAAAACTAAATAATCTCTAATTTGACTACACTGGTCTGTACAAACTAAATAATATAATTTATCCAGATAAGATCTTTCAAAATAACAATATGTACAACTTCCCCAATGATTGGGTTGGAGTCATGATCAAGATTAGTAATGTGTTTTGTTTGAAGGCCTTTATATTTATCAAAGCTAAGTTTTCATACAAATACTTTTCTCATGACAAAGATAAATTTCATTACTGTAAATCATTTTATGTGAATTATAGTTTAAAATCATGATGAAATCGCTGCTAATTATTGAATAAAAATTGTAATTTATATATTTGCTTCACGTTATTTTTATCTATTGAATTCACTATCATACTGATTATTTTTTATATGTATATTGAAATGATTCTTTCTAAAAAATAATCATTGGAATATTATTTATTTAAAATAATTAATACAAAATAAATTTTAAATATGATATTAATTTTTTATTCATTTGAATATTTGTATAATATCATTTAACATAAAAATTTTAATAGTTGTATTTCATAATCCAAATTTTTTTCCCAATATTTTATATTGATTAATTTAAATCAATAAAAAAACTTGGCATTTATTTTATATAAAAATATTTTGCAACATACTTAATGAATCAAATGAATTCAAACCTTTATCAAGATTGTCATGCAGTAATGATTAAATGTATGTTTTCATGATCTTATCACACACAATTTAAATAAAAAAATATTTATACTTGTAATCAAGTTCATGAACATTATTATATCTTACGATCCACATATGATAATAATTACATACAGATTTAAATAATAGAATGAAATTTATTATTATGTCAAAAATTATCAACAAAAATCATGAATGAATCTTTGTTAGATTTGACATATTTGTTACAAAAATTAGCTAGTAGAATTTGATAAATGAATTTTCTTCAGATAATGATAAAACATGGTGACGTATTTCATTAAGAAATATATCTTTAACTTAGTAAGCACACATATTAGTTTGAAATATATAAGCCAGTAATTATCAAAAACTATGATCAATCAAATATTTTGACCTTGATATAAAGATTTAAGCCTCACAAAATTTATTATTATCTTTTGCAAGCAACAATATATACAAAATTTCAATGTGATATCATAATAAATGTACTACATGTTGAATTTAATTTTTTTATTTTAATTAAGCATATGAAATAAAACCTTCAATTAAAATATTTAAATTAAAGATTTTGAGCATATGGTATGATACATATCAGCTAGTTCTTGAACATTACATCATGATATTTAAAAGGAGTTTTGATTTCATGTAGTATTATTATGAAATGAAAAGAATATTTGTATTTCCAAAAATTTTTGTTGCATACATAATCTATGAAAGATAGATATATAAATTAAATTAAAATAATTAGGAATTACTCTCTTATTATATTCTATGAATTTATGTATTTGAGTTATAAAATAATATAAGAAACAAAAGGAAATTTAGACATAAAAATCTACATTAGAATAAAAAAACCTTATGCTAATTTTTTTGGTGCATTTCAAAGATGTTATCTGAGCATTTAAATAAAAAATGAAAATTCTACATTTATAGCTTCAAAATCTATTATTATATATCCATCACGAAGTTGAGATGATCTATTCAAGTTAACACTTCTGGATAAAAATCTTGTAGAAGATGAGTATATATATAATTTGTATGAATTATGATATGAAGAGAAAAGCCTAATGTCTTATAGAGGTTAATAGATTTATCTACATTTTCACTAAAAATGTTAAAAAAATTTAAAATGTTTCTATTGTCTTGAGAAATTACTCAATGTCAGAAGTAGTCCATTCAAATTTCTACCTATAGTTCATCAAACTCATAAAAAAATCAAAGATCTGCATTTATTTATTTATTAAAAAATCTGATTTATAAGTTTGTACAATTGTTGCTTTAAATATTTCAAGTAATTTGTAAACCCCTTTACACATCTTCTACAAATTTCAAGTTTGCTTCAACTGTTTTACAAAACATTTTATATGTTAGCTTTTGAGAATTTCATTTTTCTTTCTATACCTTTTGTTGCTTCATACATCTCACAAAAACTAATAATTTTCTAGCTTTATTTCATTTCAGCCTTCTTGTATCTATTTTACAATTCATTTTATTATCGACTTTGGAATATTTATCTTATCCACCATAATTTTTTGTTTCTTCACAAGTATTCTTTGTGATCCTCCTTATTGTCGTATGATAAATTACATGTATCAGACACATTATATTGTGATTTTATTAAGATGTAATCATTGGATGTAGTTTGAATTCATATCGCTCATTATAATCTAAATTGACCTAACGTTACAGAGCTGAAGCTTAACTGAAATTGAGTGTCATAGTGAGGTCGGGACGTCGCAGACGAGATGCAAACTCGTGAATCTGGGAGCAGCAAGGAGCCCGAGAACGAGTAGACATGGCGACGTTCCAAGTGTCTGGGCAAGGTCTAGACTGTATGGGTTTGTCTCCCCTCTACGGTCCTCCGGAGGAAGAGACGATCGAGCTGATTGAGAAAGCTGCCGAGGATTGGGTCACTCTGCTCGACACTTTCAACTTGTAACGACCCCGCACAAGCGAGATTTCCGTAGGCAAGGTACGATGTTTGGATACCGAATGGCAGGCAATGACCTGAAGCAGACATTGTAACTTTGGGGAGATGCACAATATTTGAGAGATCCTTTTTTACAGTTGGCTTACGGGAGAATAATGATTTGGAGGGGCGATTGCAATCCTGAACCAGGCTGTGAGAGGAGTCAGTGACAAGGTGCAGCTCTGCTCGAATTTCGCCCTCCAGATGGGTGAGAGATGCTTGGAAGTCAGAGGATGTCCGATCTTCGTGTGAGGGGAGCCTCAAGAGATGAGATGTGGAATGCATCGATCTATACTATCAGTTCCGCGTGGATGACAAAGTTTCATTCGAGATAACGGTTCAGTACGTAAGCTCTACTTTCTCCTCGCTCTCTGTTTCAAAGCCGGTGTCTGTAGACTTGTCTCCTTCAGCCGCGTATGCCCCACCTCCAGGGACCTGGAAATTCGTCTCGTCTCGCATGACCACGCTACAGATTTGTGCTCGCAGATGGGAGAGTTAGGGATGTTAGTCCAAGAAGGGAAGATCATATATATCGAACAGTCTAACGCATCCGCTGCCGAGATTCGTAGAGCACATGCCGTGCACCCTATCATCGCCATACTCTTTTTGGACTCGGGACGTTGTGGAGGACAGACCCAACATGCTGGTACGTGCAGATGGTAGCAATTTAATCCCTAAACCATGAGATGTTTCATATGATCTGGAGAGAAATCACGTTCTAGACGAACCTTTGCGAAAGATATCGTTTTGATCGTGACTGGAATTTAATTTGTGCTGGGAGGTAGGTATTGGCTGTTGGCAGCACCCAGCTCCGTACAGTCCTTTCGACGGTGGTATAGTTTAAGATGTGAGGTTTTTAGACGAGGTTCTGAGTTCTGCTGCTTCGATCTAAGATCTAAAGTTTATTGCATTCATGTTGATCTTTACATTTGTAAAGATGAGTGTGCTGTGCAGCTGTTGTAGATCCGACAAGGCAAAATGATTGTACGGCATCACACTGAACTGTTCTGCTGTTCATAACCTTTAGAACGAAATTGGAATGAAATCAAACTCAAGAAACCTTGTTTTGCCAATGATTTTATGCAGACTCATCCAAGTTTTTCCCCTGAGAATGATCAACAGTTTAAACTTTCTCTTAAGAAGTTGATGGCATGGGAGGTGAGAGTAATTGTACAGCATGTGAGCTTGACCTCGCCTGGGTACAACACTATGGGAGCAAATCCAATTCAACGCACAACCAAGTAAGTGGAAGATTCGCAACAAGACAAGTCTTCTTTGGCCATTGAATTTACTCCATAAGAACTTAATCCCCTGGAAGAATCACAGACCCATCAGCAATTTCAAGGAGATAGATCTGATAACATGGACTACAATGATCATTCTTGGTATAACTCCAATGTTCTTAGATATTGATATAAATGAATCCTTAAAAAACTTGTAAATATGTTCAGTTGAAATATTTGATTTTTCAACAATAAATTAATATTTATTAATTTAGAGCATTGGTTTCTGATTGAAACAATATCTAGTAATAAACGTTTTAGGTTTATAGAATATTTTACGTTAAAAAATATTCAATACATAATAAAATCTGAAGAAAAATAATTTAAGCAGTGACGTAGTCTATTGGATTTCAATTTATGCAAACTAGCAATTCTTTTGAAATATTTTTATCAAAATATTTTGACTAAATTAAAAATTTTACACAGTCCATTGAAAATGTTTTTTTTTCATCAATTTTCATGTGAAAATTTCATAAAATTTAGCATTCGATTTTTGTTCAGCATGATATTATTATTTTATATCACAGATGATGTATATATATTACCAAGATAATAACTATGTAACATGGAACAAAATTTAACTGTAACAAGTCATTAAATTACAACTAAAACACAAAAGAAATTGGATTTTTCAATAACAGACATAGATGTTGTTTGATTCATGATTAATCTAGTTTTCATCAATATTTATCATATTAAGTTGTATATTAATATTATGTAAAATATAATTATAATAGAAAATTTTATTTTATCTGAAATTAAAAAATAATAATTTATTGTGTAAATTAAAATATTCATGTATTTTAAAAGGATTAACTGCCACGAATATCTAAATTTGTTATTACATCAATATTAATTTGCAAGTTTTTTTTCAATGTGTCAAGTTTATTAATCATTATTTTCAACGAGAAGTAATTAAAAATGATCACAGTAATCATATGATTGGGAGTATATTAAAATTTTTCTTATATTTAGATCCAATATAAAGTCTCACTGGCAATAAAATTTTAATGTTCATTTAAATTTCATATTGATTGAAATTATAATAAAAAATAATATAAAAAATTACATATATTTATTATTTCAATTTTTCTCATATATATGTCATAGATTTTTCAAATAAATATATAAACTCATCAAAACTTTGCAAGTTTAATTTATGAGTGAATTTTGTGTAAATATTATAATTAATCATAAAAATTGAAATTATAGTATCATATAGTTTATCTCACAAATGATTGGTTTTTTTTTTATTTTAATTGTAGATTAAAAGACTTAAATATAACATTAATAAAAAAATTAATTTTTAGTAGATGGTAAATATCTTGAAAGAATGATAAAAAAAATATGTTCAAACATTTTTTCTATACTCAGGTATTACTTTTAAACAAAACTTCGATGTTGCACTAACTAACTACACTCTGAAAACATTTTCAGGTTTTTTCGTTTTTATGGTAGCAAAAAGAAAATAAAGATGTATATAGAAAAGGGAGACAATCCAACCGCAGGTTCCTAGCCTGTGGTTACCAAATTATTAGTTTGCAAAGTCAGAAATCCCACAATCCCTATGGCTACCTTTTCAACTGTATGTAGAGATCACAAATGTAAAGTGATCATTTGTGTACTTACACAAGTATTGATATTGCATATGTTGAAAATTTTTTCATAGTTATAGTATTCAATTTTGAAAAAAATCTGACATAAAGTTATATTTTATATTTTGGAATAATTTTGAGCATTAACATAAAATGTTTATCATTGTATGAATATTTTATGAGTTACATTTGGATTTAAAATAATAATTTTAATTGGTTCAAAATTTTCAACAAATAAGAAAATTTATATATTGTTCAGATAATAAAGTTCAATGTTGAAATTTTGATAAATAAAATTATATATAAATGAAATATTTTATTTAATAAATAATTTTGATGATATTCTAAAGTAAATAACTACTTAATCAAAATTCTCTAAGCGTTTTTTTAATATTTCAAAAATTATTAGAAGTATTTTAAAGTAATTCATTGGACATGAAGATACTTAAAATAAAGATTATTGAAGTGATCAAACTTTGAATTATAAGATGTTAAATGAAAATTGAACATATTCATATATTCATAAATCTACATATCATTTGCAAAATTGATTTGAAGAATGCATAATTGGATCAAATCTGTAAATGATAGTTTATTCCAAAGATGTCTCTGATAATGTTTAGTTTATAGTCATTGGGACTAATCTGTTCTCTATGGTTGAATCAGTTCACTTTATTGTTAACTTTTTTCTTTTCCGTACAAGTTCTATAATTCTCCGTTTCTTAACTTGCAAAAGATATCCAGCACAATATTCTTGACTTTTTTGGTTCTCACTTCATCACATAACTGATGGAAATTGAGTCTTACTCTTAAGCCAAAAGTCAAGTTCCGAATACTCTCTCTATTCAACCAATGTCCAAATTGTTGTACGAATATGAATCGTCGTCTCACATAGACAAGAGTGCATGTGGGTACGAAACATATATATCAAATAGGACATTATTTGTTTCAGGGTTGTGTCATTGGCGTCTATTGTGCCCGGCACCAAACTGGTCCATAAAAATTCCAATACTAAAGCATCATCGTGAATATCATGTTGAGCTGTAGTGCCATCTTCAACCTCAGATCTGAAGATTTACCATTCACTTTTTGACTATAGTAACATGTCAAGTGTTACTCTCTACTAAAGTCTCCAAGAAACAAACATATGAAGGCAAATGCATGCCAACCGAGCATCATCTCCTCATTCCCCTCACCATGTCATACTCCTGGCTAGTGCATGAGTTCCGACGCAAATCATTGGCATCCAAGTTTGCAACTCAAGATCTATGCACCACTTGGAATTCATAGTCTTGTCAGATGAAAATCCACCTTGCAAATTTTCTTGTGAGCTTGTTAGACTCTATCAACCATCTAGCGGCTGATGATCGGTGACAAGGATGAACTGCGTACCAAACAAGTAACACTTGAAATATATTAGAACTCACACTACTGCCAAACACACTCTCTCGTATGAACTATATCGTGACTCTACATTGTTCGAACTACTAGTATACGCACTCACAAATTCTTTGCCTTCATCATCACGATGCGTAAACACCGCTGCAAGTCTCAACATATTCAAATTAGTATGCAACTAGTATGAACGACCTCAGATGAAACCCCTTAAGATGGGAGCAGCCACCAATCTGGCCTTGAGCTCAACAAAGTTCCTCTCCAGTTCATCTCTCCATAAGCAATTCTCATCTAACTTTAACAACTGGTTCAAAGGTCTTGCAATAGCGTTCAATCCTTTTAAATATCTCCGATAATGGTTTGCCAAATCCATAAATGGACAAACTTTACTCACATCCGTTGGACGAAGGATGCGTGCAATAACCTCCACCTTCGATTGCTGAACTCCCATCTTGGTAGATCACATGACCCAAGTACTCAATATTCTTGTAATCATCTTTAGTTAGTTAAAACTAAAGTAGAGGTTACTCTAAATATTGATAAAGATACTTTAGTGTGCACTAGTCATAGCTGCCACGTCAGCGATCCGCGCACTTGGTAGGTATAGAGTGGATGTGTTACTTGATAGTGCCACGTCAGCAATGCGTGTGCTTGTAGGTAAAGATTGAGTGTGTTAGTTGGGAGCGCCACGTCAGCGATCCGTGTGCTTGTTAGGATATCCGCCACGTCATTCATCCACTAGGAGTCGAATGGATGGTGAAGATAAGATCTTATCTCCTTGTACTTGTTGGAGAGAGCTATGTAAGGGAGAGTAGAACCATTGTTGGGATCGCTCATCTTCAGAGTTTACGTTTCTATCTTCGAGTGAGCTTTTCTCTAAACCCTAGTGTTACAATTCTCCAGGAAGAACTTACACTTCACGGGATATAACCGCATACCATGATACTTCAACCACTCAAACACAATCTGCAAATGTATATGGTGTTGCTTCACCGTGTCGTTAAACACCAAGATAACATCAATGTAAAATCTGACAAAATCCAGCACCGCTAGGATCTTGTCCATAACTCTCTGAAACTTGGCAGGTGCATTCTTCAACCCAAAGGATAAGAATCGTCATTGATACAAACAATACATGCCACGAGAGTTGACGCCCCCAAATACTATCTTGGCCTTGTACTCCTCTCGAATCGGCAGATGATGATATCATACATGAATATCCAAAGTATTCAAAATCCTCGCATGTCCCACCACATCAAAGATCTCTTCAGGCGTAGATATGACATACTTATCGGACTTTGTCTGCCGATTGATAGGACGGTAGTCTCCACACATTCGTCTATGTGTGTAATTGTCATGTACATCTTTCTTCACTAGCATGACAGTGGCTGACACATACTCACCATGCGACAACTCCACTAACCCAGAGTCTAGTAGGTCCAACAACCTGCTCCAAATCAAGTTCCTTTTCATATCACTATACCAATAGAGACAACAAAAGATTGACGTATCACTAGCAAACTCTATCCGTATGCCTGGTTCAATCAAAGAACCTAATCCCTTCATGTCGAAGTCAAAATAATTCCTATAGGCACATAGAAATTGTGTCAACCGTCGTCTCTCTTCTCCTATGATCTGGAGATCAATCAATCGCTCCCAACCCTTCTCTATAAGCACAGAAGAGGGAGAAGACTTTCTCACTGGTTGCTATGCAACCTCCTCGAAAGAATCGGTACGGCACTACGTACCCTCCTTTGGACCAACCTATTCTTGAAAAACTCCTCCAACTGCTTGGACAGTAACCCTAGTTGATCCTCAAGTCGTGTTTCAAGAACTCCAAGGATGACAAATATCCAGTCTATCTTCAGCCATTGTCTCTATCGTCCCTTTAGGCAATGAGCTAACCAGTGGTTTAAGTTACACCAAATTTGAGCGAAGACGTCGTTGTTCAGCCAAACCCAGGTCACAATCCAAGTAAGACAGTTCAAATCCATAGCCTGGTCTAGAGTTTGACGACGTGACGCCTCTGAAACTAAAGGAATTTTTGTTGTGCCGGTAGTAAACTCCATAACGCGCTCGTGCTCATCTGCGTTGGTTTCCACCAATTGTTGCATACGAATATGTCATACAAGCTCGGGACCATCAACCCTATAAGCATGTGATGCGGGAAAACTCACAAACGTGGATAACGCCATCCGAGGCTTTCCCACTTGGTTCTCCACCACCATAAATGACCGATCATCAACCCTTACCAACTATGAACGTCGCCCAACATCTAAAATGTTATCCACTATAAGAGTATGATCGCGCCGCAAGACCTCCCTTGACAACAAGTTCGTCCACCACAAAGGTGATCGATGTGCCCGTGAGCCAACTTTGCTACATATGCAAATATACATGAATATACATATTCATGTACATGTATGTCTATCCCATACATGTGTATAGTATAATGGTGCTATGTCGTCCTATTGTTAGTCGCATATTTGCAATTCATAATATGTGAAGATCAAGTCATCTACCTCTCCAAAGTACATCGAGGACATACCCATCGTCTAGTCGGAACAACATGGATAGATGGAGTCATGCTCGACATGTGTCATTCCCTTGAACATCTATCACACACCAACATATTGGTCGCTTGACCATCTGACTCACATAATATGCACCTCAAACCAACACGTATTATTGCTAAGCTTGGATATATAGTATCATCCACGTTTGAGAAATGACATGGCGCACAATTGCGCACATGATATACTTGTGACATATAACACCATATGTCAACGTTTGTTAATATGTATTGTTTGATGTCTTGTTTACTTGGATTGTGAGTCTAGGTTTTGCTGAACAACGACCTCTACGCTGAGTTTTAGTGATTTCTACACCATTGGTTAGCTCATTGTCTATCGGAACGGTAGAGATAATGCCTAGGAGCGACAGGCGACATATTCATTATCCTTGGGGTTCAAGCTAGACTACTGTTATGCCCGAACACACGGACAGACTAGTGCACCCGTCGTTTGCCCACTGAGTTTAGAAAATCTAAGCTGCATATCAATGCGGGTCCTTAGTCATTGTTGAGTTCAAGAAACCTAATATGTTCCCGTGCTGACGTCGCTTTTCACTCCAGCTGATATGGAGGCATGAAAAAAATTGTTAGTTGAATCTTGTGGCACTTCAAATTCTTTCTTCCACGAATCGCAATATGCTTCTCTTCCGAGAACAATCAACAATCACAAAATCGTCTTTCACCAAGAAATTCTAGATACTGGTAGCATAGAGCTTTCAATACCAGCAACCATGTGCTATCAAGCCTCCTGAAAGCTTCTAGATTCAAATGTTGGAAAGGAGAATCATGTCACAAACCCAATATACTTGACCTCGTCCACAGCTTTGTTTTCTCCGTTACCTTCTTTGTACAGCCTGCAAAGGCTTCAAATCTCCAGATATATCGACAAAATCAATTTGAACATTCGAGAATAACCTTGAACTCAAAAATTGAAGTCAAATTCCATCAAAATTTCAGAATTTGAAATTCTGTCCTGCCCCGCGAGCTCTCATACACCTGCGCATTACACGTCGTCGTCCCGTTCTTCGCGATTAGAAAATACTCTCGCGAAATCAGCACCAATCCGTACAGAAAAGAACCAAAACCTGAAAATTATATATTTAAAACCAACTTGAAGCAAATGCAATCTGAAAACCACCAAAACCTGACACTATGACAATCAGAGATTTGATGATGCCACGAGTTCTTTGAGTGAAATTAATGTGTTTTTCCTCACTGGCAAACACGTCAATCCTGATTACCCTCTTGGCAACAAGACCGTCACATATACATGCAGTTGAGCCCAATTCACTTGTATTGAGAATCCAAGTTGACGCTTGAAGGCACTCATTAATCCAAACGATACACGCTTAACTCAAAAAATTGACGTTATTAGAGTCGTCGTCGACACTATACACTCTGAACAGTAATTCTAGGCCGAAGGCTAAATCTAACATATATTAAAATACATAACAAAATTCTCCATCAACTCCTAAGATAAACTATTGCATTTGGTGGTCTTACTGGAGATTGATGACTTCATCATCATTTAGTGTTTTCCTACTCTCAACATTTGCGATGCCAATTATTGGCTACCTCTTGAAACGAGCAATCTAGCAGATTCCCCGTTATATTTTATTGATTAGAGAAAAAACTCCCTACACAATCACTCAAGCAGAGGATTGTACTAAATTTACTCTTGTCTACTTGCACACAAGACTGGAAGTAGAGTAAGAAGCACAAAACTTATGAGAAAATGGATCTATACATTAGAGATGTAACATCATTTTGTCTAAATTTTTGTATTAACGTTCTTGATCTTACTATTTAATGGATCTCAAAATCTTAAAATTTATATGAGCCAAGATTAAGATTTCAAGACTAGGGCTAGGATTTTGCTAAACTTATCCAGTGACGGCTAGATTATCACGCCAGAACAAAAGAAAAAAATTTAGATTCCTAGCATTACTTATCCATGGTACTGCAGGACTTGTCTCCTACGCCTATCTCGGCTCCAAATCCAACTGAACAAAGAGGTGGTAAAGCACATGTCACACAAGCAGTGAATGTAAACTAAGCTATTGTCCAACTCCAGAGTCAGCAGACTGAAGTCCAAACTTCTGTGAGTTTTCCGCAGAACCTCGTATTCTGTTCTCTTATCTCAGTGTCTGGTCCTCCCCATTGGACTCTTGATAAAAATCCCTGTTGCGAAGCGTTGGAAGATTGGAAACGTTGGGGCAAGCTTTCATGGCCGGGCCGGCCATGAATTAGCATAGTCCTGCTCATCAACTATACATCGAGAACGGGAAATTTCTCAGGCGGATCGGACAGATCTCCCCCAAGTCTTTGGACCTTGAAACCTGTCATAGTAAATATCTGCGCCTCTTTACATGCCAGTATCGTGCCATTCCTACTTTCTGACTTACAAATATCAGAATCCCAGTTGGAGATCAACTGCCAACAGAGAGAAACTGATAACTCTGCTCAGAGTCTTCCTTTTGCAGGATTCCGACGAATAGGCTTGGTAGACTGAAGGCCACTTTCTCTACAATCGAGTGGGATGCCCTATTTCTCCCGAACTATTTGACCGCTGACTCCTGGAAGGAAAATTTTATACTTTAAGGTGCTGTTATAATACATTGTGCTTGCCACCAGACATAACCTCGAAATCCGAAATTGCCTTCTGTACTTTCTGAAAGATCTTCATAGGATCGGAGGAGAGTCATAATTACATCGGTGTTGGTGACGCATTTGCTTCAGGTGGCTGGCTCGGTGGCCAAAGAACTAACTTAATATCCTTGAACCATAATCGTGATTATGTCTTGAGCGGGATATTGTTCGTTTTTCCAAAATCGGTTGAATATGATATTTAAATGTTAATTTATTGAAAGATATGATATGTTAAATTTTTTCATATTTTTTATTTCTAAATATAACTCTGTTTCATAAATGTAATATTCAGAAATATCTGTTACTCAAAAATAGAACACAAGATCCAACTTAGCTATATAAATTTGTTAAATGATTTCTTGAAAAAAATTATTATTATATAAAGCAATAATTATTGCTTGGCGTAAATCTAGCGGTCACCCTTACACTCTTGTTTGCACAGCGGGTTTTACAATGGTGAACAATAAAGAGTTGTTCACTTTCTTTCATAATTAGAGCAAAAGCTTTTGCACTTTCTGCTCGTACGCCTGATCGAAAAGCCAAAGCGGCGATAATGGTATTTCAGAATATACCACTATCGAGAGAAACCGCCCGTTTTCGTCGTCACAATACAGCCGGCCACTGAAGGGGAATGTTAGACCTTTTCTCTCTCAGGCAAGCTATAAGCTAGTGTGGCTTGTTTCAGAATCTCAAAGCGGAACTGTGAGTGATCGCTTTGTAAAGTCCACTTCGAGGGCATCGAAAACGCAGCATCCTTATTGAATTGCGCGCGTGTCTTTCTCACAGGACGAGGCAGCCAGAAGGCTAGGACGCGTTAGTTGAAAATGAGTGAGTTTCAGGACTGAGAATTGTATCTTCACAGCAGTTCAGTTGAGTAAGTAATTTTCCCCCAAACGAGGATACATCTTCAGAGAAGAATATGCTATTCTGAACTCCTGACAAATTGATTGAGCCGTCCAGCGGCAGAATTGCAAGAAGCTTTTAGTTGTTCAAACCCTGCCGTTTGCAGAAGGTGTGTATTATCTTTGCTTAGTACCCTGAGACCACACAAGGACGAGGAGCTTCACAGCTGCCGTTCCCGTAGGCCAGTCACATACCATCACTTGCACAGATACTCTTTGTCATGATTTTAGCCAACGGTTGGCGACATTAGTTTCACGAAACTCGTTCCCATAGCAATTTTGACCTGACACGAGATAAATTGAATATGGTCTTCAAGGATTGGTCGATTGGGGTAAGAGACGTGAATAACCAAACCTACTCCGACTCGAACATCTCACAACATCCCGTTCGGTGTAAGTTGATGACATCGATTCGTACCATCTTCATCGATGTCTGCTTGGGTTCTGTCCTCTGGTGCAGAGGGTATTGACTTTCAGTTACATCAACTGTATTTGTATGTCATTCACGAAGTTCCAGACTCAGTGTCCCACGTCTTTATGGTCTGCACAAATCCCTGCTTTTCCATGCGAAGTACCGGGTATGTCAACACTCAGCTATAGTTGCAGCTTGCAATCTCTGGTACTCTCTTCCCCTACCAAAAACTTTGAGTATCGAGGTAGAACTTTAACGCATCTGAATATAGATAAGATGCGTGCGCTAGGAAGAACAACAAGATTCAGAATGCAGTCACCTAGAGTTTATCCTCCCCAAGTCCGAGATTGAGATTAACTTTGTGAATTTCGGCTTGAAACGCATGACCCCAATGCATCTATCCCCAGAAGGAACTGACGCTAGCAGATGCCCTCGAATTGCGATAAAAGACCATCGTACCACATGGATGGTGGCCCATGTGGAGAATGTTGAAACTGGGACACATAGTTAGGCTTCCGCTCGCCGTATTGACACGACAAATGCTCGTTTGTCAAAGAATCGAAGATATACTTCGTTGAATTCAAGATCTAACAACACGAAAAGTGTACATCGGACTGCCTCCGAGGTCAGAAGCTGTACATGACCAAGCCAAACTTCAGGTCTCAAAAAAGGCCCCAACCAATCTGCATCAAGAAACCTGATTTTTTGCGCTGAATGTCGTGTTCCTGGTTGAGCAACTATAGAAATTGAACTGTCTGGCCGCCCTCGCAGCCTCGGGATCCCGGAAAAGTTCGACAACTTGTCTCGGTTTTCATGGGCGTGTCTAAAGCGAGCGAAGAATACGCAGCCCACGTGGTATGTCACAACTACAACCCTCGTCTGACCTTCGGAAGTCGGGAGCCGTCTTAGCGGTCTCCAAGGCCATCACCAAAATCTAAACTCCTCATGCGTCACTCAGGTGTCAACACACGAGGTACTTTAATGAGCTGTCACCGAAATCACTCGTCGAACGCAAATATTATAATTTGCACGAAACTCTGCAGATCTGGCCTTTCGCGTGTCTTAGGTCAGATGTGATCACGCATGTGCATCCCTCCAAAACAGACAGACAGAACAGAAGAGAGGGAGAGAAAAATGGAACCTTGTCTGCACCATGCGGCTCCGAGCGGAACTCGAGAAAGCAATCAAACGCCCCCAGACGTCGCGCAAGGTCAAGCAGGGACGGGCCTACGTAGGTTGCGATGAGTGCAGTGCGCACAGCTAAACACATGAGAGCGCTGCAACGAACCCGGTGTAGCAAACTCACCAATTCCCAAAACAAGACAACATAACTGCTCATCGCTCCGCAAACAATCTCAGGGGCGTACGCTCCGTATCAGCCGTAGACGCGCGCTTATAGAAGGAAGAGAGAGAGCGCGCGCGGCGTGATCTACCATGTTTCCGTCCTTTTCTCTCGAGACACGGTCTTCGTCACTCTGGCTGACTCTCGTCAGTTTCCGTACAGGGGCCAGACACACAAGGATAGAAACAGGACTACTGTCGATTCGAAAGTTTTTCACGCCCGCATTAAGCGTACGAACTTAGCACACTCCCATCGATGTGTTGTAATCCTTCGAAAAGGCGATGCATCTCGAAAGACAGGACAGAACGGACCCGAAACGAAACATCAAGAAAATGATCTGCCCAGAAAAAAAAAGACACAGAATTTGCTTCCAAATTCAGCTGACTTTAAAAAATTCTTCGAGTTCGCCACTTCGGTGATGTTCCTACCTATGTGCTAGTAGACTGTGGAGAACCACAAGCACATGCGCTTGTCCCGCTTTACTCCGGATACAGGTTCCTCCACCGCTGCCATGGGCTTGCATTGCTGAGGCTGGAAGGAGGACGATGTAACCAAGCTTTGGAGCTGGAGTCTGTTGCCTCTATGTTTACTCGAAGCGTCGAAATCATGGCAGTCCAAAACTTCGGGTTCAATATGGTAGTTCATCCGAATCAAATTGAACATGGTTGTTTGCGACTGGAGAGAAGAAGGTGAAATGCGAGAAGACAGCAGCGGCACTGGGCTGTGAGTGCGGGTGGGTCCATCCATAAACTCCATGCTTCTTGGCAGTCATTGTTTCTTTAGGTGATGTTCTTGGTGGAGAGTGTTGGCTCATGTTTGACTCCCAAACGTCTACCGCTGTTCGCGACACCCAGACGCTCGCAGAACTGAGCTCACCGTTCACCCTTCGCATGCTCTAACTGCGTCCCAGTGACACTACACTGCAGTCCTTGGTTGAACACCGTGGACCATGTTCTTGAACTCTACGGACTGATCTGCTTGTGTCGAAGAGTCTGGGACGATACAGTGACAAAGCAAAAAAAGCATAAAGCAATTTCAAATAGGAGTTGTAAGAGAAGAAACATTACAAGACTTAAAGATCAAAAAAGACTATCAAATTGAAAATAATTGTTATAGTATGCCCCAAGCGACGATAGATTTCGGCTGGATAATCAATTTGGTTATGTTTTGTTAGGTTAAAAAGCACCACTCATATGTATTTTGTTGCGAAACATATGGGATAGCAGAGCTCTGGATGGAATAGTCTCCATAATCCACATCTGAATTAGCAGCCCCGTGTAGGAAGGCTAAGGCCTCCAATCAAGAAGGTATAGAAGGGAGTTGCAATTATAATCTAGACTGGACCATCACACTCATCAACAAATTGAACCGCTCTGGAAGACATTCAAAAGTTTATTTACGTGAGTAATTTAAGACTATAAAGATCTCTTGTTCCATCTTTGATAAACTTTTAAAAATTGCATCATTTGTACCATTTTCATGAAGGGACGATACAATATAATCATAAAGTAATCTAGCATGTGTCACTTATATAATAAACATGTATGCATATACTGATCTACTTTTAGCGGATGTATTTTTCATTCTGGTCTTCTTTGTAACGAAGACCAGCAGTTGGTTCAAGGGTGACGGATTGCTCATGTTCTTGGAACCTTTTCCTGTTTTTTCGGGAGACTCGGAGAAATCAACAATTAGTCCTTTTTCTTACTTTGTCTTGTTGAATCTATCTATTGAAAAGCACAACACATGTGACATACGTTGAAGTGAATCCTTCCGATTTATCTCTCGTTGATCGATACTTCCATGCAAGACAATAAGGGTAAAAATTCCCATGAACTTCGAATTTTCATTGATAAAATTTGACAGCAGTCGAGATTGTAAGTTGCCCGCATCGCAAGGATCAAGAATGCATCAAAGTGGAAACAAATAAAAACCAGATTTTAGTACTGAATATGAGTAAAGAGGTTGGTTATCAAACATTGTTATCAAGAAAGTGGAATCTCTCAGGGATAGAATCTATAAGAGCACTTTAATTTTTAAAACTTTAGTTTAAAAAAAAATCTATCATATACTAGACATGATTTGATACAAATATTCAATGAAACGGAAATAAAAGAATCCAAAAGAAAAGTGATGCAAATAAACAAGGTTGAGAAGAAACACAGAAGAATAGACATAGCTCGTCAATACATGTATCATACTTAGTATTTTCTTGAATATTAAGAAATATGTATCCAAACATACCACACACCTTTTAGGAGTTCATTTCAGAAGCTCGATGGAGTGGAAAATCATTAAAGGTATAGTCAGGTTGTCGCTTTTCAAAGTTCAAGTGGTTTTCGTTGTTAGGTGCAGAAGTTGACTGCATTTATTGCTGTCGCTCAACACGAGGTACAAGAACCTACTGTTCGCAACTTCGGAAGCAGATGTCCAGGAGTAGGGGATGTAGTCAAAAACCTTGAAATGTTCGATGCCGAGCGGCATCCATCGACGGAGTACGGTACTTTTTGTCATTCGAGCAGCTGTTCCTGATTCTAGAACGTTGACTAATGACCAAATGACAGCACCTTCATCCGTGCGGGAGAGCTTCAGAGTTCAAACATCTTGTACAAAGTGCAGGATTTCCATCCCTGTCAATCCGTGTACTGCAAAGCGCATGGGAAAAAGCCAGTCAGAGCTTGAGATGGTGTAATCGTACAGAAAATGCACTCCTTACAAGAGCATATGTCATGCCGTGATTGTCACAGTACCGCGCCGTCATGACTCACAGGATGACATTCTCGTCGTTCTCCGGCCCTTTCCTTCACTTTCTATCGAGCTTCTGAGTTCCACAATCCCATCATTCGAATCGTCTGTCGGTCCGTCGGTCCGCTTGACTTCTTCCGTCCAAAGAGCACGCCCTTGACGTGAATTACGAAGTGCTGGCTGTTACGGCAAATCGCCTCCTTGTAGCCTCCGATCGCCACATCGTACACACCGTCCCCGACTGGGAAGCTCATTTGACCGGCACCAAGCCAGGCCTATCCGAAAGCCGATGATGGGCTCACAGGCGGGTACCGGGCAGCGGGCTGCTCTGGCACTTGATCCTATGTGGCAACGCTGCAGCCCCCGTGGCCAGCCAGTGCGCAGTTCCCACAAGCTACAGAGTTGAGCCAGCCGCGGTGGCGCCGCCTCGCCAATCCTGGCGGTCGCTCGTTAGATGTGCCGGTCACTGAAGTCCAGAGGGACACCGGGGCTGCATTTGGCGCGAGAATGTTTGCGATGTTCCGCCCCAGCGGACCGCGTGCCTGACTACTTCTCAACCGAGCAGGCATGTGGTCAGATTTGGGGGAGGTCCTCGCAGGTAGTTGCCTTGCGCACACACAGACACACACAGAGCACACTGGAGTGTATGGAGGTCTGGTCCTCTCAGCTCCTCTCAGCTCCGTCTGTCTGCCTGTGGTCAAATTTGAGCCGCCTCGGACTCTCTCCGTGTGGAGCTGCTGAAACATGTGGTGAATTTGTGGGAGCCTCTCGCGCTTCGCTTCGGTATTAGCCAACAAGTGCTGGGTTCGAACCCTGTTGAGAATCAGTGTGCACAACAGGTCCAACTGGTTTGGAGCGTAGTATTTAAGTTGTGACTATTCAGGACTCGATCGCCCCGAGGATCTTCGTGGTTGTCAAACACCACACCACACGACACTTCGATGTTTACAGATATGCAGGAGGTAAAATTCATGTCTTCGATGCCTTCCTCGCATCGTGCAAAACACTGTTTTAGCCAGTGGTTCCAATGATTAGTATGAGGAAGTTGATGCAGGAGCGATGCAAGTTGCCAGGATTGTGAATCCCATGTTTTATGAATCACAAAGCGCTTAGCTTTTTCTATAAAAACACATAGCAGACTGTACTTGAACCTTTGCATGTCAAAAAACATCCACGATCATTTTCGTCTTCCGAAACAGGTGAAGATCTATAGCGACAATGATATGTTGTTGGATGAATATACGCTGGAAGAAAATTACCCAACTAGTGAAGAGTGCAAAGACTGGAGTGATGTATGAGTGAACATCAACTAGGTTCAACCATATTATCATTGTGCTTTGTGTTCCAAACACGATGATCGTTTACAGTGAAGGCACTACTCGTACGTGTTAAAAAACCGCATTGCTTATACTCTCTCTTTTACCCATACTTATCTACTTCTAATGGCACTTGCGAATGATATTACTTGACTTGAAATAGATCATGACACGATTCTATATGTATCTATTTAGAAAACAATTGCTTTTTAGCAGAAACTCCATAATATAAATCAATCAGAGTGGAGTTAGCTTTTGGAAGCGAGAATTCATATCCGTGGTGACACCTTCAAGATAGAACTGCGTTCTTTTTTACCCAGACCTCTTATTGAGATATTTCTTTGCAGGTTTTGTGTTCTGAAATGAATGCATACTACTTTCACTGAAAAGAAACAAGGTATAATTTTGGTCGACAAACCTCATTCATTCGTTTTTTAAACAGAAATAATTTTACACAGCTAACAAATATCAAATCATATATTATAACACCTGTTAAAGGAGTTCCAAATGATAATCTTCGATCGGTTTCACTTAGATGCAGGTATATTACTTTAAAACGTTTCGAACCTTACATACGGAAAAACTTCTATAAAAGCCTGCCTAATGATGAACTATCGAATAAACATCTGTGAGTGACAACGTTATTCTTGGACTACAAAAAGAAAGTTAAAAGAACAATTCAAAAGCGTATGTTGTATTCATCGAATCAAAATGAAAAAATGATTGCACGATTCTAAAAGAGATCTTCGATAACTTCGAGGAGCGAGGGTTTCAGCTGAAAACCACAGTCAAGACTTGACCGACTCCAGTGTCATGTATTGACCAAACTTTACTAGACCGCACTCGAATTTTATAAGAATATATTGATTTATGTTCATGACAGCACAAGGTCTGCAAGGCCAAGCTTCTTAATCTTGAAGGTGAATTACAGCACCTGAACGTAAAGATGGCAGCACAGGGAAATGACAACCGACTTATCTACTGTACAGTGCTCCTGGTTAGTTTTGTGACTTGGGTTATTTGTAGGAATATGAACATGGAACCTCTAAGATTAAGCGGAAACTAACTTAACCACGAAAGGGGAAAGTAGCGATGCTGGAACGCAAAGATGAGATGTTTCAAGTGAACGAACCATCCGTCTGAAGTTCAGTGAAGCAGGGAAAATAAGTTGACTTCTGGAAAACCTTTTCGCATTCAATTTGGTACATTCCTACATCACCTCAGGAGCAACGAAAGAAACCCTGGAAAAAGGGTAGCTCTCATTATTTGGTGGAAAGTGTTGCTCATGGGTACAGGGTACACTGACGAGAGGTACAATTGTACGAAGGAAAATCATGGAACTGATATTATCACTCCGTGTCGAGTCAGAAGAATAGCCTGAGTCCGACCTGGTTTGAACACCCCACCGTCATTTTGGCGTGTACTCAAAGCCCCGCCACCTTTAGCCGAGATAGCGTACGCTTGTGCGTGCTCATACAAAGTCAGCTCTCGGCACAGTTGCATGAATGTGCGCCCAAATGATTACGGAGTCATGCATCGTATAATATGGAGCTCCGACCCTGCCAGCGGTCGAGAGCGAGTGGGCGAACGCTGGGACCCGCGACAGGAGAGGCTGCTACTGCGTACAGTGTGGCTACAAGCTGAAACCTCCAGTTCGTATCTGGAATGGTCAACGACGAGATGGCGCGGTTCTGCCCGTCACATCGTCCCGCGGCATCTCGGGCAGCGGCAGCCGAGTGGAGAACGGCCCCGCCGGCTGCACTCAGTGACGGCCCGGCCTGGCCAATTCCCACCCAATGCAGTGGAGTCTCAAGAAGTCGATCCGTTATTTAAGAGATTAAAGTCGTCCGATCAGTAGCCGTGAAAGGATGTAAGCTAGGGGTCAATGGCCCTGCTTTGCCGATGGGGCGTGGACGGCGTAGAATTGATGCGGAATCCGGATAAGGCGTCGGGGTTTCAACGCAGTTGGGTTCTGAAACAGCAAAGACAAGAAGCCGTGAAGGAGCTTTCCCGACCACATCGCACCAGTCAGTGGCAGGGGAATACATGATGACGCACTTGCTTCCTTTGGTTCTCCTTGTGCTGCCGTGAGCATGACGAGAGACTGGGTATTGACCACCCCCACAGGCCCGCGACGACTCGTCTCTCTGACTGTCTCGCAGAACGTCGAACGTCAAAACTTCATAACCAGACTGGCGGGTCCTACATGTAGAATCCCACTGGCCTGGATACTTTTCTCCTCATAATTCGAACTGGTTATTGGTTACCGGTACTGGTAGCTGGAATTGACCCGTGCTACGTTAATCTTGCACAACGAAATGGAATTTGGAGTTCAATTTACTGGTTTAATTACGGTAACGAACATCAGGAGCTATAACTTTCCCGAGTCTATCTTCTGCTGTGAATTTGGACATGTTCGTCCACAGTTTCTGGACTGTTGTACATGCAGATGAGAACTCGGCGACATAGCGGTTAATGATGTGATACTGTGTTCGGAACAATTTTACCACAAATCAAGTTGGAGTATCTGTATTCCAGCTCTATCAAGAGTTCGTGCTGCATTGCATTTCGATCGTCTGCCCTCTATGCAAGGGCCGTGCACATGCAGGAGACATGATGATATTGATGCCATTTCAGCTTTCTAACCTGTTTCATTCAACCGTTATGATGATTCAGAGGTACTGCCAAACGAAATTTGAAATGCTCCAAATGTAGGAGATATGTTTTGCATGCAGCGTCAATCACAGAGCTGCATTTGATTCTTCGGTTAATGAAGGCTTTGTCTCTGTCTCCGGCCTTGTCCCCCGATATTTCACCAATCTTCTCGGCTAAACATAGCATTTTTGTTTCTTGCCGAGCCACTCTGATCTCTATTCTCCTCTCTAATCTGACAAACAATTACTTTCAAGCTTTTATCACTCGGAGAGGCCATATAATTACGTAATGGCAAACCAATTTAATAGAACAACCCGGCCAGCCAAACGTCAAAAGACACGAACTGAGTCCCAAATTGGAAAGCAGATGGCTGGTCTCCCTTCACCTAAATTTAAATATTTTGATGTCATATATATATATATATATATATATCATTTTTAAACCATAATTTGTATCGATTTAATCATACATCACATAATAGTCAATGCGGAATCATAAGAAGATAGGTAATTGACGTATTATTTTATTGAACTCATCCCACTGGATCAAACTCAATGCCCCTAATATTTCTTAAACCTCAAACAAAATAGCTCATAAAAGCTATTAAAAAACACTTAAAAATTCTCGTAAATTTCATTATGATTTTATAGTGTTTAGTTAAATGGTATATTATCCCTATGATACGTATTTTTGAAATTTTCCTCTTAAGGTGTTAAAAAACAAGCATATTTTGACAAAACCTCCTTACAGTACTTGCTTCCTTCACTTTGAATAAATGTATCTCATACGATTGAATATTCTTTATATCTCCTATTCACTACGTTATTGAAAGGAAAGAATTTGAGTACAATAATTTCAGCATAGAATTTTGCCCCATATCTTGGTAGGCTCAAGGCTTAATCTAATCCATTTTTATCCACATTCCTTTGGTATGGAAACGTTAGGTTGTTCGTTTGAGAGACGAGATTTAATGTATTTCTTTTGGCCACAGGTGAATAGGGCTAAATTAGCATTTACATGCCACCAAATTGATCATACTTGCCATATTCCGACATGGGCCAAGTTGAACGTTTCCACCCAAAAAAGTCTCCCAAGCATTAGGAAAGAGCTTACTTTGTACAAATTCTCCAAGTATTGGTTCATTCATATGGTTTCAACATTACATCTCGATTGGCATACGTGTGAATAAAGGTTGAAAACATATTGATATGTGCACATGAAATGATATGAATGCTAAAGCTTGACGAAATGAGATAATATTGGCTGATTGTATATTTGAGGATCTGCTACAATTATGAGGCTTTTTCAAGTTATTACAAGACACTTAGAATATACTCATGCCTTCATAATACCTGAGATACATTCTGTAACACAACTGAATTACCTTCAATTTCATCTCACCGACCATGTTTGAACCTTGATGCTAAAATCACGTGATCTTCAAATGATACCTTCGGGCATGATGATTGATAGTTCATACCTAAGAGCTCCAGTGAGAACGAGCTGCAATCAAAAAAAGGGCAAGCCTTTTCTTAATATATGTATTCTCCTAAGAATGTCAAAAAGCGGGCGAGACTTCGGTTGGAAGAATGTGTATCATACCTTCAGCGTTCAACATCCAACTGGGCCAAGTGACATTCTGCAGAGATGCGAGCAGACCCAATGAGCCCTATATGGAACTGAAGGTTTTCACAAACAATAGTATTCAGTACAAATACACCCTGTTCTGGTGTGTAGGATAGACAGAAAGATGCGCCAGACAAGGAGGTAGACGT